TTGGTGTGGTGAATTATATGATAATTATATTATAACTCACCACTCTGTACTAAATTAAATGAATGTTAATAATTATTGCTCACTCCAGAAGACACTTCATCTTCTTCTATGGAGTTTAACAGACTAGTTACACACCACCGTCACCTACTGGTCCGAGAGGGTTAAATGAGTGCTTTACGACCGTTTTCCCTGTCACAGTCAATTAATATCAACACAGATTCTTTAATTTAAATTGAGGGAAAAAACAATATTTATAAATATGAATTTATATATGACAGTCAAAGAGAAGAGGGGGGAGATACTGACCTACAGACGCTGATACTCCGTATAACAGAGGCAACTTTAGAGACTCCCAGACTGCAGAGGGGGAGAGAAGAACAGAGAGAGGGAGAGAGAGAAAGAGAGAAAGGGTGGGGGTGGGGTAAACTCTGAGTTTAGTCTTTGTTTTGAAAACCAAGTTATGATCATTTCAGTTGTACATGAAATGTGAAGAATCTCCAGCAGAAGATAAATATATTGTAATTACATATGAATAATCCACATAATAAGAAAGCACAAAGGACCAAGGATAGACCCCTGACCCATGATAATTTAAGACCTCCAGAGTAACTCCAGACCTCCACATTCAAATGATGCGCTTGAACCGAGAGGTTGCTGCAAGTCTGGTCTCTCTGTATTATCTGTAATTTTTGTAATTTATGCTAAATTTTTTTTAGCATTTTTGTTGTAATTTTGTTGGCTGCTGATGAATACTTCTGCTGGGCGAAGAGTTTACTCAAGAGAACAGCTCCTTTCATTGAGGACAAGCAAATCTGGACAACAACATACAATTCCAGAGGACATCAGGAGGTGTTATCGTGGTTGCCGTGCTGGTGCAAAGGTAAAGGCAAAGCTGAATGCTAGGAGGTGGCGATATAAACCCTTTCTTCCATCAATCATCATGGGAAACGTCAACTCTCTGCCCAACAAAAGCGATGAGCTGGAGGTCTTGGTGAAGACTGAGAAAGCATACCGTGAGTGCAGTTTCCTGTGTTTTACTGAAACCTGGTTGAATCAAAACAACTCAGTCTCCAGTGTGGATCTACCTGGCTTCACTCTCATGAGGTCGGACAGAGATGCTCAAGCTAGTGGCAAGAAGAAAGGAGGAGGTCTGGCTTTATTTGTCAACCAGAGATGGTGTAACCCTTTACACATAACTGTCAAGGAGAAGTTGTGTTGTCCAGATATTGAACTGTTGGCAGTTGCTCTTCGGTCATATTATGTTCCAAGAGAATTCAGTCATATCATAACAGTAGTTGTTTACATTCCACCCAAATCAACTGAAGAATGTTGCGATGTTTTGCAAAATAGTGTTGCCAGGCTACAGACTCAACACCCTGAGGCACTAATAATAATATTGGGAGACTAAAACCATGTCACCCTCTCCTCTCACCTGACTGGATTCACACAGTTTGTGAACTGTTCTACCAGAGAAAACAAAACTCTGGATCTGCTGTATGCCAACATCAAAGAAGCCTACAGAGCCACTGCCTTACTACCACTGGGCAAGTCAGATCATAACTTGGTCTATTTGCAAACCTGTTACAGACCTTGTGTGCTGAGGCAGCCTGTGACCAAAGTCAAAATCAGAAGACGGACACCTCAAGCCAGTGAAGCTCTAAGGGACTGTTTTAAATCAACAGACTGGAATGTGCTGCTGGAAACAGATGTGGATAGTATGAACATTGATAAACAGGTTGACTGCTTTACTGAATACATCAACTTCTGTAGAGACACAGTTATACCCACAAAAACTGTTTGCTGTTTCTCCAACAACAAACCCTGGATCACAAGAGACATAAAAGCAATCCTTAACCAGAAAAAGAAAGCTTTTAAAGATGGTGACAAAGAACGACTCAAACAAGTGCAACAAGAGTTGAAGAGGAGACTCAAGATGGCAAAGCTGGAGTACAAAAAGAAGATAGAAAAGGATCCACAACACAGCAACATCCGTGAAGTGTGGAGAGGAATCAATACCATCTCTGGACACAGCAGTCAAAAGAAAAGACAGCCAGTGGTGGATGATGTGAAAAGAGCTGATGAACTCAACCTGTTCTTCAACAGATTTGACACTGCTGACACTCCTACTGCTACTCCACCTTCCTCTCCGCAACAAATCTCCACTACAACTCCTCCCCTTCCTCCTCCATCTCGTTCAAATGTCTCAACCACTTCAACTGCCTCCCTCCTAGAACACCAGTCCTTGTCTGTCACCGAAACAGGGGTGAGGATGGAGCTTGGAAGACTTTGTCCTGGGAAGGCAGCTGGTCCAGATGGTGTGTGTCCAAGGCTGCTTAGAGACTGTGCTGCAGAACTGTGTCAACCTCTTCACAAGATCTTCAACCTGAGTCTACAGCTGGGGCGGCTGATTCTACGCCTCCTGAGGTCTGAGATCAAAGACAAACTGGACTCCCTGCAGTTTGCGTACAAAGAACACATTGGAGTGGATGATGCTGTCCTCTACATGCTTCACCGTGCCCTGTCTCAACTGGAGGAACCTGGGGTTTATGTGAGGATCATGTTCTTCAACTTTTCAAGTGCATTCAACACCATCCAACCCACCATACTCAAAGACAAGCTCACAGAGATGGGAGTGGATCCTTCCTGTGTTTCCTGGTATCGCAGATTACCTGACAGGAAGGCCACAGTTTGTCAGGCTGGAGAACTGTGTTTGTGGGACATTCATGAGCAGTACAGGGGCACAAGGGGACAGTGCTGGTGCCATTCCTGTTCACACTGTACATGTCAGAGTTCAAATACAGTACTGAGTCCTGCCACATCCAGAAATTCTCAGATGACACCACTATTGTGGCATGTATCAGAAATGGACAAGAAGCTAAATACAGAGATCTAATGGGAGCCTTCAGTGACTTGAGTCACAAAAACTGCCTCCTCCTCAACACCTCAAAGACAAAGGAGATGGTCATAGACTTCCGTAGATCCAAACCCCCTCTTCAGCCGGTGAACACCTGTGGAGTGGACATCGATGTGGTGACATCATATAAATACCTAGGTGTACATCTGGATAATAAGTTGGATTGGTCTAAGAATATAGACTACATCTACAGAAAGGGGCAGAGCCGCCTCTTTTGCCTGTGAAGACTCCGATCAATAGACATCTGTCGTAAGATGCTGCAGATGTTTTATCAGTCTGTGGTGGCAAGTGTGCTGTTCTACGCTGCAGTCTGCTGGGGAGGAAGCATCAAACACAAAGATGCAAGACGTCTTAACAAACTGGTGAAAAAGGCTGGCTCTGTGGTTGGACTCAAGCTGGAGGAGTGGTGGAGAGATCTACACTGAGGAAGGTGGAGACTATTCTAAAGAACACGGATCACCCACTTCACAACACCTTGATGGACCAAAGGGCCAATGGTGGTGGACGGCTCCTCTCTCTTTGCTGCAGGACAGAAAGATTTAGAAGATCTTTTGTACCAACAGCCATCAGGCTTTATAACTTTTATGTAAATAATAGATAACTTTTATAGACATATTATGTGAGACAACAGACAATTGAATTTCCCTTCGGGGATCAATAAAGTTCTTCTTCTTCTTAAATCCAGAATTATTAAGACCTATAAAGACCACCAGAGTAAATACAGTATTATTCAGAGGGCTGCAAGTGATCCATTAGTTGGATCAGAGCCATCACAGGACATTGTTTTTTCTCTTGGTCTGGCTATTACAATCTTATTTTTTGTAAAGACATCAATGATCCATCCACTTCTTTTTTCTGAATCTGAAGTTCACTTAATCACAGACACAGATGGTTTAAACTCAGGTTGTTTTCAACTGGTTAAACTTCCAGAGTTTATTCCTGTTAGAGTGTATTTAGAATCTACTGACTGTATTAAACCACCACTTACATAAAGACATCAAATACTGTTAGTTCCGTTGTCTACACCTCACCTGTTAATGATGTGAATATAATAAACTTACCTGCAAACTTGACGGTGAGGAAGACTCTGGTTGAAGTCAGCTCTGCAGCCTGAGTCCACACTCCTGTGGAGGCGGACAGGTACCAGGGCGTGGCCATGCAATGGTACTCTCCACTGTCACTGAACACAAACAAGCACACACACAGAGTTAGATCCGTTTCATCATGTGTGGAAGTGTACACTCTCCCAGGTGTGCATCTCTCACCTGTCCTGGGTGCCATGGATGTTAAGCAAGTAGGTGTGTGTGTCTTTACGTTCGATCGAAATTTCGCTGGATGAGTTTCGAGTATCTTTCCTCACCACGCCAAAACGGTCCATGCTCGCCACCTGAGAGGTCACCAGACCGCCACGGAGACGAGTGAAATACCAACGCACCTCATAGGCCAGGTCATCTGAGGGAGAGATAGAAAGAGGGGGAGGGACAGGTGAGTCCAGGTGGGAACAACAGGTGCATTCACCTGCTTTTTCTCTTTAATATGTTTACTGTACTGACACACACAGACACTAACACCCCTGAGACACACCTGACACACAACCAAGACACACCTGCACCTGTCCATCGGTCTAAGATGAACCTATATGGTAAGTCTACAACATCATACCTATGACATCATTATCTGTATGACATCATAAAGTCAGTCTGCAGTCTGATGGAAACACAGAGTCAGTGAATTTATCAAACCTGGAACTACAGCAAAGATATTTTTAGAGTCGATCTGATCTCACTGAAGAACAAAAGACTACAACTTCACACAAACTACACACATTAACACACAAACAGTTTTTTACCGTAGTAGTAGATATCAAGAGAGATATAGACATGTGACGTGAAAAGAGAAGCGTGACGAGGAGCAAATGGGGCAAGAGAGTTTATCATTACAGAGAGAGAGAGCGAGAAAGGGGAAGACAGAGAAAGAGAAAGTAGTCATTAGTGTGTCAGCAAGAGAGCGACTATTAGGGCTGCACCTCCTCCACACAGCACAATAAGAAGAATGAGTCACACACAATGTCACTGACATGCACACGCGCACACACACACACGCGCACACACACGCGCATGCACACACACACACACACACACACACAAAGATGATAAGAGATATCTAAAGATGTCAAAAGAGATGCTGTGATTCCTTTCTTTTCTCTTCATTAGACTCTTTTTTCCCCTGACAGTTTAGTTTCAGCTCAAGTCAGTTCAGTTCAGTTGGCTTGACTACCATGATGTTCAGGGTTAACAAAAACAAAAATGCAACATACGACAAAACAATATGTTAAAATACGTTAACACACCTCATACTATATATACAATATACATATAGTGCCATTAACAAGATGAAAAAAAAAAGGAAAAAAAGATCAGTAAAATATCTGACGTCATAGTAAAAAAGGACACAGAATTATTTAAAACAAAATCATATACCACATAAACATGTCTGACATTGTGTTGAAACAGAAAATTAAAACATTAACGCTGAATGAAACTATCTTACAAATGAAGTCATCTCTGAGACATGCATCAACATCCTGTCCACTATTGTGAAGCTCTCTTTATTCAGAAGAATCTGGATCTGTTTGTCTTTGGGGACAGCAGAAAAGCCTAACTTTATATTTTCAAAGTGTTCCTTATATTTGGGGCGTGTGATGGAATACATTTTTTTTTCTTGTTTTTTGGGGTGTGTAGGAGCCATTTTTGTCTCACTGCAATACCAATTTATGCCAGCGGGTGGTGGGTGTGTTTTCTTTTTGTTATAAAGGTGGGAACTTTGTGTCACTGGGCAGGTGTTGCTGGACGGAAGAGCGCACAGTTTTTCAACCGCTATAAAATATGCTTTTGGCACCGCTATCTCCGTTACCGATACATTGCTGTGTTGTTGGACTTGATCTTTCTACAAAAAATGTGAGAAATAAAAGGTCACATTAAGCAAACAAGGAGTGGACTTGATTTCATTGGACGTGCCAGTAAGTGTAGTCAGTGCGTTGTTAAGTTTAGCCTGTCCTGCAGCCCCTTAGTGGCTTCAAGCTGGGGCTTAGCCACTACATCAAGTTGAAAAACCGCTGAAGTCAGTGGGAAGAGCTCCACCGCCAGGCGGTGTTGGATGTCGTGGACGACGCTACAGTTTCTAGCTGATGGGATCCGGGAAAGCCGACATCAAGGTACCTGAGGGAGCTCACCTATCGCATGCAACACCGGGAGAGAGGACACCGGCGGGAGAGAGGACACCGGGAGAGAGGACACCGGGAGCCAATCTTCAAATGCTGCCGGCAAAGGAGTCATTCACCAGGATCATCAAGGCGTCCACCGTGAGTAGTAGCGCTACAAATTTATGAATGGCCATTCATGTTTAAGTGCACAGTTGTTCAGTGCGTAAATCCAATGCATTGGTGGTCAAAGAGGGCGAACAACGAACGTGATCGATGTTGCGTGTGTGGTTAAATCAATATGGATGTTGGTGAAACTGTGAGAAATCCTGCAGAGGCTGTTCCACAATCAGCCAAAATGAACATGAACATTGACATTAGTGCGCAAAAGGACAAGCCAAAACGTGTTGTAACTCTGACTGCCAAAGCCTTAGCTGAAAGGTTTGATAAATTGCAAGCTACTAGGAAAGCTAAGCTAAATAAGGCAGGTGGCTTAAGAGAAAAAATTAAAGGGTTTATGCAAAGCAACGACAATGTTAAGGTTCAGCGTGCTCTTGATGATTTGGTCAAATTGTGTGATGAAGCCAAAGGTGTTCACGGGTCTTTGATTGATATTTTGCCTGATGATGAAAAAGAAAAGCACAGCATATGGTTCAAAGCAAAAATGATACCCAATGATGAATTTATTACTCATGTGAAAATGTGGGTCTCAGTTGCTGAACAGACATTAAAGGGTGATGATGATGATGGTGTTGAGGATGATAACGATGATGTGAATCAGAGGACAGTGTTTCAAATGTACCAAGCAAGCTTTCAAGCAGAAAAAGCTCACACAGTGTAAACTCAAGCACTACTTCTGCGGCAAGAATTAAAGTAGAAGTCGAAAGAGCAGAGTTACTTGCTCATGCTGCAGCTTTACGGAAAATGCATGCTTTGAAGGAACAAGAGCAACAGCTTAAAAGGAAAAAGCAACAGCTGGAGCTGGAAGCAAAGCTAGCTGCATCTACTGCTAAATTATCAGTGCTACAAGCTTCTGAGTCTCGAAGTGGTTCTAAAGCAGCATCAAATGCAATGAATTCCTACCTGGACAAGCACAAAAAGGCAACAGCTTCTAAAAGGCTCAACCCAATGGCAAAGACGTACAAACCAGCAACTCAGAGCAAACAGGAGGTAAAGGATTGGTCACTGCCAGCACATGATCTTCCACCAACTGCTATGATAGCAGAGGAGGCTAGGCAGCCATGCACGGTGCGACTGGACGTATCCTCACAGCCTATGGAACCTACAACCTACATTCCAATATTTGATGGGGATCCTCTTCAGTACATTTCCCTCAAGCGAGCCTTTGAGCAAGGAGTGGAGGAGAAGGTCAGCAGAGGGGATTGCTTGTACTATCTCGAGCAGTTCACCAGAGGGCAGCCAAGGGAACTGGTTTGGAGCTACCAGCATATGGCTCCAGAGTACGGCTTTGCTCAAGCAAAACGGCTGCTTCAAGAACACTTTGGCAATGAGTATAAGATCGCTACTGCATACATTGAAAGGGTTTTGGCTTGGCCTGCAATAAAAGCCGAAGATGTGAATGCATTGCAAAGTTACTCTCTCTTTGGCACACGAAATATTAGAAGCATCTGACCATAGAGCTGTTTTCAGGGATCTGGTTGCATTCATTGAAAAACATGTCAGAATAATTTCTGACCCTCTATTTGGTGACATTCGAGATGTTCCTTCTGGATTATCTATTTCCAAGATCAACCCCAGGATGAGGTCACAGCCAGTGAGTAAGTCGAGAGGAAACAGCTTCGCCACCACCATTGCACCAGCACAATCAGAGGAGAACTCCAGAAGGTTAAAGTTGGATTCACCGGTGCATGGCTTTGTGCAGAAGTTAACTTGTGTGTATTGTTCTGGAAGCCACTTATTGGAAGCATGTCAGCAATTTGAAAAGAAGAAACACAGAGACAAAATAAGCTTTCTAAAGGAAAGGGAGCTTTGTTTTGGCTGTTTATGTGCTGGGCACATGAGTCAAAACTGTGATAAGCGCTTGACTTGCAGGGTTTGTAGTCGAGGCCACCCCAGTGTGCTTCATATTGAACAAAATGACAAAGATAAGACACACACAAAGTACTCCAAGGAGCCTGTGGCATGTAACATCACAGCATCTCATAAAACGTGTGGTCATACAGGGGCCGGAGATGATCGCTGTCTTCTTTCCATCCTCCCAGTCCGAGTTAAATCCATCAAAGGAGACCGTATCATCAACACTTATGCATTTATGGATCCTGGCAGTACCGCCACCTTTTGTTCAGAACAGCTTATGCAGAGGCTAAATCTTTCTGGCAGACAAACTAACTTTCTCCTTCAAACTATGGGACAGGAAAGGGTGGTCCCTGCCTATTCAGTATCTGGCTTAGAAATAGCTGGTTTGGAGACTAACCTTTTCTACAACCTTCCTGAAATCCTCACCCAAAAGAAAATGCCTGTAAGCACAGACAACATTGTGACTGAAGATCTGGCAAAGTGGTCCTACTTGTCAAAGATAAAAATTCCCAGCATAAAGGCTAATGTGGATCTGTTGATTGGAAGCAACGCTCCTAAGCTATTAGAGCCTTGGGAGGTCATAAATAGCCAAGGGGAAGGCCCGTATGCTATAAGAACAGCATTGGGATGGATAATTAATGGCCCTTTACATGGAAATGGAAGCAGCTTGGAAGACGAGGTCCCTTCAGTGGTTGTGAACAGGATTTCTGTGAGCAGGTTGGAAATTATGCTAAAGGAGCAGTACAACCATGACTTTAACGAGAGAGCTACAGAGGAAAAGGGGCTCTCAAGGGAGGACAGGAGGTTCATGGAGATTGTGGAAAGTTCTGCTACACTCAGAGAGGGTCATTACAGCTTGAAGTTACCCTTTAAGAAGGAGGATGTGTCTCTGCCCAACAACTTCTCTGTGGTTAAACAAAGGTTGCAAGGTCTGAAAAGGAAGTTCCTTAACAATGAGCAGTTTTATGAGGAATATAAAACTTCCCTCAATGGGATGATCAGTAAGGGCTATGCAGAACAAGTACCTGCGCAGCAGCTTGATGGTGACATTGGAAAGGTGTGGTATATTCCTCACCACGGCGTATACCATCCAAGGAAGAGAACACTGCGGGTGGTGTTTGACTGTGGTGCAGCATGCAAGGGAACGTCGCTGAACCAACAGCTCTTGCAAGGTCCAAACCTCACCAGTACATTGCTAGGGGTCCTCATTAGGTTCAGACAGGAACCGGTGGCAGTAATGGGTGACATCGAAGCAATGTTCCATCAGGTCAAAGCAGCAGAGGAGGACAGAGATTTCCTGCGCTTTTTGTGGTGGCCAGAGGGAGATCTGACCAAGGAGGTGGCTGAATTCCGCATGACTGTCCATCTGTTTGGGGCAGTGTCCTCCCCAAGTTGTGCCAGCTTTGCTTTAAGAAAAACAGCAGATGACAATCAGCTTGACTTTCCAGCTGCAGTGGTTCAGACAGTCAAAGAGAACTTTTATGTGGACGATTGGCTGAAAAGCATGGGCACAGAAGAGGAAGCCACACACATGGTTAATGATCTGACTCCATGACTTTTCTCTGCCAGCGGGGAGGTTTCACTCTATGGATTAGCAATAATCGTACCATGCTGCAAACTCTTCCTGAGGAGCACAGAGCTAAGGATCTGAAAGAACTCAATCTGGATAAAGACCAACTGTCTGTGGAAAGAGCTCTTGGGCTTCAGTGGTGAGCTGAGACTGACTCATTTAATTTCAAGATGGAGGTCCAGCAAAAGACTTGCACTAGAAGAGGAATGTTGTCCGTCTCTAGCTCTGTGTATGATCCTCTGGGGTTTCTTGCACCAGTTGTGCTGCTAAAAGCATGCTACAGGAGCTGTGCAGAAGAAATTTTGGATGGGACGAGACCATACCCCAGGACATTTTGCATCAATGGACAAAATGGATGGAAGACCTGGATATGCTCTCTGAGTTTAAGGTTGGAAGGTGTGTTAAACCTAAGGATTTTGGACATCCCATACATGCTCAGTTACATCATTTTTCAGACGCTAGTAAAACAGGATATGGAGCTGTCACCTATCTCAGGATGCAGAATAAAAAAAATGACATCCATGTTGCATTTCTGATTGGTAAGGCAAGAGTTACACCTCTAAAGACAGTTACCATTCCTTGCTTGGAGCTGACGGCAGCTGTCCTGGCTGTTCGTGTTGACCTCATGCTAAAGGCAGAGCTGAGGCTTCAGCTGCAGGAGTCAGTCTTCTGGACGAATAGCACGTCTGTGCTGAAGTACATCATGAATGAGAACAAGCGTTTCCATACGTTCGTAGCCAACAGGATCTCAACTATCAGAGAGGCCACTAAAACTTCACAATGGAGGTATGTGAGCTCTAAAGAAAATCCTGCGGATATTGCATCCAGAGGAGTGAGAGTTGGAAATTTCATACAGGACAACAGGTGGATTCAGGGTCCAAAGTTTCTGTATGAACCAGAAGGTAACTGGCCAGCAAAGCTGGTAGAGATTGCTATATCAGTAACTGACACAGAGGTCAAGAAGGAAGCCATGGTGAATGTCATCCATGTGGAAGGTTCACCTGAAGCCACTGGTCGGCTAATAGCCTACTTTTCAAGCTGGATGAAGCTTAAAGTATCTGTTGCCTGGTTTCTTAGGCTGAAAGGCATTCTGCTGGAAAAATGTCAGAGGAGGAAGGAGACGGAGGCTTCCAATACCAGCAAAATAAGATCAGACACGCCTAAGAAACAAGCTTTGACAGTTTAGGAACTTTTGGAGGCTGAACTTGCTATCATTCAGTATTGTCAGCAACAAAGATTTGGAGAAGGAATTGCTGCACTGTCATCTGGGAAGGCTACTGTGAGTAGAAGCAGCATTCTTTACAGGTTGGATCCATATTTGGATAATGGGCTTCTGAGAGTTGGAGGGCGGTTAACTAAGGGCTCGCTGCCAGAGGAAACTAAACATCCACTTCTACTCTCAAAGGATCAACATGTCACTACTCTTATCCTGAAGCACATTCACACACGGTTCGGCCATAGTGGACGCAATCACACTCTGTCTACACTGAGAAGAAGGTACTGGGTCACAAGTGCCAACTCAGCTGTCAGAAAGGTCATTGCAGAATGTGATGTTTGCAGGAGGTATAATGGAAGAATGATGGAGCAAAAAATGGCAGATTTGCCGAAGCAAAGGATTCTTCCCAATTATCCGCCATTTACCAATGTTGGCATTGACTATTTCGGACCAATTATTGTAAGCAAAGGACGGGGTACAGTCAAGCGCTATGGCATGGTTTTCACCTGTTTAACCACCAGAGCGGTCCATTTGGAAGTTGCTAACTCTGGATACAGATTCATGCATCAATGCTCTTCGTCGTTTCATCTGCAGAAGAGGTCAAGTTGCTCATATTCAATCTGACAATGCAACTACCTTTATAGGAGCAGAGAGAGAGCTAAGAGAGGCGCTTGCATCACTGAATCATGAGCAGATTCAAGGAGCTTTGAGGAAGGATGTAATTAACTGGAGTTTCAATCCCCCAGCAGGTTCACATCACGGTGGAGTCTGGGAGCATGTAATCCGCATGGTAAGAAGGATTCTGAGTTCAGTGCTTCAACAGCAAAGACTGGATGATGATGGACTTCAAACAGTGATGTGTGAAGCTGAAGCCATCTTAAATGATCGTCCCATCACCAAGCTCTCCGATAATCCAAACGATCTGGAACTGCTCACCCCCAACCATATTCTGCTCATGAAGGGAATATCTACCTCTATTGCAGGAAAGGCAAAGGTGGAATCAGGAAAGGAGGAATCTAAAACCTGGAGATATTGTGGTCATAATGGATGCTACTGCCCCAAGAGGCTCCTGGCCATTAGGAAGAGTCTTGGAGGTTTTTCAGGATAAAAAAGGCCTGGTGCGTTCAGTACGTTTACAGACAAAATCAAGTGTCATTGAACGTCCTGTGACAAAGCTTTGCTGGCTTTGTGAGGGTACAGAATAGAAGGTCAAAGGGTCAAAGATTCACATGAATATGATACATGAAAGAATATTGTGCTGTAAAATGTGTTCATTGTATCATTTTTGATTATGGCTCCCTGGTTTATATTTGAAAGAATTGTATGTCTGGTATTTATTACAATTAGGGGCCAGTGTGTAGGAGCCATTTTTGTCTCACTGAAATACCAATTTATGCCAGCGGGTGGTGGGTGTGTTTTCTTTTTGTTATAAAGTTGGGAACTTTGTGTCACTGAGCAGGTGTTGCCAGACGGAAGAGCGCACAGTTTTTCAACCGCTACAAGATATGCTTTTGGCACCGCTATCTCCGTTACCGATACATTGCTGTGTTGTTGGACTTGATCTTTCTACAAAAAATTTGAGAAATAAAAGGTCACATTAAGCAAACAAGGAGTAGACTTGATTTCATTGGACGTGCCAGTAAGTGTAGTCAGCGCGTTGTTAAGTTTAGCCTGTCCTGCAGCCCCTCAGTGGCTTCAAGCTGGGGCTTAGCCACTACAGGGTGATTTTTGCCTTTTTTATTGATAGGACAGGGTGAAATGTGGGGACATAGAGAGAGAGTGGGGAGGACATGCAGCACATAGTTGGGGCCGGACTTGAACCCACGATCACTGCGGGGACCATGGTCCCTATATATGGGGTTAGGGTTAGACGAAATGAATTTCTGTCTGCATCTGTCCTGTTTCTCAGTCAGCACAGACTCTGAGTCCTGTCTAACCCCTCTCTCTGATATCACCCAGTTTCTACAGCCAATTTATGCTCACTGAGTCTGTAGTTAGTCAGGATCTGTCCTCTTTTGATTGTTTTATCACAGTGGAGCTCACTGGATTTCTCTGTTAAGTAAATAAAAGCACTCTAATTTAGGGATAAATTATATTTCTAAATTCCACTGATTTACAGATTTGGGCAGCAGAGATGCTTCAAACACACTAAATCCTGTAGCACTCTCAGTAATACACTTAACTGACTCTAAATATTGCAGCACACTAAAAAAAAATGCAGACTTGTTGCTTCACAGCAGACTCAGTGATCATTGTAACACAGTTCAAACTCTTCAGTGCCCTTTCAAAGGCCTTTCAATAGACTGTTGCAGCTCCGCTGTCGAAGGGACAGATACAGGAAATCGTTCCTGCCACAAGCTATTGCACTATTTAATAACTCTCATCTGTCAGACAGGGACTTACATCTGTCTGCTGTATAGTCCATTTTTTAAAACTCCTACCCATAGACTGTATTTACTATATGGGTCAATGACGTATAAGGTTTTTCAACATGCCAATATTAAAATTCCAAAAATAAGAATATCTTTTGCAACAGTTCAAACACTGAGGATGTTATGTATACAAAAATTAAAGTTTAATTTTTAAATTAGGCAATTTTAGTGTTTTTTCATATAGATGAATTGCCCGTGGCCTTAAAAAATGTCATGTGGTGCGACCATCATTTATCTCAAAATTATTACATTTTTTCAACATACTCCATAGTTTTTTAAAAATTGTCGGTAATATCAAGTACATAGGAACAAAGCGTTGGCATTTTATTTGAGTTTTTGTAAATAATGATCTTATATATTAGCTCTATAATGTCACAGTCGCTATATCAAATGTAGTTCACTGACTATTTTTTTCTTTAAATTGCATCATACTGATAAAAATGTTTTGAAACTACCTTTCATGTAAGCCTATTGTATCAGGTATTAATGTCTCAGTTACAGAAATTAGATATTTTAGTTTGTATTTGATACAATTAATGTTATTATTGGTCGCACCACATGATTGGTGGTCGCGCCAAATGACCCGAAGACCTTGTATTGTTAAAAATCAATTTAAAGAGACCTATGAACAATTAATTTCATGCAAATTTCATATTCAAGCCAAATTTTATTAACATTTCAAACATGAACACAAACATTTTATTTCCCTTTTTGAGAAAAATTTAACTGTGTGTGTTTGTGTATGTGGTCCAGAGACCTGCACTACGAAGCTGGATTAACACACCCAGGATAACTCTGCCACAACTCACTCGACTTCACCAGACCTCCGTAATCCCGATCAGATGTACTACGAGGCAGGATAACAACTCGCTAACTAAATTCAGTTGTGGTCAGTCTAGATCTGTGCACGCACATGTAAAGGGGGCGGGGTCAGTGCCACCGCATCAATCTCCACAATGGAGAAGGCTGCACGTCATATTTCACAGCTGAGGAACAGAGCATTATTTTACGCAAATATGAGGAGTACCGCAACATTATAACAGTGAGGAGCAGGACATCTGCAGCCACTAAAAGCCGGAGGGATTGCTGGCAAAAAAATCATTGATCGTGTAAATTACATTTGTGCGTTCATAAATTTATGGCCCCCTAATATGTTGTCATGCAGCGTGTGTGATCACCTCCATCATAGACCTAATTATTTCAGACACAACAGCAGTGGGGAAAAGAGTACGTGGGAGCAAATAAAAATAAATCTAAAAACATCCTTTAAAGTAGTTTGTAGGTTTATTGGCAGATTTTATTTGTACATATTTCAACGCGTTAACAGTGATTTCCTCACACAGCCTCTTTTTCTTTTTTCTCCATCATCTGATGGTCACATGTCATCTGCAGACACATTTGGGGTTAAGAGAGTTTTCTAATCTGCTTAAATAAATTCTGAATGATGACTGATATGCCGCATGAAACTGGAACTTGGAGCTTGGCAAATATTAGTGTATTGCTTCGACTTCATGCTACCTGAATATTGAGGCTGTCCGAGGAAAACCTGTAACGTTCATAGAGAACGTCATCAGGTAAATCAAACGGATTTCAACAATCATGAATATAACGCTCTTGGCGAAGCGCTCCTCTCACCATCCATGCAGCGATGTCAACAATCATGGCCCAATCTTTGACCAGCCCTGGCATGAACAACATGCTGCAGGGTCAGAGTTGACACGCTGCCTATGGCTAGCGCTTTTAACTTTGCTTGGCAGTGGCATCTGGTAAAATAAATTAAAATGACTTAAATTGATACATGAAAGTTAATAAATTGCTAACAACGGCATAAATACCTTAAGTGAAATGGCATGCTTTTAATATTTTTTTTCTTATTTTGCACAGAGATGAACTAACCATTACTTCAGATATATTAGCAAAATGACTCATCAAATAAAAAAAATTCAAAATAATACTAGAAATTAAGTACTTAGTGTTTATAAATCATCAATTGAAAATAAAAAGCGTAAATACTGCCAATCTAGGGCATATATGATAATTATGATACCACATGATAATTGGTCGCACCGCATGACATTTTCGAGTTCAGTCAAATCTTACTGATACAGGATTAGTCACATAAACAAAGCTCACTAGCTTCCCACAAAAGCTCACTATTAAATTTATAATCAAAACACATATTTGTGGAAATAACTTAAATTAATTGGTTTTTTTGAGGTCATACCACATGACATCCAAAAGTAGCAACACCATTACAGCAGTTGAAAAGGTCTTTTTTTTTTTTAAGAAATGAAAGAGCCACCAACTCTCTTTCTGCTTCCATAGCTCTACGACAAAATGATAAATGATGCAACTTCCTGTCCTTGAGTAAATTTCAGCATAAAAGTGTCAAAAATTGTCATTTTTTGATGGTCGCACCACATGATATTTAATGCATAGACACGATCGGACAAAATTTGTTTGTATTTTATGAAAAAAATATAACTGCAAAAGCTTTGCAATTTTGTACAGGAATAAAAAACACTTTCAAAATTATGCCGAATATTGTAGAAACTAAATTGTAATAGATTTAGAGTAATTTCAAAGAAGTTTTCAAAACAGAAGTCACGGCCGGACGGTCGCACCACATGATATTTTGACACTTTGAAGTTAAAAAAAATTACAAAAAAGTGGCTCCATATATTAGACAGATACTACACATAGATAGTATATTTTTTTACATTAAAAACTTTTTGTAACCTAATGAAAATACAGCCGGACAGAATATTGAGGCGTCACGTCATTGACCCATATATATATATATATATATATATATATATATATATATATATATATATATACACATATATATATATTCTTTATACAGTCTATGCTTCTACCACATCACATTACTGAGCACCTTAAATTGTCTGTATATCTATCACCCCGTCTGTAATATTTTGCATTTCATATTTATTACTCATTTCAATAGCCTACGTTCTTCATATCTCACTTTTATCTCTAAGGATGTTTAGTATATTTAATCTGTATTTATTGTATATACTTAGTACTTTAAGTCTGCATTGTACTTACTTCTTCTTATATTTAATGTTATTTTGTATTTTGTTTTTGCTGCTGTAACAAGAGAATTTCCCAGTTTGGGATCAATAAAGTCTGTCTGTCTGTCTGTCTGTCTGTCTGTCTGTCTGTCTGTCTGTCTGTCTATCTATCTATCTATCTAAACTCTGCAGTGCTCCCAGAAATCCTTTTAACAGACTGTAAACTCTGCAGCTCTCTGAGAAATCCTTTTAACAGACTAAACTTGTCAGTGCTCTGAGAAATCCTTTTAATAGACTAAACTTGTCAGTGCTCTGAGAAATCCTTTCAGCAGACTGTAAACTCTTCAGTGCTCTGAGGAATCCTTATAACAGACTGTAAACTATGCAGCATGCCCAGAAGTCCTTTCAACAGACTGAAAACTCAGCAGCCCTCTCAGAAATCCTTTTAAAAGACTACATTCTGCAGCAGTAATCCTTTTAACACACTCTCAAGCAAGCCAAGAAACCCTTTTAACAGACTGTTAACTCTTCAGCGCAACTCAAAAATCCTTTGAACAGACTGTAGACTCTGCATCACTCTCAGAAATCCTTTTAAAAGGCTGTTTACCCTGCAGGACTCTTAGATATCTTTTAAACAGACTTAAATCTGCAGGGCACTTTGAAATCCTTTTAATAGACTGTGTACTCTTCAGTGCTCTGAGAATTTTTTTCAATAGACTGTAACCTCTGCATGTACCCGGAAATCCTTTTAACACACGTTAAACTTTGCAGCACACTCAAAAGTCCTTTCAACTGACTGTAAACTCAGCACTCTCAGAAATCCTTTTAAAAGACTAAATTCAGCAGCGCACACAGAAATCCTTAACAGGCTGTACACTTTGAAGCATGCACAGAAATCTTTTTAACAGACTGTCAACTCTGCAGCGCTCTTAGAAATCCTTTTAACAGACTAAACTCTTCGGTGCTCTGAAAAAAATCCTTTCAACAGACTAAACTCTTCAGTGCTCTGAGTAATACTTTCAACAGACTGTAAACTCTGCAGCACGCCCAGAAATCCTTACAGCAGACCAAGCTCTGCAGCACTCTCAGAAATCCTTTTAACAGCCTGTAAACCCGGAAACACACCAAGAAATCCTTTTGACAGACTGTCAACTTTGCAGCACACTCGGAGATCCTTTTAACAGACTTCAAACTCTTCAGCGCACCTAAAAGTCCTTTTAATAGACTGTTAACTCAGCAGTGCACCTAGAAATCCATTTAACAGTATAAAACTCTACATTACATGTTAGGGGTTGGTACATGACTCTGTTTATCACATGATAGACAGCTGTAAAAACAGACATTTTACCCCGACAGGTGTTTTGAGGACTAGATGAAGAAATACATTTTTCAGAGTGTGTGGGTGTGCGTGTGTTCGCAAGTGTGAGTTATTATTCGTGACAAGTGGTTGGTACATGACTCTGTTTATCACAAACACCCAGAGAAAACTAAATTCTGAAAATGAAGATTTGGAGGATGAGGAAGAAGATACTGGTGGAAAGAAGAGGATGAGGATGTCGAGGAAGAGGAGGTTAAGGTTGAGGAAGATGAGGGGGGTGAAGGTGAGGGTGATGAAGGAGTGTAATAGAGAGCAGCTCCTGTCTGAGCTCATAAAACCAAAATGGCCGTCAGTGGAAATGAAGCGGTCTGATTGGATTTTGGAGGATTAATCCCAGAGGAGAGCCTACACACACATGCACACAAGCGCGTGTGAACACACACACACACACACATAGCTGCTGATCAAACTGTGTTTTTTAATGAAACTGAGACTACAACTGCTCCACAGCCCTCTCTCTCCTCTTTCCCCCTCTCTCTCTGAAAGTGTAATTCTCTGAATGCAGTGTACATAAACTCCTGATGCTCACATATTTACAGAGCTTGAACAATCACAGTTAACATGTCCTTAATCTGTTAGACCAAAGCATGGAATAATACAGGAGAAAATAAAAAAAATAATAAATCCAAAATACTCCTGACATCTGTTCCTCTAACTTTGTGATAGAAATACATAATACATGTGAATGATGGGATTGACATGGTACATCTTACAAATGTGATTGTGATTAATATGATAAATGTAAATAATGTCATGACATTGGTTTTAGTTGTTAATTTTAATGGTCTAACTGATGTAGACTTGAACTCTGTTTTTATCTCTTTGTGTGTCTCTGAAATCGGTTTTCGTTTCTTTAATGGTCTCTGTGTGTGTATATGTGTGTGCTCGTGTGTGTGGGTGTGTAAAAAGTTAATGGAGTGAAGATGATGATGATGATGATGGCAGCGCTCTGCTGTTTTCAATTTACTCTAACTGTCTCCTCTTTATTCTCCTCTGTGTCTGATTCTGTGTGACTAAAAATGTGTTTGTGTTCCAGTTTAACAAGTATGAAAATTAAAAACAGAGTGTGAGGAGTAACTCTGCTGTCAGCTGGAGGACACAGTGAGGACACGGTAGTTGAATGCTGTTTCAGTGTCACCTGATCACCCGTGAAACTCACCTAGCTTACTTGTATCTTATATTTGTAGTGTTAGCAGAGCAGCTAACTGTTTAACTTACAGTCCTAAAGCCTCTGTAGCATTAGCATTGAGGCTAACAGCAGTAAGTACCCTTTTGTAACTCTCACAAAGCTTTAACAATGGAGTTAACTGAAGAACCAGAAAATGAAATAAAGTTCATCTCTAGGAGCCTGGTGGGTGTTAATATAAAAAACCTGACCCAAAAAGTAAGTTCAAATGATATATTAGAAAAATGATAATGCACACAAACTTGACAGTTTTCACTGCAACAAAATTCACAAGAATGCAAAAAGTCTCTTGATTTTTTTTTTTTTTTGTCAATCCACACAAACCTACACAGTTCCCAGCTGAGATTGCCATCCTCCCATGCTCATGTGGAATCAAGGGAAGAAGAAGTGACACAGTAACCTCAGATATTTATAGATATGGAAACTTATGGATTTAACGAAATGAGATGAATAGAAACTGTTTAGAATATGGACATACTAGTAATTAAAAAGTGAATATTCATTTATAATATATTTCTAATCAATACAACTAATACATTTCTAATTCAATAATATTATTATATTTCTAAGTACCATAGTAAGAAGGTTACTTCTCTGGAAGGACGGACATCATTTAACCAGAATATCAATTTGATTTTAATTTCAATAATTAAACTTAAATCATCAAAAGTAACTAGGACCAGGACAAGGACCAGCACCAGGTCAGGTTAATGTTTTCACTGGTCTAATGATGAAGCTGAGTGGGTCAGCCTGTTTTTCTCTTTATATTCTTCAATAGAGAGAGTTTAGCTCTTCATCACTCTTCACCCTACTCTTCCACCCTTTCTCTCTCTGTGAACAGCTCCTCCCCCTCTCCCTCTCTTCAGGAAACTTTGCATGCTGTTCTCAAGCTGCTCTTCCTCCTCTATTCACCCTCCTCCTCTTCCTCTCCCCCTGTAACAATCTGTTCCTCTCTTTCTATTCACCCCCCCTCCCCCCTCTCCCCCTCCTCTCTTTCCATCTCTCTGTATATTCTTCCTCCACCTCGTTCTGTCTCTGCGGCTGGCTAACGGAGCATGAGATTGGCTAATTAACAGCTGCCTGTCGGCACTGCAAAGACAGCTGGGTAATTTGGTAAGAGTAGAGAGATGGTGGGGGGGGGATGGGGGGGGGGGGCGTGTACGGTTGCGTTTGTGTTGTACAGTTGTTTTAGAGAAGCAGGTGTTCCACCTGTCTGCTACTGTTCTTGATATCTGTTCTTCAATGTAAAGTGATCTGGAAGGGTGGCTGTTATACTGATGATTACCCTGTTGACAGGACTAAATAAAACACTGAGTCTCAGTTATCACGGTTTCTGTTGCCACTGAGTCTCAGTTTCACTGTTTCTGTCTCTGTTTAGTCATAGTTTCAATGTTACTGTCCCTGCTGAGTCTTAGACCCATTTTCTCTGTCTATGTTGAGTCTTAGTTTCACTGTTTCCATCTCTGCTCAGTCTCAGTTTCACTGGTTCTGTGTCCACTGAGTCTCAGGTTCACTGTTTCCGTCTCTGCTCAGTCTCAGTTTCACTGTTTCTGTGTCCTCTGAGTCTTAGGCCCACTCTTCCTTTCTTCACTGAGTCTCAGGTTCACTGTATCTCTCCATTTTTGGTCTTAGTTTCACTGCACTTGTATCTTTTTCAGGCTCAGTTTTATTGTAGTTTTTTCTTCTCAGTCTTAGTTCCTTGCATTTAGGCTGTATTGGCTGAGTGAGATCATGTTGGTTCATTCCACTTTAGTGGGGCAACATAAACTGTGATTCATAAAATAGCTCTATTGGTACAAAGTACTAAAAGAAATATCTACTCATGCCATCCAGTCGATTTTTAGTAATCAGTGTTTCGGTGTCAAACTATTTCCTTTCTGTGGCATAGTGATAATTGCACACACGCAATCGAATATGCAAAGGGGTGAAGTGATTTTTGTCACGTGGACCAATAGGAGCCGAGTCTCATTGCCATAGTATCAGAAATACACAAACATGGCGACGACCGCATCTAGCAGCGAGATAAGCGAAGAGGAAGAAAAAAAAGGAAAAAAAGAAAACAGCCTACTAAAGTTCATAAAAAGAGGAACGAAACAATGCTATATGCAATTATCATCCGTCCAGAGTGAAGACGTTATCGACTTTACAAGGACACGTTGGGAAACTTACAGAACTAGTATTAGAAAGTGGCTTTCTCTACAGGGTGAGACAAAGGACCTTGCAGAAACGTATAAAAATTGTGTTGATATTGACTTTGACAATGTTCCTGATGACGCTGGGTTTCACATGACATGCTACCAGCAATTTATTTGCAAAGGCGTTTGAGAAACAAGAACATGATGCAGCCGCTGGTCAGTCAAACCCTTCAGCCAGCATCGCCAATGCATCTACGTCCATGGCATCTGAAACTCCGTGAAAGAAACTTCGCTCAAGGTCATAGGCTGTATTGGGACAAAGGAAAAAGAGCCTAGAAAGTGAATTTCGTTCAACTACGCTGGTGCTACTTGTTCAATGAATTTTTGCATAGACATTACCATTCTGGACTTTGGGTTAAAATATCTACTCAGACTATCTGTCCGACTTTTGTCACCAGCCAGAAATGTACATATATGTGAGTAACCCAAAAAACAATTACATGGTGCTGCTGTTTTTGCTTGTAGAAACTGTTATGTTGATTCTGGCAAGACAAAATCTTTCTCAAATGTCATAAATACATCTACCTAACATCTGAAACACTTATTGGTGCCTTAGTATACGCATAAGTGAATTCAGATTATGAAATGTAGCAAATTTCTTGAAGAAAACGTCTCAACTCAAGTGATTTGCACCCAGCACAATGAAATATATACAGTAAATTTAGCTAAAAGCTTATGTTTCATACATAAAAATGACACAACCTACTGTGTAATAAAAGCAATAAAATATAAACAGCACATCATGGCCATAAATGGCTGAAAGTCAATCAAATTGCTACCACGCCCCCCAAAATTGGAATAATGGAAAAAATGTAACAAGACAAAAATAAATGCACTTAGGTCTGAATTAATTCAAAATATGGTATAAAACATTTATTCATGTATCACAGTGTCAAAACATCTGACATTTATCAATCCCTCCAGAATATGAAAATAAAGATCAAAACACAAACGCAGACAAATGTAGAACAAATATAAAAATAATAAAAATCTCAAATCTTGGTGTAGCAATCCTTTAAACAAAACAAATTGTACATGGTGACATGGTGCGTATATTATGTATCACTATCACTTTCATCAGAGTCATCATCCCATACAGCTCTTTCTTCTGTTTCCTTTGAAGCATTCTCACATGCTTGGCACCGACATAAATCTGTACAAGATAGTCTTGCAGACATACAAGAACATCGTTCAGTCTCACATTTGGTTGTCTTGCAACTACAGTGGACTATCTGCAAAACACTATCAGGGGCAGGATTTGTAGTCATCCATCTCACTAATGTGCCACCCATTGCCAATGTGCGAGGGGGCACACATTTTACCAGTCAGAGAATGTTTCATCACCGCTGCTTGGTAGTTTGCTCTCATGCAGTGTTGGTATAGGGCGTCACTTGTTGGGGGAATGGACAGTTCTGACAAAGCTGACGAGGCCATGCAGAAAGATTTGTATCTGGCATCATTTACATTTTTGGCAGATGACTGGCCATACAGGTGGCACACATAATTACTCAGCGTGTTAAAGGTGGATTGGTTAAAATTGTTGCCCAGATTTGCAAACCCAGTCAGGTATTCTTCTTTCTGACAAGCAACAGTAAATGTTTTTCTTTTGCTCTTGCCATGAAAGGCACTGGTCAAGCCACAACCTGTGAATGTATGGATGCACAATGGGTGGCACATTGAGGATGGGGAGTTGGCAGTGAGATGGATGACTACAAATCCTGCCCCTGATAGTGTTTTACAGTTTCAGATGCCGTGGACGTGGATGCATCGGCGATGCTGGCTGAAGGGTTTGACTGACCAGCGACTGCATCACGTTCTTGTTTCTCAAACGCCTTTTGCAAATAAATCGCTGGTAGCATGTCATGTGAAACCCAGCGTCATCAGGAACATTGTCAAAGTCGATATCAACACAATGTTTATAAGTTTCTGCAAGGTCCTTTGTCTCACCCTGTAGAGAAAGCCACTTTCTAATACTAGTTCTGTAAGTTTCCCAATGTGTCCTTGTAAAGTTGAGAACGTCTTCACTCTGGACAGATGACAGATGCATATAGCATTGTTTCAACTTTTGAAGGCTGCTTTCTTTTTTTCCTTTCTTTTCTTCCTCTTTGCTTGTCTCGCTGCTAGATGCGGTCGTCGCCATGTTTGTGTATTTCTGATACTATGGCAATGAGACTCGGCTCCTATTGGTCCACGTGACAAAAATCGCTTCACCCCTTTGCATATTCGATTGCGTGTGTGCAAGTATCACTATGCCACAGAAAGGAAATAGTTTGACACCGAAACACTGATTACTAAAAATCGACTGGATGGCATGAGTAGATTTTTTTTTTAGTACTTACTATCAATAGAGCTATTTTATGAATAATGAATTTTTATGAAAAGTGGAACGAAATTCACTTTCTAGGTACTTTTTCCTTTGTCCCAATACAACCTAATTTGTCCCTGTTGAGTCTCAGTTACACTGTTTCTGTTTTTGTTTCTGCTTGGTCTTAGTTTGTAACATTAAAGTCAGCTTAAATCTGCCCTGCATTATGGCTTTGAGCCCAGTACAGACACATTAGACTATGATTCAATGACAGTAAACTTAATTGGGGAGTACGTAAAAGACAGCATCTAAAATGAGGTTTCAGACAGAAGTAATGATGTTTTTATACACCAAAGTGAAAAACACAAGGCTTTTTTTAAAACCTGAAAATCATGTAAAAGGCTATTAAATAGGTATCAGAAACAAGGCATAGACTTTGGAAATAATATGTAATACCCCAATATTCTTCAATAACGTTGGGTTAAAACACTGTTTTTGTTCAATGTGAATTGAATTTTGGTCATTAAGGGACGTCAGACAACTGAAATTGTCACAGAGATTTATCCTGACCCTGCCTGCTCAGCCTCTGTCAGTGTGATTGGATAGAAGCATGTCAGCCAGTAGCAAAGCTGATCCCTCCCATGTGGGTCAGACAGGTGAAACAGACCTTTAACATGTCAACATTTTTAAAGTTGTCAGCTACGTTTCTCAAAGGCTGAAACCATGTTTATAGTGAGAGAGAGAGAGAGAGAGAGAGAGAGAGAGATCTCTAAGAAAACAGGATATATCAGCTACTCCGACAAAAGAAAGAAGAAGAAACAATGAGAGAGACAAAGAGAAAGAAAGAGAGGGAGAAAGAGAGACACATACACACTAATAATCAGTGACTGGGTAATTTAAGTATGAATCAGAGTGAACAAGTCAGAAAAACACCTCACACTGAGTTTAACAACAAGCTGAGACAAGAGAAGAATGTACACACACATTAGTGTGTGTTTGTATCGGGAGTGTCAGAAGATTACACAACTAACTGCACCTTTGTGTGTGCAAGTGCGTGCGCACAGGGTAACACACCTTTCTTTCATATGTTCATAGAAACCTGTTGGCTAACAGTTTTGTTACTCATTCCCTGAGTGTGGTGCATTCAGGTGCTCTCTGTACTCTGTGGTTCTGTAAATTTGTTCTCAGGGTCTGAAGACTACCTGCAGGATCAGGCTTATTTCTTCGGAGCAGCTACAGGTGGAAGTTATTAACATGGTCAGATATTCATGCATGAAAGTAATATGAAGTAAAAATATGATCAGCATTACTATAAATACTAAACTAACTAAAACCAAAAATGGCAATTGAAAAAGCCCTTTAACTTCTTAAGATCGACAGGGATCATTCTTTGTTTTGTTTTTTTATTGAACTTGTCTTTTTCTGTCTTAGGCAGAGCCACAGACAGGTGGTGCTGTTTAAAATGTGTTTGTTTAAACATGTAACCCTTCAGCTTTACTTTGTGTGAGTCCTGAGCTGACAGTGCTGAAGTGAAAAATAATCAGATAACCTCATCAAAACTCAAACTGCCAGAGCTCTCTGTTTACAAAGATACACACACACACCTTCAAAACTCTGCACACGTACACTGCACGTTGACACATGCACCCTCAACATGTTGCGCACGCGTTCACGCATGCATGCACACACACACACAAGCACGCACAGACCAAGGTAGTTGGTAAAATCAGATAAGTCAGAGGAAAACGCAGGGTAAATCAGTCGCATGTAGAGTTCTAGACTTTAAAAGAATGCCTTGAGAACTTTGTTTGCTGAAGGTTTTTAAATTTCTGTCCGAAAATCACAACCTCTACATAATTGACGGATACAGCTCATCCTGCAGACAGTCACAGTTCATCCTGCAGATACAGCTCATCCTGCAGACAGTCACAATTCATCCTGCAGTTCATCCTGCAGACAGTCACAGCTCATACTGCAGGCAGTCAAAGTTCATTCTGCAGACAGTCACAGTTCATCTTGCAGACAGTCACAGCTTACCCTGCAGTTCATCCTACAGACCATGACAGTTCATCCTGTGGTCAGTCACAGTTCATCCTGCAGACTATCACTGCTCATTCTACAGACAGTCTCAGTTCATCCTGCAGACAGTCACAGCTTACCCTGCAGTTCATCCTACAGACCATGACAGTTCATCCTGCGGGCAGACACAGTTCATCCTGCAGTTTATCCTGCAGACTATCAATGCTCATTCTACAGACAGCCACAATTCATCCTGCAGTTCATCCTGCAGAGAGTCACAGTTCATCCTGCAGACAGCCTCGGCTAATCCTGCAGACAGTGCCAGTTTATCCTGCAGACAGATACAGTTCATCCTGCAGTTCATCCTGCAGACAGTCACAGCTCATTCTGCAGGGAGTCACAGTTCTTCCTGCAGACTGTTACAGTTCTTCCTGCAGGCAGTCACAGCTCATCCTGCAGACTGTCACAGTTCATCCTGCAGAGAGTCACAGTTCATCCTGCAGACAGCCTCGGCTAATCCTGCAGACAGTGCCAGTTTATCCTGCAGACAGTTACAGTTCATCCTACAGACAGTCACAGCTCATCCTGCAGTCTCATAGCTCATTCTACAGACAGTCAGAATTCATCCTACAGACAGTCACAGTTCATCCTGCAGACAGTTAAAGCTCATCCTGCAGACTGTCACAGCTCATCCTGCAGATTATCACAGCTCATCCTGCAGACTATCACAGCTCATTCTACAGACAGTCACAGTTCATCCTGCAAACAGCCTCGGCTCATCCTGTAGACAGTGCTATTTTATCCTGCAGACAGTCTCAGTTCATCCTGCAGTTCATCCCCCTGACAGTCACAGCTCATTCTGCAGAGAGTCACAGTTCTTACTGCAGTGTGTTACAGTTCATCCTGCGACAGCCTTGGCTAATCCTGCAGACAGTGCCAGTTTATACTGCAGAGAGTCACAGTTCATCCTACAGACAGTAACAGCTCATCCTGCAGTCTCATAGCTCATTCTACAGACAGTCACAGTTCATCCTGCAGACAGTAACAGCTCATCCTGCAGACTGTCACAGCTTATCCTGCAGGCAGTTGCCTGTATTTCTTATGGTAAAGAATTTTATCATAAGAATTTACCTGAATTACTTGTGGTTTCTTATCACTCGAAACTTCACATCAGAGGGTTCGGATTGCAGGAGCACATTCAGCGTGATTAATGTTTACACCATATCACTCAGAGCAGGAATGAACATCTTCATGAAAATCACCTGAAACTATCTCACCTCTTCATCCACAGGTTAATATAGAGTCCCTCCTGGGTGATGCATCACTTTCTGCACAGCACAAACACATCAACACTGTCCACTCTGGTAAAACATCACAGATGACTCTCTGTGCTGTTAATAAAGAGACTCTGAGTCTCTGGGTTTGTTTTATTTATTATTTCATTTATTATATATTCATCATCTGAAGCTGTGAGAACACACACCAACAAACCACCGTACAGCTCACACTGCTGCCAGGGAACATGTATAGATCATAACACACACACACACGCACACACAGGGGGAGTGTTTGTGAGTTTTATCATACAGGAAACACATGTTAAATTCCAGGAGAAGTGGGGCAGATGGAGAGAGGGAGGAGGTGATGGAGACGTGTGATGAAGATGGAGAGAGAAGAGGAGGAAGGATGGATGTTTAGATAGAGGGAGGATGAAGAAAACCACATGACAGTGTAATAGAGGAGGACTAGGAGGGTGAGGATGGTGAGGCCGTGAGGCCACAGATGGATTTTATCTGTTTATGAAGTTTTATCTGAGGAGAGATGATTAATTTATCTCCAGAAACTGAAATAAAAACACAAACCGATAAAACAATGAATCAGTGATATTAAGTTTAACCCATCTTTTTTCAAAAAAATTCTTAATTCTCTGACCTCACAGCCATAAATTAAGAAAAAATTACCCCCCCCCCCCCCCCACACACACACACACACACACACACACAGCAGACTCTGATCATATACAGCTGTCGAATGTTTTCAATGATAAAGGCAATTTACACTGCAGTTTCTCCTGTCCATTAGAGGCTGTGTCCTAGAGTGAGTCAGCCCCCATAGAGCCTCATGTTAAACATGTTTATGGCCTGGTTATAGAAACAGTTTGTGTCTCTGCAGTTCATTCCTCTGTTCTCACTGAAATCTGCACATTAGGGGGCGTGGCCTCTTTGACAAGCGAGTATAGAATTGTCTGTGTCTAGTTGTTAAATATCAGTCTGATCTGTCTGTGTGTGAGTGTGTTTGTGGTCCCATGGTTTTACACCAGTTTATATACACTAACCAGACACATTATGAGGTTCACCTTGCAAGTACGTCTTCAGAGCTGCCTTCGTGACATACAAAGTGTTAAAACCTTCCTCAGAGATTTTTGTCCATATTAAAATCAGAACATTGCACAAGAGCTGCAGATTTGTCAGCTGCACATCTATGTTGTGAATCTCCTGTTCCTCCACATCCCAAAGATGCTCTATTGGATTGAGATCTGGAGACTGTTCAAGAAACCAGTTTGAGGTCATCCAAGCTTTGTGACATGGTCCATTATCCTGCACCATGTCACATCAGTGTAGACATCAGAGGATGAGTACACTGTGGTCATAAAGGGATGGACATCCAGGTCTGATGTGAAGATCAAACTATGTAAAGTGTGCCAAGAAAATACCCCACCACCACCACCACCACCACCCCAGCACACACACACACACACACACACACACACACACACACACACACCATTACACCACCAGCAGCAGCCTGAACTATTGACACAAGGCAGAATGGATCCACGCTTTCATGTAGTTTAGGTCAAATTCTGACCCACCATCTAAATGTGCCAGCTAAAATCCAAACTCAACAGACCAGTCTTCTAAGTTTTGGTGAGCCTGTGTGAACCATATACTATGGACAACTTGGTTCCGCCTATCGCCTGTATACGGATTTGAAGCCAAAAAGCTCTCGGTATTTTCCAGGATTTTTCTTCATTTCCTGAAACCAGCGCTGCGCAGTAGCGATGCGCGCATTCGGCTGTGCAGTCGCCGTGTCACTGTGATGATGCTCGGCTCAAACAGCGTATCCCCCCAGGTGAGCTACACAATCCCTTAACACCCATAGGCTGTATCAGGTGTCAATCAAAGAGTTGCACAGAAAAAAGAGGACTTGAGCACAAACCAGTCTTACAATAACTTGAATTCACTGAGCTGCTGCCATTTTATTGGCTAGTTAGCTATTTGTGTTAGCAAGCAATTGAACAGGTTAGGGCTAATTAAGTGTCTGGTGAGTGAATGCTAGTCATGCAATGTGTGGTCAGCCTTAACCGGAAGTGAGCTTGTTTGTTTGTTTGTGTGTGTGTGTGTGTGTGTGTGTGTGTGTGTGTGTGTGTGTGTGTGTGTGTGTGTGTGTGTGTGTGTGTGTACCCTTCTTAGGTGAGGATCCTGACACACTCAGTGAACACTCCATCATGGCTGTCTCCCAGGGATACACGGTGCTGGCGTCTGAGTGGATAGTGATGGAGAAGGAGGGGCCTGACACATAGGAGGATAAAAACACAGTGATGTTAGCTGACTCTCCCTGCTGGTGCTATATAGACCAAGTGACCACAGGGTCCTGACAGGTTACACAGCACTGATATAAACCATCATCATAGTCTTTGTTAGAAACATTCACTCTGACTGATTCAGGTCTGATTACGTGACTCCTAAGACTCTCAGTCAGTACCTGCTCAGGTGTGCTCAGGTGACCTGTCAGCAGCATAATCATCTTCAGTCTTGTGTCTCTGAATACACAATAAACACTGTTTAAACCGCCTGTTATTGAAGAAAACACTCTGACTGTGTGTGTATGTAGCCTGCTATCTGTTATAATGGGATCCTATTTACTGTAAACTGTTAACACAATCAGCTACAAATGCAGACTTAAGTGTGAGGACAGACAATCCAGCAGATCAGCCTTTTAAGCAGAGCTTAAGTCAGTGTCTCTGGTTTATTCAAAGGTAATTGAATATCTGTCTGATTGGATCTGAAAATGTTAACACAGAGAGTTTCTATCAAACCCAGTGTTTAACGGTGACAGAGTCTCACAGTATTATGTGGTAAATCATGGTTGTGCGTCAGCTTCTCCTGCAGTGAACAGCTGACATGTTGTCACACATTAAGAAAATCAGCTCTGAATTATTCATCAGGCATCACGCTGCTGTCGTTATAGAGGATCTCTGAGAATCATCAACATGCCTGAAACATTCAACATATATACCCACACACTTACTTACACACACACACATGCACGCACGCACGCACGCACGCACGCACGCACGCACGCACACACACGCACTTCACAGACTTCCATCTCCTGAGGCGAGGATGCAGGAAAACTGCTCAGCGAGAAGCTCTCTGTTAGAGAGGGAGAGTGTGTGCTTGTGTGTGCGTTGCTCTGTGTGGGGTCATCTCTACATGTTGGACTCAGATACATGTTGTTGAACACTTGAACACTTGAACACTTGAACAGTCTCACACACAGTCACACACACACAGCGAGGCAGCGGTGCAGATCACTGATTGGCCGAAGGGCTTCACTTTGAAGATGTCCCTGAGAGAGAGAGAGAGAGTGAGAGTGGGGTGAGCAAGGTGTGAGAGAGGTAGAGAGACTGTGGATGGAAGAGAGAGGGAGGGAAACTGAGTGATGGAGAGCCTGGTTTCTATTTTCTCTCACTGTTGAGCTCTATTTTCTCACTTTAGTTTGTCCTCCTGCTCTCTCTCTCCTGATCTACTTGTCTTTTAGAGATCATGTTTAGCTCTGCTGACTGAGGGAAAGAGGGCTCACATTAAGGTCATCATCTGATTTTAAGTTTACAGTTAGGATAATTTTTCAGATTAGACAGAGATTTAAAATTTGTTTCTGATCAACAAAACACAACGTTTTCCACTCAATTGTTCTTTCTGGGTATTTTGAGTCTTGATTTTCAGACTTTAATATGTCTTTTTTTAAAATAAACCTCATGGACAGCTGCCAGTCCTCTGATGATTGAACTGATTTACTGTGAGCAGAGAAATCATGAGCTTCAGCTGACCATCACAAACATTAACTGGTACAGTCTGAGTTATTCTTCCTCCATGACATTTATAAATTAAATACACTCATAAAAAATATTTAGGCATATATAAAATATATTCATAATTTTTGTTCTATATATTATTAACTAAAATGGAGTATACCTGACCTGATGGAGGACAGGAGCAGCATCAGCTGGCTGATGTTTATTCTGATTCTATTTTAAAATACAAGTTAACATATTTTGTTTTTGGACCTCCTCCAGAATGACATGATTCATCTGACTGAGCTACACATGAATAAATTTACTGTTTCAATAAGACTTAAAAAACACAGAAAACCCATCTTTGGAGACATTTTGAAATTAGATGTTTTGGATTCAGTGAACTGTCAATGATATTTTTATTTGTGACCTCTTTTTCTATGAAGATATGCTCAAAATTATCGTCATTACTGAAACTCATGCCATTATAAGAGATTACTCTCTGGCTGCTGTTAAGCTGAGTGATTCAACTGACAGTCATAACGTCTTGATTCAGCATCCAGAAAGATGACAAGGCAGTAAGCAGCATCCATGATGAATTTCTAATGAGCTCACTTTGCAGAAAAACAGAAGATTCAGAGATTATAGACACAAGAGCATCTGTTGAATACACAACAAAAAAAACAAGGCCATCACTCCTCCTCTTCCTCCTTACTTCGTCAGCAGCTCATCTTTTTAGTTTGACCTCCTCACCTCATCCATCCAATCCCTCCTCTTCCTCCCTCTCTTTCCTTTTTATGTCTTTTTCTTCAATCGTTATATTTTTTCTACTCAACCTATCCTCTCTTCCCTCACATCCTTCCTTTTTCTTTCCTTGCCTACTGGCCCTCTTCCCCTCCTAAGTCCACTTTACCTCCTTCTCTCCTTGTGGTCTCCCTCTTTCTCCCCCTCTTCCTTCCCTCTCAGATCAAAGACAGTAAAGTAGGCCAGAGAGAAAGAGAGGGTGTGTGCGCATGTGTGTATGTGTGTGTGAGGGCGGTAGAGGGCTTAAGGTGTGAAAGTGTTTTTTTATTTACACATTATTAGTGACTGTGAGCTGGTTATCATTATCACTCTGAGGAGGACTGTGTGTGTGTGTGTGTGTTGACATGTAAAGAACAAAGCTGCTTACATGTGTCTATTTTTAGCTGTTACTCCAGCAGCATGAACATGAATTTATTCTGCTGTTTGTTCAGTTAAGAGGAAATAAAAACCACAGCATGAGGAAACTTCAAAACGCCTCTTTGAACTACATTACCCATCAGCTGCTGCAGGGGAAATTTGGAGAAGAGGTTGAGCAGAGGGACAGAGCTGGGGTGCAAATCTGTTATTGAGATCTTTTTTCATATTTACAGACATGAATTAAAACCACAGAAGAAGAATTTAGAGTTTGCTTAAAGATGACTTATTCCTAAGGAATAAAATTTGCTTAATTAGGGGGTGTGGCCTCTTTTTTATTGTTTGATTTATTTTGCTTGTTAGGGAGTGACAATATTTGGAGAAGGGAGGGGCTAAAAAGGGGGGTCTTTAGCGCCTCCCTCTTCTCGAAATGACATGCTAATCTGTGGACTAAATTACATGAGGATAGCTACAGACATTATATACGCAGGCAGCACACTGGCCTGCTAGATTGTATGTTGACATTGTCACCATAATGCTGATGGCATTCTGGTAAGACGCTTGTTCACATGTATGTAAAAACATGCCTCCGGAATGCTGTTAAATGACCTAATCAGACTAATTTTGACTCATCAGTGTATGTAGAGTTCCCCAATGTAATACAGATGTGTAAGCAAGACTTCAATTTAGTGCAGCTTAGCCTGAGCAGCAGTGCAAGTTGTATGCAGTTTGCAGAGTAAAATATTCGGTTAATTTTCAAAATAAAATAAAGTCAATACATTGAACTGTTCTTAAATTGATAAAAAGAGAGGCCAGGGTTGTGGGATGTGAATGTTTATATACACCGTCGTTTATGTACACCAATTGGCGGATCTCATTCTGTGACTTCTGAGGAATGACGCAAGATCTTGTGAGATCTCATCCAGTCTAGTGAGAAATATCGGTAATCTCGCAAGCGCTTCTACTCTGATGGCGGCGGTGGATTGGATCTGGTGGGCACTGTATGGTTGCGTATCTGATCCACGTGCCGGTTAGGAGCGAAGCGGAGCCGTTCCAGATCCAGTGAGATCCCCAGGTTAATGTGGTCGAGGATGAGCCGCTTGTGGAGTAGTTATCGTCCATTTATCGTTATTAGGTGAACTGCACAATATATTGTGATATTGATTTGAGGCCATATCGTCCAGCCCTACTTCAGATCAACATATACTAATGAGGACAACTTTGAATATAACTTAACATATATATCATATAATCATGTTCTTCCTCATCATTAATATAATCACAAGTATTGTGACTATCAAAACAAAATTTGTCACTGAGAGGGGAATACAGGGATATGTCTGACACGCTGAATCCAAAAAGAAAGCATGAAGGTTTTACTGCAGATCTGAGATATTAATTTTCACTTTCAATAAATCAAACTTTGAACGATGCATTTGATGTAGATTTTGATTATCTGAAACAAAAGGAAGCTTTACCAGTCAACAGAAGATATGAGCACCCAGCCTCCTCTTTCTCTGGCCTGGCAAACAATCCATTTGACAATCAGTGAGCCCCAGTGACAAAAACACACAACTCCACCCCCTCGACACCCACAGCTCCACACCCACACCCACACCCATTACCCCTTGTGACAAGCAAAAACACATCCCTGCCTCTACAACAAGTATCAAAAAACATTAAAATTACAGTAACATTTAAGTTTACCTCAGCACTTTTAGTCCACATCTGTTTGTATCTGATGTATCAGCAGGACAACTCAGCCAATGCAGCATCTAGATACATAAGGTCTATGTCTAAAAAAGTTAATCAAAGGCCTCAACACAGAGGACCGCTACATCAGGAAGTGTTATCATGGTTGCCGTGCTGGTGCAAAGGTGAAGGCAAAGCTGAATGCTAGGAGGTGGCGATGTAAACCCTTTCTTCCATCAATCATCATGGGAAACGTCAACTCTCTGCCCAACAAAAGCGATGAGCTGGAGATATTGGTGAAGACTGAGAAAGCATACCGTGAGTGCAGTTTCCTGTGTTTAACTGAAACCTGGTTGAGTCAAAACAACTCGGACTGTGGATCTACCTGGCTTCAATCTCATGAGGTCAGACAGAGATGCTCAAGCTAGTGGCAAGAAGAAAGGAGGAGGTCTGGCTTTATATGTCAACCAGAGATGGTGTAACCCTTCACACATAACTATCAGGGAGAAGTTGTGTTGTCCAGATATTGAACTGTTGGCAGTTGCTCTTCGGCCATATTATGTTCCAAGAGAATTTAGTCATATCATAACAGTAGTTGTTTACATTCCACCCAAATCAACTGAAAAATGTTACAATGTTTTGCAAAATAGTGTTGCCAGGCTACAGACTCAACATCCTGTGGCACTAATAATAATATCGGGAGACTTCAACCATGTCACCCTCTCCTCTCACCCAACTGGTTTCACACAGTTTGTGAACTGTCCTACCAGAGAAAACAAGACCCTGGATCTGCTGTATGCCAACGTCTAAGAAGCCTACAGAGCCACTGCCTTACCAGCACTGGGCAAGTCAGATCATAACTTGGTCTATCTACAAACCTGTTACAGACCTTGTGTACTGAGGCAGCCTGTGACCAAAGTCAAAATCAGAAGATGTACTCCTCAAGCCAGTGAAGCTCTAAGGGACTGTTTTAAATCAACAGACTGTAATGTGCTGCTGGAAACAGATGTGGATAGTATGAACATTGATAAACAGGTTGACTGCTTTACTGAATACATCAACTTCTGTAGAGACACAGTTATACCCACAAAAACTGTTTGCTGTTTCTCCAACAACAAACCCTGGATCACAAGAGACATAAAAGCAATCCTTAACCAGAAAAAGAAAGCTTTTAAAGATGGTGACAAAGAACGACTCAAACAAGTGCAACAAGAGTTGAAGAGGAGACTGAAGATGACAAAGCTGGAGTACAAAAAGAAGATAGAGAAGAATCTACAACATAGCAACATCCGTGAAGTGTGGAGAGGAATCAGTACCATCTCCGGCAATAACAAGAAAAGACTGCCAGTGGTGGTTGATGTGGAAAGAGCTGATGAACTCAACCTGTTCTTCAACAGATCACACCCACTTCCAGTGCTACTCCACCTTCCTCTCCGCAACAAATCTCCACTACAAATTCTCCCTCATCTCGTTCAAATGTCTCAACCACTTCAGCTACATCCCTCCTAGAACACCAGTCCTTGTCTGTCACTGAAACAGGGGTGAGGATGGAGCTTGGAAGACTTTGTCCTGGTAAGGCAGCTGGTCCAGATGGTGTGTGTCCAAGGCTGCTTAGAGACTGTGCTGCAGAACTGTGTCAACCTCTCCACAAGATCTTCAACCTGAGTCTACAGCTGGGGTGGGTACCTGCTCTGTGGAAAACATCCTGCATTAAGCCAGTACCAAAAACAAAATGTCCTGCTGAACTCAATGACTACAGACCAGTGGCGCTCACTTCACACATCATGAAAACCCTGGAGCGGCTGATTCTACTCCTTCTGAGGTCTGAGGTCAAAGACAAACTGGATTCCCTGCATCAACATCGGAGCAGATGATGCTGTCCTCTACATGCTTCACCGTGCCCTGTCTTATCTGGAGGAACCTGGGGTTTATGTAAGGATCATGTTCTTCGACTTTTCAAGTGCATTCAACACCATCCAACCCACCAAAGACAAGCTCACAGAGATGGGAGTGGATCCTGCTTGTGTTTCCTGGATCACAGATTACCTGACAGGAAGGCCACAGTTTTTCAGGCTGGGGAACTGTGTTTCTGGGATAATAATGAGCAGTACATGGGCTCCACAAGGGACAGTGCTGGTGCCATTCCTGTTCACACTGTATACGTCAGACTTCAAATACAGTACTGAGTCCTGCCACATCCAGAAATACTCAGATGACACCGCTATTGTGGCACGTATCCGAAATGAACATGAAGCTGAATACAGAGATCTGATAAGAGTCTTCAGTGACTGGAGTCACAAAAGCTGCCTCCTCCTCAACACCTCAAAGACAAAGGAGATGATCTTAGACTTCTGAAGATCCAAACCCCCTCTTCAGCCAGTGAACACCTGTGGAGTGGACATCGAAGTGGTGACATCATATAAATGTCTAGGTGTACATCTGGATGATAAGTTGGACTGGTCCAAGAATATAGACTTCATCTACAGAAAGGGGCAGAGCTGCCTCTTTTTCCTGAGAAGACTCAAACACAAAGATGCAAGACGTCTGAACAAACTGCTGAAAAAGGCTGGCTCTGTAGTTGGACTCAGGCTGGACTCAGTGGAGGATATGGTGGAGAGATCTACACTGAGGAAGGTGGAGACTATTCTAAAGAACATGGATCACCCACTTCACAACACCTTAATGGATCAAAGGGCCAATGGTGGTGGACGGCTCAACAACAACAGCCATCAGACTTTACAACTCTTGTGTAAATAATAGATGACTTTTAGATACATGACAAGTGAGACGACAGACAATTGAACTTCCCTTCAGGGATCAATAAAGTTCTTCTTATCTTATCTTATATGATGACCATGCTAACTTAACATTTAGGCTCCGCCCCTTAGGACTTCCTCTGCTTGTTCTCACAAACACAGGTCTGTACCTGCAATATCGTTAAAGTGACTCTGAGACTTGTGGACTTGCCGTGGACTCACCATTCTCCTCGAAGTCTATCCGGATCTTGTTGGACTCGGCACTCGTGGCTTTGGTCCAGGCCTGACCCAGCTGCTGTTTGGTCCATGCTGTAATGTCACACCAGTAGTACCCACGGTCGGACAGCTGGACACCCGCCAGCCTGAACCTGAACTCAGCTGAACTGGCCTTTGTCAAGACCAGACTGTCCCTGCACAGGGAAGAGAGAGGGGACATTCAGGATACACACACACAGATCATTTTAAATCAAACAAATATGGACGCCATGGTCATGTGACCTTCTGTTAGGATCGGTGGCTCCTCCGTGCTGCACCACGCTGTCCGGACTCAGAGTCATGATCGTCCTCACGCTGCTCTGCAGGCTGTCCTGTGTTTGGATCAGCACCGAGTACCCAGCCTCCCCCAGGTTCTCAGCGGCCACTGAGCAGCTCATCTCAAAGGTAGCTCCGCCCACTGATGCCTCACGGATGTGCTTCGCCACGACATTCAGAGACGGCCCTGAGAGAAACCAGTCAGTGTAAGAGAGATCAGGAGATTCCTGACAAGAAGTGAGCACTACCACGTACACTAATGCACACAGTTTCTCTCACACTCACACACAGGTGCGCACACTCACACTTTACTCTCTCCAGCAGTGATATGGTTACATCATCCCTCAATTAGCTGAATTGAGGGCAAAAATTTCAGCGTGTCAGACTGGGATAAAGAGGAGGAGTGTAAGAGTGTGTGTGATAGTGTGTGTGTGTATAATGGTGTTCTCTGTGTGTATGTGTGTGCAGAGCGAGACAGTGGATCTGTTGTTATTTTGAAAGGTTTTTTTCTTTGCAGTCTGATGATGAACCTTCATTTTTAATATTTCATTACAGTCAGCTGAGTGTCTGTGATTTTTTGAAAAACAAAGAAAATTCAAATAAAATTATTCAAGTTCCCAAATAGACACAAAATCATTACAAATCTGAGGGGTCAGTTTTAGGCTATATGGATTTACACGCTCTAACCATCAGAGGAGAGAAACTCTGGTGTAACATCAGTCTGCACGCTGCCTTAGAAAAATGATCCTCAAAATGATAAAGGTTAAAAAGTTCAGTTCATTCAGTAGAGGTAGAAATCTGGTGACTGTGTCTGTTTGATGTCTATCAGTGATTTTTTTCCTAAAGGCTTTCCATCAGACACAGCCCCAACAAACTCCATTAAAAAACATGCATTTTAAAGCTGTCTTCTCCTCGTCTTGCACTGTGACCTGACAAATCTTGAATATAAACTTTTTATTAGTCAGAACCCTGGTGAGATTATTTCATCACACACTTTCAGCCTGTTTACTGTCACTAAATAACATTGAAACTTGTTTATTTTGGCCTCAGAGCGCTATCCCAAGATTTTCCCCCGGGGTGAAAAAAGTATTCTGATTCTGATCTTAAAAGTTTAAACCAAGACTTCTGTCTGTCTGTCTCCCACTACAACATGACAGTTTTCATCCTTTATAATACAGTTCAGTGCTTTGCAAGAGATACGATGCCATACAACACAGCATTAACTTTATGGTTTCATATTGTAATATGACACTTAAGATACAGTATGATACTTAACCGATCAGTAGGATATTTTAGAATATAATATTCTACAAATCAGTAAGATTCTTAAAGATAAGACACAACTTTAATTAATGTAGGTTATGACACTTTATAATTCGATATATTCTGATAAATATGATATTTTTTGACGCAGAGTAATACACTTCAGAGAAAAGTGGTTTCAGACTCTCTGCGGTTTTTAAACTCTTAATTTCTGGCACTTGATTTTTCAAACATGTAAACGTCATTATTGTTATTGTTAGTTTACTGTCAGAGTGGATTTTTTTTTCTTACGTTTGGCATCCCAGCGTATGGTCAGTGCTGAACTCCTCAACTCTGAGCTTTGAATCATTTCGCCCTGGCTGTTCAATGTCCATGCCGCCACTGAGCACATGTACTGACCCATGTCCATCTCCTGTGCACATAGACACATAAACAAGGAAAACACACACAGATAAACACATGGTAAAACAAGCAGCAAATAAAACATTCTTAATGAATGACCAAATTGTAAAGATGAGCTGAAAACATCTCCAGCAGGTGTAATTATACTATGTTATACTTTCACAGGTCTGCACAGACAGGTAAGAACAGGACAGGTTAGGGTTAGTCTGATTGTCTCACCTGTGTTGTCAGGACTTTCAGGCGAAAGGTGTTAGGTTGAACTCTGCTTAGACTCAGCGCTCCACTCTCCATCCTCTCTGAGTATGATGGTGCAGGTATCAGGTTACCATGGGCATCCAGAGAGCCAATAGCATGAGAGGTGGATGGGTCCTCACCTACACCTGCAGGAGGAGGCCAGCCTTAAACCAATGATCCTCAGGTGTGCTGTTTATTTACAGTGATTAAATAAAGGTTATACAAGGTACCGGGAAGTGAGGTGTGCTCCCATGTGACTGCTAGTCGGCTTCCTGGGGGTAGATGGGTAATGTTGGTCACATGACATGCCAGCTCTGTGGGATCAGCTGTCATCTGGGGTGTCAGGACAGGGTCAAGGCTCAGACTGAAGCTTGGCTCTGAGGAGAGAGAGAGGTGAAAACTTTATTTAGAAGATCAAAGATTTCAGTTCAAAGCTTTTCTATGCTGTTTCATGTGCATCTATGAAAAGCCAAGGCAGGAGGAGCAGCAGCACAGACTGGGGTTAAATCAGACTCAGCGTGGAGGCAGGGAGAACCTCAGCAGAGCTGTTGGTACAGGAAGTAGGTGAAGACATTTAAGTATGGGATTTGGGATGGCAGAGGTAGGTGATCAGCTCAGCTGTCAGCTGATATGACCTGGAGTTTAGATCAGCTTTAGATCAGCTGATGTACTGTGGGCGGAGCTTGACTTCATGACCTACCTGAACTAACAGTGTGCTCAGTTTTTGTTACACTGTTACTGATGTGTGTGGTAAAAATGTCTGTTTTGTCCACCTATAAACGCTGTGCGGTTTTAGGACTTTGATCTAAGTACTTGCACTGTCAGTTAAAGTCAATCAGTAATGGAGGTATTATCTTCTCACATCGTTGGATAAAAAAAATCAATACACTGAAAGTTCGGGTAATAGTTTCAGCCAATCAGGTGGGCATCTCTCTGGTTTATAAACCTGTTTTTTTTTTCAGCATCAGGTCAGTGCCAGACTCTGTTCAGCCCTGTGATTCAACAGCTGAACCTTAAAATCTGTTAAATCTGCAGGCCTGACACAACACAGACTCTAACAAGGCAACCTGCAACCGTCACACCTGGATGTGACACCTTTAAGCAACTTCAGGTATCTGTCACTGCCTGACAACACTCCTGCCTGAAAGACAAGAGCAAAACCCCTGAAATCTTTCAACGACAACCAGTGAAGGTTTTTAATATTCACTGAACTCTAGCACAGAGTACGACTCATACAGGGCTAACAGACTGATGAAAGGCTGAATCACTGAACAGGAGCTAATTTAACCCTTTAAACACCAAAACCTCTATTAACAGAATATAGAATAGAATAGAATATTCCTTTATTGATCCCCCATGGGAGAAATTTTTTTGCCACAACAGCATCACAGACAAAGGTAGAGCAAAATGCAGTTATAAAAATAAAGATCTTAATATCAAGAAACTAAATAAATTTTATGATTAAGAAAAAATTTAGAAAAAGGAAAAAGGGGAGAAGAAAATGAAATAAAATAAGATAAGATAAAATAAAAATAAAATAAAACTATATACAATATACACAATTTAAGTACCAGAAAAAAGTGGTGGTGTGAGTCCAGTTCTATTACAGTTCGTTGTAAAGTCTTATTGCAGGAGGGAGGAATGACCTGCGGTAGCGCTCCGTCTTGCAAGGTGGAAGTCTCAGTCTGCTGCTGAAGGATCTACTTAAGGCCCCCACAGTCTGGTGCAGTGGGTGAGAGGGATTGTCCATGATGGATACAAGCTTTGCTAACATCCTCCTCTCACCCACTCATCCAGGGAGTCCAAAGAACAGTCCAGGACAGAACTGGCCCTGCTGACCAGTCCTGTTCAGTCTCTTCCTGTCCCTCTCGGTGCTCCCTGCCCCCCAGCAGACCACTGCATAGAAAAGTGCAGATGCTACCACAGAGTCATAGAAAGTCCTGAGCAGAGTCCTGCACACTTCAAAGGACCTCAGTCTCCTCAGCAGGTGGAGACGACTTGGCCCTTCTTGTACAGGATGTCTGTGTTGGTTGACCAGTCCAGTTAATTGTTGAGATGGACACCCAGGAATCTGTAGGACTCCACCATCTCGATGTCCAGACCCTGGATGTTCACTGGAACAGTCTAAGGTGTCCTCCTCCTGCGGAAATCCACGACCATCTCCGTTTAGCTGGAGGTGGTTTGTGCCACACCAGTTGACAAAGTCAGTGATGACAGTCCTTTATTCCCGCTCATCCCCTGACGATACACATCCGACAATGGCTGTGTCATCAGAGAACTTCTGGAGGTGACAGCTCCCAGAGTTGTAGCTGAAGTCCGAGGTGTACAGGGTGAAGAGGAAGGGGGAGAGCACTGTCCCCTGTGGAGCCCCTGTGCTGCAGACCACCATGTCCGATACACAGTTCTGAAGCCTCACAAACTGTGGTCTGTCGGTGAGGTAGTCCACAGTCCATGCAGCTAGGTGACAGTCCACTCCCGCCCTCTCGAGCTTTCCCCTAAGCAGTGAAGGCTGGATGGTGTTGAAAGCACTGGAGAAGTAAAAACACATGACCCTCACAGTGCTGCCGGTTTTCTCCAGGTGAGCCATGGACCTCTGCAGCAGGTAGATGACAGCATTTTCCACGCCGATGTTCGGCTGGTACGCAAACTGCAGAGGATCCAGATGAGAGCTCACCAGGAGGCAGAGGTTCCTCAGCACGATCCTCTCCAGAGTCTTCATCAGGAGAGAAGTGAGGGCCACAGGTCTGAAGTGGTTGGGCTCCCTGGGGTGTGCTGTCTTGGGGACAGGAATCATGCAGGAAGTCTTCCACAGTGTTGGGACCCTCTCCAGACTCAGGCTCAAGCTGAAGATGTGCAGTAGCACCTCACAGAGCTGGTCTGCACAGTCCTTCAGGAGTGGCTGGGGGTGGTGCTGGAGGATGAGTGGAGGGGGGATGATGATGCCGGTGCCATAGAACTGAAGTGGTGTACAGAAGAAGCGGACGAAGAAGCAGACCGGTCGTTGGTTTGATAAGTCGGGGGAGGAGTGGGAGCAGAGTCAAATCTATTGAAGAACAGATTCAGCTCGTTGGCCCACTCCCTGTCTCCTGCTTCAGGTCCCCTCTCGTGGCCCCTGCTGTGACCTGAGATTGATTTCAGACCTCTCCAGACCTCCCTGGCGTTGTTCTGTTGCAGAAGGTTTTCCATCTTGGTCTTGTAGCTGGCCTTTCCCTCTCTGATCTTTTTTTTCAGCTCCTTCTGCACCCTCCTCAGCTCCCCCTTGTCCCCATATTTAAAAACCCTCCTCTTCTCCTTCAGGAGGACTTTAAGTTCCGGGGTCACCCAAGGTTTGCTGTTGAAGAAACACCCTACTTTCCTGGTGGGTACGGTGTTCTCAACACAGAAGTTTATATAGTCCGTGATACAATCTGTCATGGTGTCGATGTCATCACCATGTGGGCCGCACAGTACATCCCAGTCTGTGGTCTCGAAACAGTCCTGCAGCGCCTCAGTGGCCTCCTCCGACCACCTCTTAACATACCTGATGGTGGGGGGTTGTTTCTTTACCATAGGTATGTAAATGGGCTGCAGTCTCACCAGGTTGTGATCTGAGTAGTGCTGCAACTAACGATTATTTTTTTGTCGACTAATCTATCGACTAGTCGTCCGATTAATCACTATCTTCTTTATTTATAAACACCTATTTCCGGGGTGTCAGCGTTTCAGGTGCTCATGCATCGCCGTGGTGCTGCCATGGTAGGAAAGCTGAGCTTTGATCAACGTGTTTTTTTGGTTTGTTCTCCGTAAAATGTTCCCAAACTTTTGAAGTTTTGGGTTGGAGTTTTGGAGCGTCTTTTTCAGTTTGTTCTGCCATAATGTGTGCACTCTTCTTCTGTGTTTGCTCGCGGGATGTAAACAGTGAGCACTACTGCCCCCAGCACATCCTGTAGTGCACTGCAGTTATAGATGAGCATGAGGTGCCGGCATGTGATTCTTAACAACAATAACACGACGCGTCAACGCTTTGTTTTTGTGTTGATGAATTTGTCTTGTCGACGTAATCGATTACGTCGACTAATCGTTGCAGCCCTAGATCTGAGCGGCCCAGCGGGGGAAGGAGGTGTTTGCATCCTTGGTGTTTGTATACAGTAAGTCCAAAGTTTTATTGTCTCTTGTTGGGCAATTCACATACTGGCTGAAGGTAGGAGAGTGGAGGAGAGCGATGCATGATTAAAGTCTCCAGAGATGATGATCAGAGACTGAGGGTGTGATGTTTGAAGCTTGGACACTTCACCATGGAGGAGTTCACAGGCTGCAGCAGCATCAGCCGAGGGGGGGGATGTAGACAGGTAACGCGATGACGTGCGAAAACTCCCTCGGCAGGTAATATGGCCACAAACTCACAGCCAGCAGCTCAATGTCCTTAGAGCAGTGCTGCTCTTTAACACCGACGTGCCCAGCATTACACCATCTCTCGTTCACATACACCGCTATCCCGCCTCCTTTCTTCTTACCACTCTCCCTCATGCTCCGGTCCGCTCTGACGAGATGAAATCCGTCCAAAGTTACAAGTGGGTCCGGAGTGAGTTTGCTCAGCCATGACTCTGTGAACATCATGAGGCTGCACTCCCGGTACTCCCACTGCAGCCTAGACAGCGCTGTGAGCTCTTCCATCTTGTTGGGGAGAGACCTCACGTTTCCCATGATGATGGACGGGACAGTTGATTTATAACGTCTCCTCTTTGCCCGATGCTGAACTCCAGCCCTGCATCCTCTTCTTCTCCTGCGGAGCTTGGCGGAGTTGTCCGGTCTGTCCAACGAAGGTGGCCGGGCTTGGCACAGCGCCAACAGCTGTTCACGGCTGTAAACAATGGGGCCGCTGAACACCGATCAAACTTCCCGTTACTATGTCAGGCTACACTCATGTTAGGTTAAACGTCTGCTTTATCCTCAGGGATTCTTCCAGTCAGACTCTGAGAATAACAACCTGAATGTTACTGGACAATGCTCTAAAAATGAAAGACTGTTTTACACATCCACTTAAATTTAAAGGGATTTTTAATATTTTTTAATTATTTTAAGCATTTGTGGATCAATGATAAGATTTTTAACATTAGATCAATGTTCTTGTAATTTAATAAATTTTCATATTTTAAACCATTTTAGGTTTTTATTAAAACATTTGTAAAATTTTTTGTATACTTTCAAGAGTTAATATTTTTTAATTTAGCCTGGGTTTAAAATTTAAGGAATTCCCCTTTAAATAAATCTCAGCGCACGAGCCAAACACAGAAATAGACTTGGGAGAGAGGCCGCAAGAGAGAGAGTGTGATTGTGTGCATGCATGCGTGCGTGCGTGCGTGCGTTCGTGCGTGCGTGCGTGCGTGCGTGCGTGTGTGTGTGAGAGAGAGAGAGAGAGAGAGAGAGAGAGAGGGAGAAAGTGTATGAGTGTGTAAGTGGGTGACTGTGTGAGTGTGTGTGGGGGGTGTGAGTGTGTATGTGTTTGCGTGTGTTCACAGTCAGACATCCAGGTTGCACCTTTACGCCACAGTGAGCAGAAACACACGCAAAGACCTACACCTGTTTACCTGAGAGCTGTCACATGGACACACACACACAAACTAACACACGCATACACAGACTTACAAACACACATACAAACAATAACACATCTAAACACACACTGATACACACATAGCAACACCATAAATGCTTGAACAGGCGTAACAGTGTTCCTGCATGTTTGGCAGAGATGTGATGTCATTTTGGATGTCAAATACACACATACACATAGATACACACACACACACTTACTGACTCATGCACTGTCACCATCTGCTGTGAAACACACTCTCTCTCTCTCTCACACACACACACACACACACACACACACACACACACACACACACACTTTGATGGATGAGTGTGAGGAGACTCTGCCAGTTATTCTCTTTCTCTCTGATTCATTAGTAACTCTGATTTAATGATTCTCTCTCACTCACTCACTCACTCACTCACTCACTCACTCACTCACTCACTCACTCACTCACTCACTCACTCACTCACTCACTCACTCACTCACTCACTCACTCACTCACTCACTCACTCACTCACTCACTCACTCACTCACTCACTCACTCACTCACTCACCCATGCATACATGTGCGCGCACACACATACACAACTCTGAAATGTGCATGTACAGCAGCATTCTGAGCTTAAATACATTTTCAATATACTTTTAAGTGATGATCTGACATCATTTAGAGTAACATGGTAAAGCTCTGAGATCCTCAAACATGAAATCATCATTTTAATACAATATACACTGGAAACCCTTTATATGAACCCACCTGTTATAGTAATCATGAGCACATTTAAAGCCTTAGAAATGTATCTGTAAGGCTTTTCAGCCACAACAATTTCAAGTTTCAGTGTCTAGTAGGAATATTTGACTAGGGTAAATATTTTTCCATTTACATCTGTTTCATATTTCTCAATTTTTTGGTATTGTTATTTTTTGTCAAATGCAAAAGCGAACTAATTAACAAAAAAAAACAAAAAAAATTAGCAGTGTGATTTCAGCATTTAATCTGTCAACCCGCTCTCTCAAAAATGGTATTGAATCAGCCACTGAAAACCTGTCATCGGTCAACCCCTAGTTCATATCAGCGAATATAAATGTTTCTAAAGTCCAACTAGCAGTGATCTTAATGTACATTAACCTAAATGTAAAAGAAAAAAATGTAATCATAAAAATGTGTCTGTTGTGAAGTATTTTTGACTGACATTTTATATAAATATGACACTTCTTATAAATATGTTATATAGGATCATATTATGGGCTCTATGCACAGCTCCACTACTTCCTGAACTTATATTAAGGCAGCTCCTTTATTTCCTGTCTTACATGATCAGACAAACTGATTAATCCAGGTGTGACTGATCATTGTGACTAGTCAGACACACCTGGATAAATCAGTTTGGAAATAAAGGAGCAGACTTAAGTTCAGAAAGTAATGGATCGGTGTATAGAGCCCATTGTCAGGCTTTAGTATGTTGAGTATTAAGTCATTTTTTCATGAAGAATCATAGAAATTACAACTTTTTAATACATTAAATAAGTTCATCATGAACCTTTATCACATGGTCAAGTTGTGAGAACCTAGAATTCAAGAGACACATTTTTTCTATTGCATTATAAGGCATATTTTATAATGCTTACTGCTTAAACCACTCCCTAAACATTCATATTAGCTGTTATGAATGCTTATAATCACTCATAAGGATTGTTTTAAAGCCTCATAGATGCATTTATAAGGATTCATATATGTAATTATGATGCATCATAAGAGGTAGGTTCATACAGAGGATTACCTTGTCACTGTCAGTGTCTCAAGTTTACAAAAATCTAATTATACATATCTGGTTTGGTAGTACACTAAGCCAAGAGGTCTTAAAGTATGATCAGGTAAGAGTTAAACTGAGAATAAGACTAACTAGGCTAATCTCTCTGACATACAGATGAGATTACAGCTGGTTATTAAAATAATACTGATGCATAACAGTCTGAATGTTTTGAATAATGATCAATCAGATTCAGAATGTATTTTAAGTCCATAAGCTGACCTTCTCATACCTGTGCAGGAGTGTGTCAGCTTTAATAATCAGTGTGTGTGGCCTTATTTATTGTAATAGAGGATGAAGTTAAAACTATAGTGCATAAGATATATGTGTCTGTAAATATCCATTTAACCCAAGCCACTACAGGAGGAGATGTTACGCCCCTCCAACGCTGATTAAGCCGTTCAGCTCCTCCAACAACTCGTGGTATTTTTCAGTATTTGATCTTTCTGTATTTGGTGTCGAGGGCGACCCACGCTGGCTCACAGGAAATGATGCGTTCTACTCTGTTTTACCTGACAATTAGGAGGGAGGGGGGTTGAGAGCCTTGCTAAATGCAACATGGCAGGGAACCCGAAGAAGCCACCAAGAGGTTCAGAAGTGGATCCTACTAAAAAAGAAAAAGCCTCCCCGTTTAAGAGAAGGTCTGTTAGTGAAGAAAGAGAATGACAAATGGAGAAGACTAACACAGATTTACATCGGCATTGCTTTTCCTCGCTGGCGAGCCCTGAAGGAGAAGATTGGACTGAGTTTCGACACCGATGTTGTCTTGATACTGCTGGATAAGTAAGTGACTCTGTTCATTACGAGCAGGAAGTGTTGCTGTTACATGTACTGGACCGAGTACTTAATTATTTTCTTGGAAATGGTACTGTGAATGTAATGTATTGTTAGCAGCCTGGTGTTCGCCACATTGTGTAACATTAGCCTAATGAGCAGTAAGTTACAAGGTGTGTAGCCTGTGTTGCTGTGTGTGACTTAATGTGGAGAGTCTGTGTGCTGGGACGAGAGTGTTTCTCCGTGTAGTGTGACGAGCAGTACACATTTTGTAGCCCGTGTTACTTTGTGTATCATGACAAACAGTATGCTGTGTCTGGTGAGTGTTACTGTATATGATATGCATAAGTCATACTGAGGTGCCGGCCGAATAACACAGAAATCCTCTAGCGGCTGACAGAAGTTACACACTATTGCTTTAAAGCAGAGTTTAAGTCTGAGTAAACAGAGAGACCATCATCACTCTGAGGGAGGACCTGCCAACCTTTGACCTGGTACAGGTTCAGGGGCCTGTATGATGGTTATTTCATCTGTTCAGAGCTGACATCATGTGACCTCACCTCCACAGAAAGTGAGCATCATATGACTACTTAGGTCACACTGTTGCTACTCTTCAGAGTTTTTCTGAGCAAAGAAGGAGACAGAGGGTTGTGTGTGCGTGTGTGCATACATGATGTGTGTGTGTGTGTGTGTGTGTGTGTGTGTGTGTGTGTGTGTGTGTGTGTGTGTGTGTCCATACGTGAGTGTGTGTGTTTGGGCTCCAGGAGACAGAGGAGCAGAAAATAGGTCAATGTCAAAAACACAACAAGAAGCTTTTATCTGCAGCCTGCATGTGTTCAGAGTGTGTATGTCTATAAACACTTACTGAGTGTTTATAGACATACACACTCTGTTATTGTGCGTTTTCTGTTGTACACAGTTAGCTAGTTCTGAGGGAATAAAACTGTGGTGTCCGCTGCATCAAACGTTGTTTCAAACTCTCTTGTTCTCGTGTCTGTGGTCGTAGAGTTCTTAAACACTTGTTTCAGAGCCACTGTTTTGAAACATTAACACAGAGACTGATCTGATACTTTACAAGAACAAAACCAGCTCTGTTACCTAACAGGGTGTGTTCACATGGACTAAAGGAACCTTGTTTGTTTCGGGGTTTTTGTGTCTGCAAACTTCACATCCTGATTATAAACCAGATCAATCTCAGACAAAGCTGATTCTCTACTAGAGAGCCATAAGAGAGATCAGGACTCTGAACCATGAACCCACATGACTAATTATTAATACAGACACCATCAGTGTTCACTGACTGTGGAGCATAAACATACATAGCTCCCCCTGCTGACTGTCCACAGTGGACAGGGGTAAGGTTGTGTTTGTTTACAAATGGTGTGATAGCTTAGCACCTGTGGAGGTTTCTGTCGGGTTCTAAACCCTCTGTGGGTGGAGCTTCAAGGTACATTGTCCAAATCAAACAGAGTCAGTGGTTTTGATCTGTTAAAGGTTAACTCAGGTGTGTTCAGACTTACATACAGAGTGCCTTGATACTTTGCTCTTACGTACATTTCGTGTTTTTGTTTGGTTTCACCTGTTAAAACCCACCTGCACCCCCTGCCATAAATCTCCCCCCTCCACTTCAACCCCCCACCAGCCCTTAAGATCGGTGAAGAGGAGGTGAGTCAGCTCTTTCAGAGGCAGAAGATCAGAAAGGCTCCAGGACCTGATGGTGTGTCCCCCTCCTGCCTGAGAGTCTGCATGGACCAGCTGCAAACCATGTTCACTCAGATCTTTCACAGATCTCTGGAGCTATCTGAAGGCCCCTCCTGCCTCAAACACTCCATCTTCAGCCGGGTCCCCAAGAATCCTCCATCAGAGGGTTAAATGACTACAGGCCCGTTGCCCTGATGTCTGACCCACCGCAGTTTGCCTATTGTGCAAACAGGTCGGTGAATGATGCAGTAAACATGGGTCTGCACTACATCCCTGTCCCTCCTTGACACTGCAGGTACCTATGCTCGGATCCTGTTTGTGGACTTAAGTTGGGCATTGAACACCATTATTCCTGAACACAAACTGGCCAAGCTCACACTGCCATCATCCAGACTGTCCTCTTCAGATCCATCCCAGGTTGGTTTGGACAGGGAGGACAGGGACAGACTACAACGGAACTATCAGGAGAAAGCGATAGGGGCCTTCCTGCCCTTCATCTAGGACTTATACTGGTCCAGGGTCAGGACATGTGCAGGTAACATCACTGCAGACCCCTCACACCCACGACAAATGTTCATACCTCAGGTAGGCGTTACAGATCACTGTATGCCAAAACCAGCCCACTTAAAGATCGTTTCCTTCCCCGCTCTGTTGGTCTGATGAACTCCTAACGTCCACAGGTAATTTGTTTTTATTTAAATACTGTGAAAACACAATGTATATTTACCTCATATACATAAACCACCTGTCGGGATTTTTTTACAAACACGCTCCACTCTACTTCAATCTTAAGTTAAATGTCTAGTTCAGTTTGTACACACATTGTAATTTCATTTTTGTGATTCTTATTATATTTTTTGTAATATTTCATATTTAATGATCAGATTAAACAGATTCATCACTAAAACCTGTAACTGTGTTTACTGCTTACTATGTTTGTCTTCTGTGCGCATGTGTAACAGTGTGTGTGTGTGTGTGTGTGTGTGTGTGTGTGTGTGTGTTTGAAGAGCATGTGTGATAAGAGAGCGTGTGAAAGTAGGTTTGTCGGAGTCTTTCAGCACAGAGACCAAACGCCTCAAATACTGTCTTTGTGTATGTGTGTGTGTGTGTGTGTGTATATGAGAGAGAGAGAGAGAGAGAGAGAGAGAGAGAGAGAGAGAGAGAGAGAGAGAGAGAGAGAGAGAGAGAGAGAAGGAATGTGTATCCCCAGGCTAAACTGTAGGAGTTCCACAGTGAGAACAGCCTCATCCTCTTTGTATGTGGGACTCCCACCGCCCTCCCCACCTTCTCTCTCTATCTCGTTTTCTTGCTCTTCAGATTGACTGTAGCTTACATATTTCATCCTCCTTCAGCTTCAGTATGAGCTCTAGTTTTATGGGAGTGAGTGAGTGTGTGTGTGTGTGCTTCTATTGTATTGATGTGCGGCCTTGAGGTTGCCTGCTCTTCCCACGATGCTTTGCTACCAGCAGAACCAGCAGGAAGCACAAACAGAGTCTAAGGAGAAGGAGCAGCTCTTTGAGGCAGAAGCACATGCAAACACGCACAAACACACACACACACACGCACACGCACGCACACACACACACGCACAGACACACACACACACACGCACAAACAAACACACAGAGTAAAAGTGGCTGAGAGTAACCTCTTTAAACTGAGTGTGAGCCAGCTGGACCTGGTTCCTCTCAGAATTAGACCATCAGGCTGAAAGAGGTACTGTTTCTCAATCTGACTCACCATCTGAACAAAGTACAGTGAACCTTTAAGCACTGCGTACTGAGAACCTGGACTCTAATAGACATTTCCACAAGTGCTGACTGCCACACTGCTGCAGACCAGGTATAACCTGGGGACGCCTGGTGAGAACCTCCTCTTAAATATACCTGACTCCACCTCAGAATAGATTCAAAAATGTTCACAAAAAGATAAAACTCTCAGGTAAAGAGAAAACAACATTATTTTAACTATTTCTGGGCTAAAAAGTCTAACATTTCAGGGATTAAAGTCACAGATTTGACAGGATTAAAACCAAAATTGTTTCAGATATTCGTGAATTTCCCAGTTTGGGATCAATAAAGTATATCTATCTATCTATCTATCTATCTATCTATCTATCTATCTATCTATCTATCTATCAGGTTTAAGATTTTACTTATTAGACAGTAGTGTTGGGCGGTATGAACAAAGTCTTACACTGTGTGCACAATTATTAGGCAAGTTGTATTTTTGAGGATAAATTTTATTTTTGAACAACTACAGTGCTCTCGGTCAATCCAAAATGTTAATAAACCTCAAACCTTAATATTTAAGGGAGTAAAAGTGAGATTTTGACTTCCTTAGGAGAATATCTATGTGTGCACAATTATTGGGGGCAGCTATAGTGTGCAGAATTATTATGCAACTAAATTAAAAATGAAAAATTTTCCATCTCACTTGTTTATTTTCACTGGTTAAAGTGAGAATGATAAACAAACAACTCAATTTACAAATAAAAATTGTTGAAATAAAAAATAAAAAATCAGTGACCAATATAGCCACCCTTCTTTTCATTAACAGTCATAAGCCTTCCATTCATGGAGTCTTTCAGTTTCTTGATCTGTTGACGATCAACTTTTTGTGTTGCAGTAACCAAAGCCTTCCAGACACTGTTCCAGACACTGTTCAGAGAGGTGTACTGTCTTCCTTCACTGTAAATTTCCCGTTTAAGAAGGGCTCACAAGTTCTTAATAGGGTTTAGGTCAGGTGAGAAAGGAGGCCATGTCATTATTCTTTCGTTTTTAAGGCCTTTACTGGCAAGCCACATAGTGGAGTACTTTGTTGCATGCAATGGAGCATTGTCCTGCATAAAAATCATGGTTTTCTTGAAAGATGCAGACTTTTGCCTGTACCACTGCTTGAAGAAAGTGTCTTCTCAAAACTGGCATTGGATTTGGGAGTTGATTTTAAGTCCATCTTTAACCCAAAAGGTCCAGCTAGCTCATCTTTAATAATACCAGCCCATACCAGTACCCCACCTCCACCTTGCTGGTGTCTGATTCGAAGTGGAGCTCTGTGCCCATTACTGATCCAGCCACGGGTCCAGCCACGGGTCCATCCATCTGGTCCGTCAAGAGTCACTCTCATCCCATCAGTCCATAAAACCTTTGAAAAATCTCTCTTCAGATATTTCTTGTCCCAGTCTTGACGTTTCAACTTGTGTCTTGTTCAGTGGTGGTCAGGTTTCAGCCTTCCTTACTTTGGCCATGTCTCTGAGCACTGAACACCTTGTACTTCTGGGCACTCCAGGTAGGTTGCAGTTCTGGAATATGAAAGCACCGAAGGATAAGCGGTTCCTGGTAGCTTTACGTTTGAGTCTTCTCAAATCTTTGGCAGTTAATTTGCGTCTTTTTTTCTTAACACATTTCTTGCGACCCTGTTGACTATTTGCATCAAAATGTTTGCTGGTTCTGTGATCATGCCCAAATATCTAAGCAATTTCAAGAGTGCTGCATCCCTCTGAAAGACTTTTTACATTTTTTGACTTTTCAGAGTCACTTAAATCTCTTTTTTGGCCCATTTTACCTGAGGAAAAGAAGCTGCCTAATAATTATGCACACCTTGATTTAGGGTTTTGATCTCCTTAGGCCCCAGCCTCCCTCATTACACTAATACACATTACCTGATATGCTTATATCCAATAAGCAATCAAGTTTATACAACTTGGAGTTGGAAAATATGCATAAAAATGATGATATGATCAAAATACTCACTTGCCTAATAATTGTGCACACAGTGTATATCACGGTAACGGTATAAAGCACGGTATGTTTTTCCCCCTGTAAGTTCAATTAATGGTTTGAAAATAACCATACTGTCACATTTGTTCATTTTCCTTTTATTTTAAAACACTGATTTGTAAACAAATGCAAACAAAATGTCAGACCAGTCTGGCGATTTTTATCATACAGCGTACCTTTGGCGAAAGACTCTGCCAAGCTCTTTTGTATGAGAAGGGCTGCTGCAACTTTAGTTTTCGGTGCAGCTGGCGCACCACGCATCTTTTGGCTCTCATCATAGAGCTTGGCGTGTTTCATCTTTAGGTGGTGGAAGAGGTTGCTGGTGTTTCCTCCTCCAGCAACGACAGCCACACGACACTCTTTGCATAGTATTGTGTTTTGATCATTGTCGGATTTTCTAAATTGGAAGAATCCCCAGACAACTGATGTCGCGACTCACGCCCTTTTTCGGAAAGTTCCTCCTCCTCCTCCTCCTCGTGTTAGGTGGGTTGGGCTGTCTCTGTTTGCTCGGTACAGCCACTGATTTTCGCATCCGCCATGACCACCACCAGTGAAGCTGTTGAAACTATGCCAAGCAGTCTGCGGGACACAATGGTGTTTATAGGGAGCGCACCCAAACCGGACCTATCAAGCGGAGCGAACAAACTCCGCACGACATGCTGGTGAAATACGGAAACGCACCCAAAAGGATGCGGCTTTCCTGTTAGCGAGCGCAGACAGCTCCACACTGATTCAGAGAGATGCAGCAGACACCTGCTCTCTCTCTCCAGTAAAACAGTATAGTAACATTTCTATCAGTAGACACTTACAATATACAATCACACACTTTATTTATCCCGCCATACCGCCCATCACTATTCGACAGCATGAGGCTTTCATTGTGAAAGAAGGACTGCTCATAATATGTGAGTAAATGGTGTATTTTACTTTTTGACTTTGAGGTATTTATTATGAGATATTCATTCAACCAGCTGATACAGCATAAGAAGAATCTGTCGGTGTATTTTTATAAGCTCCTGTTTTTTTTTCTTTTTCCCTGTTGTTGTTGTTTTTTAGTTACAGGAACTTGAGAAATATTTAAACATTTTGTCACTAAATGTCCACAGACTAAGCGCAGCCTTCAGGATGCTACAGGACAGGAAGTTACCCGCCAACACAAAGAACAGGAAGTGTCGATACAGTCACCAAAATAAAGCTCAGAGATGTGGCCGTGATAACAGACTGTCAATCAAAAAGAGAGGTGTGTGACCTTTGACCCGGTTCAGGTAGTTCACAACTTCTCTGACGATTTAAGACTCTACAGAAACTTTTTTTAGACCATTTTTACTGTGTTATCCTTCTAATGAACACCTGTCTGTGTCAACTTTGACCTCTCTGAGTGTAAACAGAGGACAAACCTAAAAAAATAAATCAATAATTTACAGAGTCATTTACAGAGTCAGAGGATCATCTACTAGGCTGTATTGGGACAGAGGAAAAAGTGCCTAGAAAGTGAATCTCGTTCCACTTCAGTGGAGCAACATAAACTGTGATTCATAAAATAGCTCTATTGATAGTAAGTGCTAAAAAAAAATATCTACTCATGCCATCCAGTCGATTTTTAGTAATCAGTGTTTCAGTGTCGAACTATTTCCTTTCTGAGGCGTAGTGATACTTGCACACGCGCGATCGAATATGCAGAGGGGTGAAGCGATTTTTGTCACGTGGACCAATAGGAGCCGAGTCTCATTGCCATAGTATCAGAAATACACAAACATGGCGACGACCGCATCTAGCAGCGAGACAAGCGAAGAGGAAGAAAAGAGAGGAAAAAAGAAAACAGCCTTCAAAAGTTCATAAAAAAAGGAACGAAACAATGCTATATGCATTTATCATCTGTCCAGAGTGAAGACGTTCTCGACTTTACAAGGACACGTTGGGAAACTTACAGAACTTGTATTAGAAAGTGGCTTCTCTACAGGGTGAGACAAAGGACCTTGCAGAAACTTTCGTTGATATCGACTTTGACAATGTTCCTGATGACTCTGGGTTTCACATGACATGCTACCAGCGATTTATTTGCATAAGGCGTTTGAGAAACAAGAACTTGTTGATTCTGGCAAGACAAAATCTTTCTCAAATGTCATAAATACATCTACCTAACATCTGAAACACTTATTGGTGCCTTAGTATACGCATAAGTGAATTCTGATTATGAAATGTAGCAAATTTCTTGAAGAAAACATCTCAACTCAAGTGATTTGCACCCAGCACAATGAAATATATACAGTAAATTTAGCTAAAAGCTTATGTTTCATACATAAAAATGACACAACTTACAGTGTAATAAAAGTAATAAAATATAAACAGCACATCATGGCCATAAATGGCTGAAAGTCAATCAAATTGTTACCACGCCCCCCAAAATTGGAATAATGGAAAAAATGTAACAAGACAAAAATAAATGCACAAAAGGTCTGAATTAATTCAAAATATGGTATAAAACATATATTGAAGTATCACAGTGTCAAAACATCTGACATTTATCAATCCAGAATATGAAAATAAAGATCAAAACACAAACGCAGACAAATGTAGAACAAATATAAAAATAATAAAAATCTCAAATCTCGGTGTAGCAATCCTTTTAAACAAAACAAATTGTACACAGTGACCTGGTGCGTTTATTACGTATCACTATCACTTTCGTCAGAGTCATCATCCCATACAGCTTTATTGCTTTTATTAAACAGTAGGTTGTATCATTTTTATGTATGAAACATAAGCTTTTAGCTAAATTTACTGTATATATTTCATTGTGCTGGGTGCAAATCACTTGAGTTGAGACGTTTTCTTCAAGACATTTGCTACATTTCATAATCTGAATTCACTTATGCGTAAACTAAGGTACCAATAACTGTTTCAGATGTTAGGTAGATGTACTTATGACATTTGAGAAAGATTTTGTCTTGCCAGAATCAACAAGATCTTGTTTCTCAAACGCCTTTTGCAAATAAATCACTGGTAGCATGTCATGTAAAGCCCAGCGTCATCAGGAACATTGTCAAAGTCAATATCAACGCAATGTTTATAAGTTTCTGCAAGGTCCTTTGTCTCACCCTGTAGAGAAAGCCACTTTCTAATACAAGTTCTGTAAGTTTCCCAACGTGTCCTTGTAAAGTCGAGAACATCTTCACTCTGGACAGATGATAGATGCATATAGCATCGTTTCGTTCCTTTTTTTATGCACTTTTGAAGGCTGTTTTCTTTTCTTGCCCTTCGCTTGTCTCACTGCTAGATGCGCTCATGGCCATGTTTGTGTATTTCTGATACTATGGCAACGAGACTCGGCTCCTATTGGTCCACGTGACAAAAATCACTTCACCCCTCTGCATATTCGATTGCGCGTGTGCAAGTATCACTACGCCTCAGAAAGGAAATAGTTCGACACTGAAACACTGATTACTAAAAATCGACCAAATGGCATGAGTAGATTATTTTTTTTAGTACTTACTATCGATAGAGCTATTTTATGAATCACAGTTTATGTTGCCCCACTGAAGTGGAATGAGCCAACACGATCTCACTCAGCCAATACAGCCTATACTTCATTAATCTCTTAATCTAACCTCAGAGAATATCAAACTTTCAATCCAGTCTCAAGAATTGTGTATGTAGATGTAAAATGTCTCTCAGAAATTAGTGACTGAAACACTTTTTTTTTGGTCTGATGTAACTTTATGTTCCTGGTTTGACAGAGAATTTAGTTTACTAAACTTTAGCCTTAGCTTGTTTTCAAAGCTGCAGTCTTTTATATTCTTCAGGTTTAGGGGTTAATTAAGTCGATCTGAACCCTCTGTACCAAACAAACTGTCTCGAGGCCATAAATCATCCCTCAGTGAGAATTCAGAGGAGATGTGTGAGGATTATTGGCTCAGCAGAGTTTAACAGAGTAAAGCAGAGCAGGTCAGACTAAAGCTGGTGATCACAGAGAACATTAACATGAACAGGAGGCGTCACTCAGCATCCTGATTTACAGAGAGAGGAAACAAAGAGACCAGATTCTTTTACAGTGCTTCAGATTGTTATAAAAGTCCTCTATAAGACACAGAGACAGAGAGACAAAGGCAGAGAGGCAGAGACAGAGATGCAGTGACACACAGAGAGATGAAGACATAGAGACAGGGACAGGGAAACAGAGACAGAGAGACAAAGACAGAGACAGAAGCAGAGACACAGAGACAGACATAGAGACAGAGGGATGATCTGAGTTTAAAAAGCAGAGAGGAGGGACAGAGACAGATAAGCAGACAGATGGACACGGAAACTTCCAACCACGTCAAACTGATTGCTGAGTCGCCTGTGTTTGACAGCTCTGCTCTTTGGAGGCTCCACACACGCACAAACACACATACATACGCATGCACCCCCCCCCCCCCCACACACACACACACACACACACACACACACACACACACACACACACACACACACTAAGAGCGGAGCCAGAGGTAGGACAGGCATTACTAATCAATCGTTCTGGCAGCAGGAGCCGACAGGCCGAGCAGAGGATTACAGAGTTTCCCTTTGAGACTCAAACTCTGCTGTGACACTGCCACTCTGTTCCACATCAACACTTCAGAAAACCACAGAAGAAGAGCACCAACACACCCACTTTTTTCACCGGATTTCCCCCCCCCCCCCCCAAGAAAAATATAGTATTCTGATTCTGATTCTTGTATACTCTTAAAAGCATCTTAACTTTACATGACTCCCCCACCATCACCTCAGCTTGCCATGGCTGTGCGAGGGATAAGGGACGGAGAGCACAGCAGCAAAACAGAGAATATTCTCACCAACCCTGATCAGGCAGGAGAGATCCAACCAGAATTAACCAGAAACAACCAGAAACAAGCAGTGTGCCCTGGAGTACTAGATAAAGGTAAACACATGTAGTATAAAAGACATGTACTCACTGATAGTCGCCACCTTCGCCATCATCACGTTGGATGTTTTCTCTGCCGCCATGTGCCACCTCCCCCCTCCTCCGGAACTCCTCCCCCCTTTCTCCAGGAAGGCTCTGACTCTGCAGGTGTAAGCTCCCCCGTCCTCCCTGCTCACCCCTCTCACCCCCAGTCTGTACTCCCCCGCTCCGGTCCGCTCCAGGCTCGCCTCCCCCCTCCTCCCTTGAGCTCCTCCCCCACCTGAGGAGGAGGAGGAAGACGAGTTGGAGATGACCACGCCACCACGCTCCATGGTAATGATGTCACGGCCATCTGCCAGCCAGGCAACTTCCAGGGCAAGGGCAGGCAGGTTGTCGGCGGAAACGGAGCAGAGGAGGGTAAGGGTGTTCCCAGGAGTGAGGAGCTGAGGGGAGGTGGAGGAGAGCACTACACGGAGGGACTGACCTGGAGAGGGGAGACAGAGAAGGGTAAAACTGAAGGGGTGAGACACTCAGTGAGTTTACATGCACAACTAAATAGGACTAAGCTCATAATTCGTTTTTTCCACCTAATTGGACGTCTCTCCTTGTCTCCTCCTCGTAAACACGCAGCTGAGAAAATTGAATTATTGACGTGAACGTGTCCTCCTCCCCAAAACTAGAGGGCAATATGGGTCTTTTCAGCGGCGCTATTTCTGCCGTCAACAACAACAGTAGGTCCGTGCCAGACGTCAGACGTGGCTACAACTGCTGCTTGGCATTTTCGGGCAAGAAGATGGAGCATCGTACAGCGTTGTTTTTATCGTACATGATGTACATGCTACCTTTTCTGCAGATGAGGTGCACACTTCTCCTCTTCTCTGGTGTTTTTTTTTTGAGGGGTTATGGGGGTTCCAATCACATTATCTGGGTGTCTTAATCAGAGTTGTTTACATGTACGGTGTTTACATGCACTTTAGTTGTCCGGTCTTTGGAGTGAGGCAATAATTTGGTTTTCCCGAGTGTCATGTAAACGTACTGAATGACAAACTGTCTATAGCAAACACAGTTTCTAAAAACAAACCATCAAATTACCATCAAACTACAGCTGAGACTCTAAACATGGAATAATGATCCAGATGAAATGTTTTTGATTAGCAGCACGAAAAATTAATTGTCTTATTGTTTTTTTCAGCACATTAAAGGGGCCATGGCATGAAAAACTGACTTTGTTAACGGGAGGGGGGTGCATATCAGGGATAGAAAACTGGTACAATCCCCCCCAAGTTTGAAAAAATTCCATCCAGTCGTTTTTTAGTTATCTCCGTATTTAGGAACTGTGTGCTCAGAGCCGGCTGTTCTGAAAACTCCACTGACATGACGTCATGTCAGTGCTGGCGGGTTGATGGTACTGCCCATGGAGCCGCCTACTGCCCTGCCCACTAAATTATCAAAACAGCGCCATTATTCCCGGCCGCTCGCTCGCATTGCTCCGGTTAGAACCATGGTGAAAGTACGATCTGAAAAAAGAGGCAGCGTTTGCTCTGTTGTTGGCTGCACAAACGAGCACAAAACTCTTTTGAAAACTCCCTCGTCGGAGAACTTGAGGACTCAATGGGTGGATTTTATTTAAAATGGGAATGTACCCGCGGCACTTCCAACATATCTGTACGTATGTGCACACCATTTCACTTCGGACTGTTTTATCAACGAGGGACAGTTCAACGCTGGATTTGCTAGATTTCTGAAGATAAAGAATGGATCCGTACCAACTATCCATGATCCTACTACAAACGTGGCATCTGTAAGTATGAACGTTTTATTTGGACTTACTGTTCATCCTAAATTCCCCCCGGTGCCTCAGCACGGCCACCACACTTTGATAAACTCACCGGATCCGCGCTGGTTTACTAGATCCTCCCGTATTTTAGCCGCTCGCTTCTTCCCCGTCAACTCCGCAGGCGGGGGACAAAATCCCCCTCCGGAGCAGCATGTAGCTTTAGCATTTACCCAAGTCAAGTCGCGTTTGGTCTGAACGCAGCTAAGAGTTTCTTCCTGGCTCAAACTGGTAGGGTTGTACGAGCGATCTACTTGCAGCCATGACCGAGCCAGTGTAAACATTAGCACATGGCTATCGGAGCACAGCCACAGCCCCTTCCAGAGAGATGGGTGTAAAGTGGACGTGGCTTAGGTGCAGCTCATTTCATTAAAGAGACATGGCCCAAAACTGAGGATTTTGAGCGGCGCTGTTTTTAGCTGATAAAAAGAGCACTAAAATAATTGATCCAAATCGAATTTTGACCGAAGGACGTCACAGACATGCTTTTAACACACCAGGGGACTATTTTAAGTTGTGTGAAATTGGCATGCCATGGGACCTTTAAAAATATGCAATGACTGATGTTTTTGTAGCAAATTCAAAACATATGTTGCTGTCAGTAGGTTTTACTGCAGATTTTAAAAGGTTTTCTTTGTTAACATCAAATATTTGACAGTTGCCCTTGAGGGCCACCGTAGCTGTCACAGTTCCAGTATAGATAAAATGATGACCTTCCTGTTTACAGCTGAGTTTTAGTCAGACTGTTTTGTAGGTGTGTTCAATACCTGTCAGAGAACCAGACCGCGGCTGATTAGTACAATGAGCACCATGTGATTCATGCAAGCACACACACATGCACACACACACACACACACACACACACACACACACACACACACACACACACACACACACACACACACACACACACACACACACACACAAAGAGGTGTGATATGATCTATGAGTCTGATGGTATCAGGTGAGATTTAGGTCAGATTGAGAGCTGAAGGAGAAACAGTCACTCTGCATGTTTCAAACTTTTTAAAGCTATCTGAAGCTCTGACTGTTTATTTAATATATCACTAATGCAATAATCGGCAGTCTCAGCTCTCTGATTAACTTTCTGATTGAAGAATAACTGGAGATGATTCAGAGGTGAGGTGAAGTGTTCACAGATTAAATTAGCTCAGACTGTCTGACAGAGATGATGATTTAAAGATTGAATCTGAAGCAGTACAAACCATCCCAATAAAGAGACTTTTACCAGAGTGTTTGTCTGACAGCAGAGCACAGATTACAGCTCGTCTCCAGGAACAACCCGACTGTGGACGGTGTCTGACAGAGGACAAAAGACACAAAGCTGCTCTATTTGACCTCCCTCATCCTCTTTACCCAACACACAGAGTCTATATGAAGAGGACAGAGGGACAAAAAAGAGGCACAAAAAGAGGCAAGAGACAATCAGCTCCCAGGACAGACAAGGGGAGATAGAGAGAAGTGGGGGGGGGGGGGGGGGCAGCAAACAGTCTGAGGGGACGCTGTGAGGACAGACACACAGACAGACATAAGGTCACAGGGCGAGGGAAAGACAGACAAAGACCTCTCCCACGTCCTCCCGCCTTCCCTCTCTCTCCTCTTAGGTTGCTTTCACACCTGACCAAGCGGACTCGGTTCGATTGGGGAGCTGAAAGTCACAGCATTGTTGCATTTATCACTTGTTTCGGTTCTGCTTTCACACTGTGATTTCTAAAGCGCACCGAACTTTCCGAGCAGCATCACATGGTTGAAAGGGGCGCTCGTCGATTGGACAAAGAAGGAGGGGTATGTAACCTCACGGATTACAAACAGGGGTGGACTAGCCCTCTTGTATTGTGCTTCATCACATTATTTTATGGAATGCTACAATGTTAGTGAACGCAACTGTTCCTATAATGCTATCGTAGCTTGTCAGGGATTGATCCTGTTATTTTTCTAACTATGACAATCTAACGTGACAACATATGAGCTCAGAGTTTAAGGACTGTGACTGTTGGTAGTTGTGATTTGATTTTGTTTAAATATGCCAAATTGTGAATTTATGGGTTATTGTTGTTCAGACAATTGAGCTACGCTAGCTAGCAACTGCTAATGTCAGCGGTCACTTGTTGCCATAGCAAACCCACTACCCAAGATGCACTGTGTATGCACTGCGTATAGCGTCATTACGTACATTTGGTCCTGTGTTTGGTCTGGTGAGCTTTCACACTGCATACGAGCTGAACGAGGGTTTACTTGCAAGTGAACCGAGACCCCTGTTTTCAGGCGGACGAGAGTTTGCTTGTTTGGTCCGCACCAGAGTTCGGATGAGCTTTCACAACTGCCCAAACGAAGCGGACGATCCGAGGAAACGAACTCTGGTCCGTTTAAAGCGAACCAAACAGCTCTGGTGTGAAAGCGACCTTACTCTAGATCTTTCTTTACTTTGACTTAGAAAACTTTATACTGGAACAGCCTGACTGTGCTATCAGCTTCACAGACTCTTCAGAGAGATATAGAGACTTTATAGTCAGGAGTCTGAGTGTTACTGGTAAAGGTGTTCTTTCTCTGTAGTCTGAGGCAATATGAACTAGGGCTGAAACGATTACTCGAGTAACTCGAGTAACTCGATTAATAAAATTCCTCGAGGCAAATTATATGCCTCAAGGAATCGTTTAAATCCGGAACCATGTGCAGCGCACGGTGTTTGACACGGATGGTTATTTCTGTTGCGCAGCAGCGTGCTCTTTCCGCTCCTTCCGCTGCCGCGCGTTTCATAGACATAATAAAAGGGTAGACCCCGCTGGGGGTGCTGCGCAGCGAGAAATGCGGCCGCCATCTTGGTCAGGTCAAGCTTCCCATACGCTCCGGTCAATCATATTCATTCATTCAGCGATGCCGGAGCACTGTGCGGCGTATTCCTGTGCCAACAGGCGGACAGCAGAGAACAGGGCTCAAGAAATAACTTTTCACAGTTATGATTAAACGTTTTTTAAACATTACACTTGACTGTAGAGTCATTTGTAGGCCAAAGAGGAAGACTATCGGTCAACTCCAAAAAGGAAACAGCATTTGCGAACAGCTAGCTTATTCACAATAATAGCAACTTTGGTCGATTATCAACAGATTTGCATTAGATTGAAAAACTTTTGTTTGAGAGAGGTTCTAAGAAACGTTAAGAAATAAAATAGAAAGAAAAAGGAAGAAAGTGAGCTCTGTTTTATTATCTGTTTTATTAAAGATTTCTTTGTGGTGATCTCCTGTTTCTTTTGAAGATTTCCTAAGGACAAAAACTTGAGGAAGAAGTGGGAGATTGCTGTTAGAGGGAGAAATTCGCAGCAAGTGATTCCTCTGTGCTGTGTAGCCAACAAGCAAATTGATATGTAGTTTAGATGCTGTCCTGTCATGCTGTTCTTGTGTTTAAATCTTTTTGATATGTAGGCTATATATTTGTGTGTATTTTCCAGTTATTAAAATAGTGCTTCTATATGACATTATTTGTGTGTGTCTACAAATGGATAAATAAAATTAAACTATATAAAAAATTATAATCAAATCAATATATATTGAATTGGCCTATTAATACCGCCAGTTATTAATAATTATTGAGACATAGCAGGAACCTAGCTCTAAACCTAAATATATCCTTGATTAATTGTTATACTATAATACAGCCACTGCTGCCATGTTCTAAAATATCATTTTATTCATTCTGAGTATTTGAAAACGCCAAAAAAAAATATGGCCTCTATCATGCCTCTTTGAATGGCGTTTGCAGGGAAGAAAATAACGTAGTATTGAGCGAACTATGATCCATTAATGCGCTCAGACTTCATTCCGCCGGTTAAACAGCGGTGCAGAGTGAGGCGGATGACCGGACCAAGATGGCGGCCGCATTTCTCGACAGCGCCCATTCGTGGTAGCGGCCGATGCGGGGTCTATCTTTTATTATGTCTATGGCGCGTTTGGTTCAATCATGGAGGGAAACGAGGACAGACAGAGAGAGGAAGAAAGAGATGACACGCAGAGGAAACGGCAGAAAGTGTCTAAAGTGTGGGACCATTACACACTGAAAAGGAAAGAAAACGCCGTGCAGTGCGTTTACTGTAAGGCGGAGTTGGCGTTTCACAACAGCACGTCGTCAATGCTGCAGCACCTTAAAAGAAAACACCCGGTCCATGCATTAAGTCCGCTCTGAGGCAAACGTGATTCAATGCGAAGTATTACAGTGAGAGCAAAACATTTCTTATCCGATTACTCGATTAATCGACAGATTAATCGATAGAGTACTCGATTACTAAAATAATCGATAGCTGCAGCCCTAATATGAACCAATCAGGAGTCAGCAGGCTTTGGCATCAGCAGGAAAAACAGTCTGTATAGAGAGCAAAAGCAGGAGTGACACAGTCCATCATAATGACCTCCAGCTCTCATGGTAATCTAAGGAGGATTTCTTTCTCAGTAAAAACAGATATCTGCATGAAGGTCAGTTTACAATCTGTTCTAGATCAAACATTTACACTGAGACTGTAATCTGACTGATGCTGAGTCACTGAAGACAATCAGAGTTTAGATTTCCTGACTTCCCTGAATGCATCAGAATGATGGATCTGACCTCCATTCAACAAACAAACATTTTCAAAGTAGTTTTCTTCTCCTCTTGAGGACAGACCTAACAAAGCTGGACTTTGGACTAATCTGAAATGAATGAAGAGGTACAGACAGGTAAATCACTTTAATTCAGGTGAGTCTCTCACCTGTCGGGGTGACCGTCACTGTCCCCATCTCCTTCTTACTCTCCACGATCTTCACCCAGCGTCCTCCGTCCTCCTGCGTCCATTCTGTTCCATTACACTCATAAATCCCATCATCAGATGTCGTTACCCTGGTAACAACCAGCTCAAACACGCCATTCCTCCCAGGAACCAATCGTATTCCTCCGTCTGCGTACCGCCGCGCAAATTTTGACCCCACCACCACCTCTCCCTGAGGTCCAAACACCAGGATGTCCTCTGAGGACGTCCCCCTCTTCACTGACCAGGTGACAGACAGGTAGGTGGGCTGGGTAAGCTCCCGAGTTACGTTACAGGACAGCGTGAAGTCACTTCCTTCTGGGACGGAGGGGGTTGGAGCCTGAGGGGAGACTCTGAGGGTGTTTGGGATGACTGAAAAAAAGAGAAATGGATTGATATTCTTTAAAATATCAATTACTATTTTAAAGATGGAATAGAAGCGAAGATCAATATTTTGAAAAAGTTCTCATTTAAATATAAAAACAGAAGAACATATCAACAATCTGAAAAACATCCATTTTAAAAATAAAAATATAAAGACAGATCAATAAAAATCTCAATATCTTTCAAATAAAAATGTGGAAACAGAGTTCAAAAACTTAAAGATGATTCTTTTTAAAAAAAAGCAGAGATCAACATTTTAAAGGATGATTTCTTTTAAATATAAAACAGAGAAAACAGACGATGAACCTGGACCAATGACTTTGAGGAATTTCCAAGAGGTGAGAGTTTCACACTTGTGTGTGTGTGTGTGTGTGTCACACCTGAGTACCTCAGTCAGACTCATGACAGTTTACTTGCAGGTAAACCATAACTGAACCAACAGATTCATGGGACTGTTAATGATTTGTGACTGTGTGTTTGTGTGCACAGACACACCCTGGATGTGTTGGCACAGGTGCGTGGCATCACTTAGGTAACTCTCTGAAGTTTGTTCTGATGAGGAAACGTGGTGAGTGGTCTGAGCAGGTGTTACACAACACTCAGTTTTTTTCTCTTCATGACTCGTGACAAAAATCTGCTGAGTCACTGTGAGGGAAATTAAAAATGGATTTCCTGCTGGGATGGTTCTGACTGCAGAGGAGGAGGGACTCTGCTGGTGTTCGAAGAAAGAGGGTCTGATGGGGCTAATGTGTTTGTGCAGAGCAGACTCAGGGGGTTAATGATCTCTGCTCTTTCTCGAAAAATCCTTAAAACACCAAACGGCTGCAGGAACAGGAAGTTATCCCAGGGTGTGTCAAAATAAAGCGACTGCAGGTCATTATCGAATCTCTGTACTCTGAAACATCTCGGCTCTGAACAGACTCCAGTTTGTCCCAGAATACCTCCAACATTAAAGAAGTTTTCTCCCTTTTAGTCCTCTTTATAACTGTCCAAGAGCGGCAGATGGTCGGACACGTTCAGGTCCTGTGGGAAAAAGAGTTTCTAACATTCAGAGAGATGAAGTGTTTACCTCAGCAGTAGAGAGAGAGAATAAAAGTTTCTAATGAAGACAGTCCATGGTTTCCATGAAGACCATACATGGTCTTCATGGAAACCATGTATGCCTCATTTTCTGCCCTAGAGAGTAGTCACTATATTTAGGTCATATTTCTATGTGAACGATGGTGTTTAAATCTGAGTGAAAGGTGAAGCTCAAACTGGAAGACTCTATAAACAGTAAACTCTTTAACTCTATAAACAGTTACAGAGAGAGAGAGACAGAGAGAGAAACAGAGACAGAGTGAGAAAGAGACAGAGACAGGGAGAGAGAGCTATGTTAGAAACAAGGTTTATTTTAAATACAGTAAAAAAAAAAATCTGAGACTGAGTGAGCTCTTAGTTTTATACATGTAGACACTTTGTTTAATAAGACTGTTTTAGTAGGAGTTTAACAGCACACAGATTAGGCCTGTTAAAAAGATTTTCTGGTATAAAGAGTCAATAGTTTATGAAGGATCAATAAGTGTCCAAGAGTCCATGTGATGTGCAGCTTTATAACAGTTTCATAAACAACATGAAGAGAAACTAAAATAAGAGCCATGATCAGACATGTCACCCATGTTTAAGAGTCTATAACAGAGAAACTGTGTGTGTGTGTGTGTGTGTGTGTGTGTGTGTGTGTGTGTGTGTGTGTTGAATGAAGCAGTAGTGATAATCAGTGTTTCGCTCCTGAAAGAGTTTCAAACCCTCAACGACCTGAACTTCACTCGGCTTACATAACCACAGACACACAAACAGAGTGAGTGTGTGTGTTCGGGGTGTGTGTGATGAGTGTAATCTGTGCGTGCGTGTGTGAGAGAGAGAGTAATATCTGTGTGTGTGTGTCACAAGCAGCCTTCAAACAGAACAAACAGAGATACATATGCTGCAGACAAACTGAGGAGCTGCTGAATGCAGCTCTAAATTTAACGAGCCGTCAAGGGACACAGGCTGCGTTCGCACCACTCACTTACCTGCTGTCACACACAATGCACACATATACACACAGACACACACCTGTACCTGAGTGTCATATCCTAACCTGCTGTCTGTCTGTCTGTTTCTGTAACTGTGATACCTAAGAAAGAACAGACATTAAAGAGAGAGTGTATGCGTGTGTGTGTGTGTGTGTGTGTGTGTGTGTGTGTGTGTGTGTGTGTGTGCGCGTGTTTGTGTTTCTCAGAGTGAAGCTCATTAAAGTGAATAAAGTGCTGATGGTGTCGTTTTGTTTCTGTGTCAGAAAATAATCCAAATTTACTAAAATCTGCACAAAAAGAGAATATACAAGCAAACCAGCGAACAAACAGAGAGAGAGAGAGAGAAAGAGAGAGAGGACACACTGAAACACTGAGGGAGTAAACACACATGCACATACACGCACACACACACACACGTACATACATGCACACTGAGTCTCTAAGCTTGGGCACACTAGAGCTGGTCCCTTTCCTTAATATACCTCCATCCTGTCTGTTAGGTAAAATGTCCTTAAGGTGTGTTTGAAGAGGGTTTGACGTTGTGCTTTTTGCAGCCCTGCTTCTACAGATCTGATCCTGCAGCCCTGATCCTGTAGACTTTAAACTTGAGCCCTGATCCTTCAGCGCTGATTCTGCAGTCCTGATCCATGCAGCTTTTATCCTGCAAGGCTGTTCCTGTAACCCTTATCCTGCAGCCGTGATCCTGCAGCCATGATCCTGCAGCCATGATCCTATGGCCAAGATCCTGCCGCCCTGATCCTGAAGCCCTGTTCCTTTAGACCTGCCCTTGCCTCTCTGCAAAACAAAGCTAAAAGCAGCAGCACTGAGTCCTCCCACAGATTAATGAAGAATCATTCCAGTTATTAGCAGTGTGCTGATGACTCAGTGAGGAGCGTTTAAACTGGAAACCATTCCTGAGACAGCAGCCAACAACTCCCACCTCACATCTGTCCCCAGCACCATCAAACCCCACCATCAGAGCATTTGAATGATTCATATCCAGCAGATCTCTGAAACATTCAACTCAGAGGTTACAGCATCAACAGCCACTTTACTTGCTCAGCCGTCTGTGAAATTATAAAATCTGTCATTTTTATAAACACAGAAACTGATCCGGTTGTAAAAACATGATTTAAATCAGTCCGAACCTCCAGGACAAACTTAAACTCTCAGTGTGTTTGACTTTTTATCAAATGTTTCTGAGCAGAGTGCGGATGGTTTGGTTCATTTGCCGCACAAACTCAGCATGTAAGGTCATTCATCTTTCTATCTTTTCTCAGTGTTTCTTAAAATAGACAAAAGTCTCTAACTGTAAGAGTTTAAACTTTAAATCATTTTTAACAGATTCATATGAAAAAAAAGCTGCAGCTCATGTTTAAGGCAGTTTATCCAGATGAGACTAAAAGAGACAACGTAAGTGATGGGCACGGCAGTTCTTTTAGATGTACTGAATCACTAGAATCAGTTCACTAAAAGATTTGTTCAAAAGATTCGTTCACTGAATTACTGAATCATTCAGTATTTGGTGGGAGGAGTCTGTGATTCCAACTTCCTGAACTGGTATCCGGCTGAACGGTTCAGCTTTCAGTTCAGTTGACAGCTTCTGGGATCGGGAGACAAGAGTTTGTGGCTGTGTTGCTTTGACAAACATGTTTGTGAAAATGGTATGCATACCATTTGTCCTATGGTATGCTATTTATCTGGTCTACTCGGTAAATTGGGCTCAGTGAGTGATTCGTTTACTAAACGTATACCCCACAGTACATTCAGTAAAGGATTCCTACGCTTGCCGGCTGCTCGCCCGGCAACGCTGTGTGCTATGGCAGCTGCGCTACTTACAGCTCAACTTAAATGAGAAACGAAGAAATCACTAGAGGAAGTGATTCGGTTCAGTACGTTCACTTAAAAGATTTGTTTTTTCGACGAATCATTTGCGTAAAGGACACAGCACTAGACAACCTCGACTACAAACACTGGAGTTTTAACTGATGATCACGTGATGAATCAGAGGGGAGCTTCATCCTCCTGCTGCAGGAAGGATAAAGAACGAAGGCTGACACCTGATATACCTCCAGGTACAAAGAGAGACACCTGGACCTGGAAAGAGAGAGCTGTTGGAGGTGAAAGTGGCAAATTTACCGATGAGTTGGACCTTCTCCTCGTAGTTCCCACTGATCTCTGAGTCCGTGCTCGGTGTCTGGCACCAGTAGAAGCCGGCGTCAACTGTCCTGACCTCTGCCACCTTCAGCTCTACCTCGTTGTCATGCAGACGCACCACAGAGATGTCCCCGGATGCCACGCGCTTACTGAGGGATGGGTGGGAGTAACTGGCATCAAACGTGGAGATTATCTTTGTCCTGGAGCCGCCACTGCTGCTGTCCTGAGACATCATCCACTCAAAGTCCTGCAGAAGACAGACAGACAGAGTCAGCACACCTGGACAACAGGTGAACAGGTCAGACAGGGAGAGACAGCTTCAGGTGTGGAGGAGTCTCACCTGCTCTCTGGGTCCTCCATACTCACTGACGTCACACCTGATGGAGACAGGTTGACCCTCCACTCTGATCAGAGGACCAGAAGATACTTTCACCACCCGTGCTGAGATGCCTCCTGCAGGTACATAGAGCAGCTGTTAGTCTGTAGGCAACAAACAGACTGCAGGTTCATAATTAATGTTCGACTGATACCAGTTTTACAATGGCCAATGATTATACTAATAAGGAGAGTGCAGGTATGGCCCATATACAATAATGACTCTACAAAGAGTACACAATTACAATACAACAATTCTGATGTCGCTTTTTAAAGCATTTGACAAAGTTCAAAATATTAATCTACAACCTGATGAGAAAGAAAATACCTTAACTTGGGTGAATATCTTATTGAATAAATGTTGATGAAAAATTTGTCCTGGTCAAATATTGCTGAGAACTTTTGAATTTCTTCCCATCTATCTGAAATCAGTATAAAATACAAAAAAAATGCAAAGTACATATTGGGGTTGACATTAAAAAAAGAAAGACATGTATAGATCAATCATTTCATGCACGTTAAAATATAATCTCAAGTAGCCTGTTGAAAAAGGATTTTTAATGGATTCATGATAAAGACAAAAGCCTTAGGTTATGCTATAGATTTCTATGGTGTTTTGAGTGGTCGGCAGACTAGAGAAAGTGCTTTATAAACATAGACATAGTCCATTTATGAACATGTCTGACAAGTGTCACTATTTCACCATATTGTTCTATACATTAAAAACAGAATTTATATCAAACACCAGCAAGTGACTGTTTTGGACTTAAAAGGGATATTCTGGCGTAAATTTAAGTTATGGTCAAACACACCAAGTTAGACCCCCCTCAAGAGATGAATGTTACCAACTGCTTGCTTCTCCAGTAATACCAATTTTAGAAACGACCGCGCGATAGAAATACACAGCCGTCTACGTCTCCACGCACAAACCTCAAACAAAAAGCCACTCTATAGCCACAAATAATGCTCAGAACAGCACCTAACTTCATGAACAATACATATAGGGTCCCAGCCATCAAACATCTTTTTAGCTTTCTTTAGCAAAAGGACCAAACACGACTCATCCACTCTCCTCCACCAGCCGCCTGTTTGTGGGGGAGCCCTGACAAGTCGATCATAGAGTACAGCAGAAAATTCATGATTATTTCTTCATGGAAATGCAATAAGACCATAGAGTGTATATAAGATGGACACCGTGGTTCCGCCTTCCGCCTGTATACGGATTTGAAGCCAAAAAAGCTCTCGGTAATTCCGGGTTTTTCTCCACTTCCTTGAAACCAGAGCTGTGCAGTAGCGTTGTGCGCATTCGGCCGCGCAGTCGCCGAGAGTCCCTGTGATGACGCTCGGGTCAAACAGCGTATTCCCCCGGAAGAGCTACGCAATCCCTGAACGCCCATAGGCTGTACCAGGTGTCAATCATAGAAAACATGAACCCCCTAATAACTTTTAAAAACGGAGCTGTACAGAAAAAAAAGGACTTGGGCACAAACCAGTCTTACTGTAACTATATGTCAACATCACAACCAGGGGGGAGAAAAAATTATGTTCTGTGTAATAAATTTCTAAAGTTTGTCCACAGTCCCATAAGCTTTGCTGGCGGAGGCGGGATTTATGACCTGTACTGCAGCCCACCATCAGAGGGTGCTGTTCTCGGAGTGGCTTCACCCAGCGAGGAGGCAGACTCTGTCCATCTTATATACAGTCTATGAATAAGACCAAGAGGCTAAGGCAGAAGAACTACCGCATCTGCAGTGCACATAAAAGATACACAAGAACTCTGATTGCGAAACTCTGATGCACTCGGTGATCGACTCATCAGGGCTCCCCCACAAACAAGCGGCTGCTGGAAGAGAGTGGGTAAGTTGTGTTTAGTCTCTTTGCTAAAGAAATCAGGCAAAGCTAAAAACATGTTTGGTGGCTAGTACTATGGCTGGGACCCTATATGTACTGTTGAAGTTAGGTGCTGTTCTGAACATTATTTGTGGCTGTAGAGTGGTTTTTTGGTTGAGGGGAGTCTAACTCGGTGTTATGGTGTGTTTGACAATAACCTAAATTCACGCCGGAATATCCCTTTAAGTTGTTACATTTAAAAAGGATAGGGTTGATATCAGCCTTCAGAGGGCCGATGCAGAGATAATGCAGATTAAGCGAAAAGGCAACTAGTCGTCTCAGTCTCTATTTAAAACCACTGATTTACTATTGTTAATAATCCAAGCTCAGGTCATTCACACAGATCTAAACTGGAAGTGTTTGAGTATAATCCAGAGTAAAGTAACTAACTGTTGTTACTCAACTCAATTTTTAATCAGGTGAGATAAACAGCATGCAGTGTCATGTTATATATTGGATCAGAGTGGTGTTTCAAATTAAAGCATGTTTCAAAGCTAACCAGCTGGCTGAAGGCAGATAAACAGCTGTGGAACAGGTTAACCAGGAGCTTTTTCTGGGGGAATACCACACGACAACAGCCTCCACTGGAGACCCTCAACAAGGTGAAAACTTTTCACATACTGAGAGATTTCTCTGACTTTTGAAGCTGCTTGTCAGCATCTCTGCAGAGCAGCAACATCTGAGCTTGTTTTGTAAATCGGACCCCACTGATACTGACCATATGGACATGCTTTTATTTTCTCACTGCACTGAGACTCTGGCATGTTTCTGTTCTGTTTTCTTGTGGCATTTTGAGCCTGGCTCTGTGTGATTGCATGTCTGCAGAGATTATTTTATAAGTCTGCTCTGCACGTTTATTCACAGGGCTGAGAATAAAAAAATCAAACACAGACTGTGTACCCCTGTAATCACAAAGACTGACTGACAGGAAAGAGCTGAGTTTTCCTACTCTCACTCTGTCAGTGAACGCCTCACAGATTCCAGGCTGACTGAGCATGTCTGAACCCGCAGAGAATCCACCATGATCAACCTCCTGTTACTCTGTGAGAGACTGTGTGTGTGTGTGAGAGAGAGAGAGAGAGAGAGAGAGAGAGTGAATGATTCATGCAGCAGGTTTCAGAATCCAGGTGTTCACTCCTGTTTCTACTCCCTATTGACATTCCTGATGTGATCTTTGACCTCAGATCAGCTGATGGGGGCAGAGAATAACAAACAGCAGCTGATCTCAGTGTGAGTCTCTCTGTCTGTCCCTCTGTTAGTGTCTCAGAGTTTATTTTAAACTGGATGAAACACTCTGACAGAAACCTGACCCACACACATACACATACACACACACACACACACACACACAGTTTAATGTCACCAAGTGTAAGCATACAGGCTGACATTACACTGTAAACTCTGTTTGTGTCCCTCAAATCAGAGAATTAAGTTTAATGACCATCCCCCCACTGACTTTATATTTACTGTACACTCATTATCTATGACATTCACTATCTATTAAATACAGATACTGACGCATGAGAGAGGGGAAACACATCTAAATATGAGGCAGCGCTTACTTCAGCACAGTGTGAATATGAGGAACTACTCTGTATTCAGTGTACCTGTGTGTCCTGTGTCACTCCACACAGGGTCCAGTCCACTGGCATTTATATTGAGGAGAATAGAACATGTCTACAAATAGAGATCTTTGGCTCATGAATGATCATGAAGTTTTTATTGTTTAAAAGCCTAAAAAGCAGGAGCTGCCAAGTCTCTATGTTCAGGCGTTGTCAGTATGTACACCTGTAATAGATTTTACTTAATCATGTCAGTGGGAGGGGCCTGCTGAATGAGTAAGCAAGGAAGTGCCTCTTCTAGGGCTGAAATCAACCAAGGAAATTCTTGGTCGACCAAAACCTGAAATTACTGGGGGGGGGGGATTTTTCAGAATATGGCGGCAAGCCCTTCTGCAGCGGGGTACGACGCAGTTCGGTGGAGCGTGGCTGGGCAGGGTGAAAATAAACTGATATCAGCACACGAAGGAAATTTAACTCAAAAGGCTAAAACATAAATATTAAGCAAACCACCGGATGTTGATTAACGTGGACACTCTTCAATCTTACTGTCTCCAGCAGGTCTCTAATGGGTTGGACAATCTAAAATGGTGAAAACAAGGGGGGTGTTCTGAGGCAGGCTGTTACCTGTGAAATGGGGATGCTGTGAAAACACCCCCATTAGCACTTGGAACATTCCTCCTGATGAAATTAACCTTAGACTGTGAATTGATGCAGAATAAAAACCTAGTCGACCAATCAGAATTTTGGTCGACTCATCACATATCAACCAATAAGTCAACCGGTCGACCAGGACTTTACAGCCCTAGCCCTTTCATCAAAAGGGAACAGAAAAAAAAGGGAAAAAGGAGGAGGGATGAGAGAAATAAAGATAAAGAAGAGGAAGAGGAGGAGGAGAAAGGGGCAAAGGGAGTGTAAAAGAAGGTCAAAGATAGTACACTTGAAAACAACATGAAGGTTAGTCCTGAAAACATCTCATCAAAATACCATCTAAGAAACACCAGAGTCAGAGCTGAGGGTCAGGAAGAACAGGAGGAAATAGTAACTGATCTTAGCACAGAGTCTGCTGGATTACTGCAGCTACGGTCAGTCTGCAGGGACACACACTTCTAAAGGCAAAAAGCACAGTGTGGTCCTATGTAGTAGCATTAGCAACCCTGAGGCGAACATGCTAGCAGGAAAAGAAAAAACAGTCCAACAGCAACATAAAATATGTTGTTTTTTTAGCAGAGTGTTAGTAGCAGAGCCGTGCACAATACCAGCAATGTGAAATGATGACTGAAAACTAAAATACAACAGAGTACAAGTTCAGGGAAGTGATGGAGGAGAAAGCTGTACTTTAAAAGATGGTTGTTTCCTTTAGAGAGCTCATCTCTGTAATAGAGGGGTTTTTTACCATCATTTAGATCCACCAAACGTCCACCGGAACTCTGAGGAGCCATACAGCAACAACACAGAGACCACAGAGGAGGAGATATGAACCCTAATGTGACTGTTGACAGTTTCTTACAGAGATTCACAGGCCTAAGATTGATCAGTGTTTGGATCAGACTGTAAAGCTGACTGAGTTATAAAATATAAACCTCTTTAGATGAAAAACTGACATGCAGCTCTTCTGCTCTGCACATACTGCTTTAAAAACAGAGACTGGATATCTAGTGATACAATAATATTAAAAATATCAGGATCAGGTTCTGGATGGAACATGTTTCATTTTTTTTTTCTTTTACCCTGTATGGTGCAGTGCTCAAAGGAGAGACAGGTTTTTCTTCTTCTCCTGGAGCTGAATCGGAGCTGGACACAGAGTTTTGAAGACTTAATTTAGGACATGTGAATCTGTTGTTTCCTAGCAACAATAAGAAAAAACTGATCTGAAGTTTCTGTGTTCTGATAAAAATGAGGCGATGAGCAGAGTCTGATCAGACCTCTGACCGACTCAGACACACCTGTAGAGAGTGACTACAGCAGACCTTACTCACCCCTCCTTCTCCCCCTTTCCTCTTCCTCTCATCTTTTCAAACTTGATGTTTCTAAGCTGTCAGCTCTCACATGAACTCATTCAAATGAAGCAGAATCGTAATCTCCAGTCATCATGGCAAAGACCTGTACAGCTCCTACTGTAGGCCCCCCACCCCCTGCCCCAAGGATCACCTGATGGTGTGTCCCTCTCCTACCTGAGAGTCTGTGCTGACCAGCCGGCCCCCTCTTTACTCAGATCTTTGACAGTCTCTGAAGCTGTGCTTCAAACACTCCATCATCATCCTGGTTCCCAAGAAACCCTCCATTACAGGGTTAAATGACTACAGGCCTGTTGCCCTGACGTCTGTGGTCATGAAAACCTTTGAGAGACTGACCCACCTGAAGGACATCACAGGCCCCATGCTGGACCCTGGGATACTGGGTCAGTGGATGACACAGAAAACACGGACTGCTCTACATGGTTTGTGGCAACACAACAAATATGTTAGATCGTTCCCCGAGTGATTCGGAAATAATGAAAATGTGAGCAGAGTCTGCACAGCCTGCCCCTGCTGACGGTACAAGTAGCATTAGCAGTTTAGCCACAACTAGCGGCGCATCCACCAGACCATAGCAGCAATCAATCGTATTATCTACATTCACATTATCTAATATTTACATTTTAAGGCATCTTCATTATCCCTGAGGGAGCGATCTGTTCATTTTGGGTCTTGCATACCTGCAGAAACACTGAGGACTGTAAACTAGTTCACTGTATCATTTAACATTTATCTATATTAGTTGTTTTGTTGAGCAAAAATGTATTTTATATATTTTTTATGTTAATCTTAATTAATTTGCTTTGTTATTTACTATGTATGTTAATAAAATGTTGAACGAATTGCCACTTTCTTTAGTTTTAGTTTTTAGTACCGATGCTTTAAAACTGGCAGTTTAAAAAATGAAAAAAAAAAATCAGAATAATCAAGATCTCACAATATGACAAAATGTATCCTGATCATTTTTTTGGCCAAATGACCCAGTCCCACCTCACACCCAGAACTAGGGCTGGACGATATGGGAAAAAGTTTATCACAATATACAGTATTTTTTCATATCAGTCGATATCGATTTATATATCAAGCAGTGGCGGCTGCTGGTCTTTCAAGGAGGGGAAGCTCATTTTTCTGGCCTACATCATAATTGTGTTTGTTTATTTGTATGTAACAGAACAGAGTCGCCAAACACAACGGCAGTTGTTTTTCACAAAGACAAAAGTCGCTGAGGATTGATAAAGTCTCTGGAGCAGTTAAGAACAACGGAATGAATAACTTGGAAAATGCTTTGGTAGATGTTTTATTCTTAAAGATCGCTGATTCGCTTGTTTAGCTGTCAATCAAAAAAGGATTTCGCCTCAGACAGCTCATCCAATCATGGATTCAGAAGCTCGGAGTCCGGGAGAAAGTCGGGACCGCCCTCTCGCCATAGAACTCCAGAGACGCCGAGCGTCCGATGGGCGGGACAAAGCCCAGCATTCATCCAATGAGTGTCTAGTTTCGCTGCTGGAACAACCCACTTTGAGCTTCCACACTGCAGTCAGCAGAAGCTGGGCGTCCGGCTGTGTAAAGTGCTGAGGCCCTGCGAGGATGAATGAGAACGAAGTTGTGCAGAATCAGCTTCTTATCACACTGTGATAAGAAGCTGATTCTGAACAAAAGATGAAGGCTTTCTAGCGCTTATTTAGTTAATGAAATGTACACACAGCAGTACGTATTTCACCACTTCTTTTTTTGGGGGGGTGACATTTTAAGGGAAGCTGAGCTTCCCTTGCAGTCTTAGAGCAATCGCCACTGATATCAAGATAGAAAAAAATCATTTACCAATCTCAAATGTTCCCTGTTACTCTTAAATGAAATTTAACAGTGCTTATTGGTAGCATGTCTTTTGCAATACGATAAGCTTCTAAATCTTTGTGAGGTCTTTGTTTTTCTTCAACATTTTGTCTTAAGGTTTTGTGCTAGGCTAGAGAAAGCGGACTGAATGGTCAGCTGTTTTGGCTACACAGACGCCATGGGCTCCTTGCTCCACTCGGGGTTTGTAACCTTTTGCATGTGGCTCTGCATCAGGTGGTGAAAAAGATTTGAGGTATTCCCTGACTTTGAGAGAATGCGTACTCGACATAATTTGCAGTGCACAGTACCCTGCTTCACGTTCCGACCTAAAAAAAAAAAAAATACCTCCACACCACTGTTTTTGTGCCAGTGTTATTGACAAGTCATCATCTGTTGAGCCTTCATCTGCATTTCTGCAGGGGAGAGCACTGATTTTCTGTTTTTCTCACCAACAGTGCTGTTGACTTCGCATTTTAAAGCGCTATGGTTGCGTGTAGCTGCAGCCTGCTACTACGCAGTTTTTTGCTACTTTGGTCTTATTCAGCACAATTGGTTCAGCGCAAAGTGGACCTGGAGCAGCTCCCCTTTTCACTGGCTATTTGGATAGTCTACCAAAACACGACAGAATGCCAACTTTCAAAAGGCATGTTGACCATGTTTTACATTGATATTAAGGGAAATTAATTTTCGATAGATGTAGTTATCGTTTCATCATCCAGCCCTACCTAGGACACAAACTGCTTAAACTCCTCTCCATTACAGATCGCTGTAGAGCAAAACCAGCCGATGAAAAAAGGCAGTTTCTTTTTCCTGGCTTTTACTCTGATGAACTCCTAACGTACACAGAGAGACAGAAAGCGCACAGTACAATGACCCGTAAACTAACACTCAATGTGACAGTAAATTGCTGTTAATCTATGGAACCTTTATTACTACTGTAGTTAAAAACAACTTCTTCACGTATTTAAACAGACAAATGTCATGTCTGCAGGATTTTCTGCATCTCTAAAACATCAAATATCAAACATTAAAAATGCACAATGCTAGATTTCACATTTCAAACATGCTGATATTTTCTAACTCATTTTGACTGACACTGACAAAAACACCTTTTTCCGCTATACAGAGCAGCCTGTTAAAAATACAAAGGGACTTAGAGGGGATAGAACAGACTATATTTCTTTCTGCTCAACCTAAAAATGTCCTCTGTGCACATCTATACAACAACACATCTATCCAACATTCCATCATCTATGCTTAGACTTACCGTCCAGTCAGGCTCCTGCTGCTGTATCAGAAAATTCTACATTATACACTGTCTGAGAGAGAGAAAGAGAGAGAGAGCAGAAGAACAAGAGAGAGAATGAAGGAGAGGCAGTGTGTGTGTGATAGCTGATTCATCTTTAAAATAAGACAGGATAACAAAGTGCTGACTCATGTTTTCACTCTTCTCGACTAAACGTGCTGCTTCAGCAGGAACTCTGAGTTCTGGAGCAGGTTGGACCGGATCAGACCAGATCAAATCAGATCAGCCCAGATCAGACCGGGTCAAATAAGATGAGACCTGGACCAGGCCAGTCTATTAATTCAGTCTGATGGACCTGTCCAAAATGTCCAAAAAACAGAGATGAGGTGACATGAGATAAAACTTACCCTCTGATTAGCAACATCCTGCTTCTCAACAGCTGTTAATATAATTATTATAATTTTAATCATTATCATTATTATTATAAGCATAATACTTGAGATTATCGTTGAAATTATCATTGCCATTGTTAGTCTTGTTCTAATAATTATTATCATCACTGTTATATTTATCATGACCATTATGATAAAAATTTTATTATTCTTGTCATGATTATAACTTTTATAATTATCAATATTGTTGTCATTATCGTGTATTTTTTATTATTATTACGACCATGAATTTTATTAGAATCATTATTATTATTTTATTATTAGCATTATCATTTAGGTTACCACTGAGATTATCATTGTCATAATTATTTCTATTACCATTTCTACCATTATTGTTATCATTATCATTATAATAATTATCATTAGTGTTATTATTGTCATTATAAGCATTAGAATTATTAGGGTTATCCTTATTACCTTTTCGTTATCATTATCATTTGGATTTTATTATTTTACCATTATTACAATCATTACTTCTACTATCACTACTATTATTTGTATTAACAATATTATTATCATCATCATAATTACTATAAGTGTTATTAATATTATCATTATCAGTTTTATTATCATTATATTAGTATTACTATTATCATTATTATTATTATTATAATTCTCATTTTAACATCATGCATCACTGTTTTTCTGTGCTGCTGTCTCTCTGTCTTGAATGCTCTCTGAATATACTCCACAGAGTCAAATTAGGTTTCTGAATTCAAATGATAAATGTTTTCACTCTTCTTCATCCTCAGATGTTCTCACACCTGCACAAAACTCGTAAAAAAAACTTTGAGCTGCACATGTGAGCACATCGCTATGAAATCTTTACCCTGACTTTACCCAGACATTCCCGATTCTACTCAGTAAATTTCAGGAAGTTTTACACAATGATGACATTTATACCATGTGATCAGAGTAAACTCTGCAGGGAAACAGGCTGAATAAAAATCTTCTTCAAGTCGACAGCAGTGAGGATGACACACATCCTTCAGACATCATGCTGTAAGGGTATCGGAGATTATGGACATTTTTGGGGCAAAACTCCAACAAACTTTACAGAAATTTAACTCTAAGCAGCACAGGACTGAGGATGAGTTGTCAGAATAATCAGACAGCAGCTGTGATCAGGAAAAGGTGATGTTGGATTTTTGCTGATATATTTTCAGACTCCTTTGGCACATTTTTTTAAATAAATGCACTCTGTTATTGTTAAAAGGAACACCAAGTCTGTGCTGTAATAACATTTATTAACTAGATACTCTTATTGTGAGGGTCTATTTTTAGGAACTGTGATCATCAAGACAAATAACATTTTGACTTACTATACCGTTATTCTTTTTTCTGACATCAACATTCAGTTATATGTCTGCAAAAACATATTTAATACGTAAATAGGATGTGTATAATAATAATAATAATAATAATAATAATACATTTTATTTAAAAGCGCCTTTCTAGACACTCAAGGACACTGTACAGGGCATTGAAAACACAGTTAGAAACACAATAAAAAAATAAATAAAAACAACATAGAGGTATGAAGGTGGACAGTTAGAGAGAATATGCAATATGAAACAGATGTGTTTTGAGTTTTGATTTTAAGTGGGGTAGTATTTCTAGGTATTAGCCAAAATGAGATGAAAATATCTGGAAAAAGTCCAATATTGTGGATCCCTCATATTTAAGCCTGAAACACCTGCACCTTTATAGGACCAGGTCTCATTTATTAACCTCTGTATGTAGAGTTAAATTAGGTAACCTCAGATCATCACTGTCTGTAACCTCTTCACTCCTGAAAGTGTCAGGAAATCGCCTCTCAAACTCCCACTCTCTTGTCCAGAGTCCTTCACAGCTTTAAGTCTGTCCTGTTTAAGCATGAGAGCAGTCAGGGGTGGTCTGAAGAGATCTGCACTGTTAGGTTTCCAAATATGATGGGGGACGAAACATTAGAGACTTGCACTATCATGACACCTTTAACATTTGTATCTTGATAAAATGCCCAAATCCTCTTAGCTGAACTCACTCCGACCTCTGGCAGGAATCACAGAGACAAAGTTCAGGTGAAGACCTCAGCTGACATTGACACCTGTTGCTCATCCTGAAAATGTCTGCAAATGAACAGGATCAGTCTATTGCACAAACCTTTATTCTTCTTACATCACTGTTAGTCAGTGAAGAGTTGAGAAACGAATAAACCTGGAGTACTAAGAGCAATCTAGGACAATAACCATCAACCATTTGAGAAGATTCAGCTTCTAAAATGTGTGACTGCAAACCATGACATGCGAACCAGACAGTGATAAAACAGAGAGAGAGAGAGAGAGAGAGAGAGAGAGAGAGAGAGAGTCTGTAGTCAGTGTGGAAAAAGAAATATTCAGACACACACACAAAAAAAACCAAACATGCAAAAACTGACTAGGACATTAAAAAACCTTGGTTCGGAAATGCAAGAAAGGAGAATGCAACAGATTTAGAAAGTTAAACTGGTCCCTTGTTACAGAGGTGAAGACTTGTGTAAGGCTGCAAACTGAGCAGGAACAACTGAGGTCATTACACAGGTAAGAAGTGTCTGATGACCATAAACAGAGAGTGCATGAGGGAAATTTAGTGTACACACACCCACACACACACACACACACACACTACACAGGAGAGCAGGCAACATATGATCATCTTACACTGCACTAATTTAAGCCAAGTCCCTCCACCCGCCCTCTATATCTCTCTCTCTCTCACTTACACACACACACACACACACACACACACACACACACACACACACGGTAAAACATATGTCTCCCTCCCTGGTTGGCCCCGTTTGGCCCTGAGCTGGGCCGGTGAGCGGGTCCAGGTTTAGGGATGACTAAGCACTGACTGGTGGTTAGTCAGCCTGGGTTAACTGGGTGTCTGTGAATAGCAGCCTAATCATGATAATAGCTGGAGCTGACCTGTGGTCGGGCAAATGGGACCCTGTCAGAGCGGGTTAAATCAGACTGGCCTTGGGGGGGGGCACAGTCACACCAAAGTGGGCTGATTTGATCACATTAACCCCTCTGTAACTGAGAACTCTTTATATAAACCACACCCTTTATTATTTTGTATATACATTTACTAATCAGTGATTCCTGGTGGTTCCCACACATGAATTTAAAGGCGGAATCATCCCAGGGCCTGAGAGCTGAAGTTCCCCATTCAGGGAGGTACCATCGTGCCGAGCTCCGTTCAACAGTGCATCATTTCACCATTTTCTGCTTGTCTCCACATGCACACATCTATGAGGAAGTGGCCCATTTCTTTTTCTCATTTTCAGTGACTCACCTTTAAATCCGGCGTAATGAAATAAACCCGTGCACACCTTTTTGTCACTAAAATCAGAACTTTCTGAGTCTTCTCACTTGTTTAAGCCGAGGGAATTCTTTCGTGAGACCACACATAAGGTTACAGTATACATGAGTTTAAAAGACGGGTTTTTATAGGAATGAAAAGCTGGAAGACATATTGGATGTATGCCGAATTAGGAAGAAGATGTTAATAATAGTATTGAATACATTTTTTCTTTATAAAGCCGTGTACGTTTGCTGACCAGCAGTTAGAAATTTGACTTTGCTTTTTCCAGACGAGGTTCCTACCAGGCTCCCCTGACTGGTGGACGCCGACATGTATCGGAGTTAATTATCTATCAGAGTGAATCACAGAGCGTTTCTTACCGAGCACGAAGAGGGCGAAGCTAAGCGCGAAGACACGGTCCATCTTCGTCCGCTGTTCCTCCACTCTCCCCGGGATAAATCCTCAGTCTGCCCCGGGCTTCTTTGTCCTGGGTACGGGCTAACAGCGGAGCTCTCCCGCCGTTGCTGCCGTTCAGTCCAATCAAACTCTCTGATGTGCGAGTCCCGCACACACCCCGCACATCGGGCGGAGCCGCGCAGCAAACCGAGACACACGCTAACACAAACACACACTAACACTGACTGATACACACACACCGACACACAGAGGGGCACCGACACACTAAGGGGCCAGATCCCGTGTTTCGGAGTCCGTTTTTCCGTTCACACACGCACACTGACTCTGAACCGGTTTACTGTTAGGGAGGGAGAGACAGAGAGAGAAATGGGTAAAGAGTATGGGAAGAGAGGTTGGGCGGAAGTTAGGTGTCGGGGATGAATGGGGGAGGTCCCAGGTGAGGAGGGAGACTTTTACATATAAATCGGTGATTGGTCTATTTTTATATAAATGATTAAACGGCGTCATAACCTGTCCAATCGGAGCGGCTGTGATCCTGCCGCTCAAATATGAAATGATTGAAGTCCACTCCTGCATTTAGACTCCCTGTGCCACCATACTCTCTGAGATATGGACTGAAATGGTTTCATGATATTTCTTTATGTTTGTGTAATGAATAACCTGGAGTGGGTCAATATAATCAGTAAAATATACTTTTTCTTTGTGACAGTTAATTTACCAAAGCCGTCGGAGCGGATGATTGCACCAAGTGATGGGGTGAGGTTTATTTTTTGAATTGGTCTAATTTCCCCTCACTAGTTTAAGGTTCAATTTCACCTTCAGAAGTTTATATTTGGGATAAAAGTGTAAAAAGTTGAAAGAATTCTTCTGTTTAATCTTTTTTTTTCTGTTCCACACAATAAACATGTTTATTTCTACTGCCGAGTTTAACATGGGAATCAGTGAGGACAGACTCACTGCAGGACACAGCCTCTAGTGGACGGGAAAAGAGCTGCAGTTTATGGGAGTTTTAGAATGGCTTTATTTATTAAGGAAAGCTACAGTCTGAAGTGGATATCATGAGAAAAGTCAAACTTCTACCAAGATCAAACACAGAAGATTATAAGAAAATCAGCAGTTTGGCATTTGAGTAATATGGGTTCTTTGGGGATCAGAGAATTAAATTTTCCATGAGTCAAATGTTTGATACCAGTTTAAAGTCCAATACAATGTGACTATAACCTCATTGTAAACCTGAGTATGTGAGGATGCTAAGTCTAAAGTTCAAAAAGTAGACTCTGACATCCACAGACTCACCTTTGAGTGTTGGCCTCCAGTGGACATAAGAGGAAGTGCAGCTTTGAAGCTGAAACCTTTTTCTTTGTGCTTTATTTTTTGAAGCTTAATAAAAACAGTTACAAGAAAAATAAAATCCAAACAAACTTTATAGGATAGTTTTAATATCTGTGGGAAATATAAAAACAATAACATCCAGTTTAGTTTGTTACATAAACACTAAAATATGACCTAGTTACACAAGCACAGATTGTGCGTGTGCTTGTGTGTGTGTGTTTCTGCAGGCTGCCTGAGGTAAGACTCATGCTGTGAATTTACACTGAGCCACTGGGCTGGTCAAAGGTCACTGCCCAGTCGAGGCACTGCAGGGTCAAAGGTCAAAGCTCTGTGGGTGATCTGCTGATACATGTGCCTGTGCTATATTTGCACTGTGTGTGTTTGTGTGTCACCTGCTACAGTATCAGTTTCTTAAACATCTGTTCAAAGTCACACACACCTGACGCTGACACACATACACACACATAAACACACACACACCTGTCTGATCAGCTTGCAGTAATGTTGAGGGGTTTTTATGGATTATCAGCCTTTTATTTGTGAAGGTTGAGCGCCAAATAGTTGGCATTATGAGGGACTCCAGCCACCCCTTGAACAGCCTGTTCAACCTCCTGCCTTCTAGGAGAAAGTACTGGAGCCTCTGGGCCTGCTCTGCCAGACTTATGAACAGCTTCACTTGCCAAGCTACCGGAAATCTGAACTCTCTTCTGCGCCCAGAAACACTGGACTCGGAACCCCCTCTCAACCCTTACTAGACACATAGTATTTGCACTATAAAAAAACTCTGCTGCTGCTGTTACACAATCACCTGCTTCTGTATTCTGCACTACAATTTTTTGCACTACAACTCCACTGTTTACATGAATGCTGGCTGTTTACATGCTGTTTACATCAATGCATTACTACAGATTGCAACCACCACCTGCACTTTTTGGTCATGTGTAAATATGTACAGAAGATTTAGGCTAAAATACTTTTTAACACCAACGTCATGAACCTGTTTGATCAAAAACAAGGTGAACTATTTATCTGTCAGGCCACTTCACTTGGAAAAACCAAAACCCAGATTCAACCATCGAAACCCAGAGCTATGGCCCCACCTGCTGGTCACAGGTAGAATTGCAGTACGCTGACAATAAGGGCATTCTGTGCAGAGTCTAATGTTTTATCTAACTGAAACAAAAACAGAACTTAACAAATCAAACTTTTAAATTAGTGTTTGTCAAAGACATTTTTCTTTCAGATGGGAACAAAAAGATTGTTTATGGTTCCCATATTTCACTGCAAAAAACATCTGAACCTGTCCATGATATCAATTTAACCTGAAATAGGAATCAATGACATTAAAACACATTAACCAAACTAAAAAGATATAAATTTCACTAGTAATGTCTTTGGTCCATCTGCTTACAGGTATATACATAAGAAGAACTTTATTGCTCCCCGAAGGGAAATTCAATTGTCTGTTGTCTCACGTAATATGTCTATAAAAGTTATCTATTTACATAAGAGTTATAAAGCCTGATGGCTGTTGGTCGAAAAGATCTTCTAAATCTTTGTGTCCTGCAGCGAAGAGAGAGGAGCCGTCCACCACCATTTGCCCTTTGGTCCATCAAGGTGTTGTGAAGTGGGTGATCCATGTTCTTTAGAATAGTCTCCAAACTTCCTCAGTGTAGATCTCTCCACCACATCCTCCACTGAGTCCAGCTTGAGTCCTACCACAGCGCCAGCCTTTTTCAGCAGTTTGTTAAGACATCTTGCATCTTTTTGTTTGATGCTTCCTCCCCAGCAGACTGCAGCGTAGAACAGCACACTTGCCACCACAGACTGATAAAACATCTGCAGCGTCTTACTACAGATGTCTATTGATCAGTGTCTTCTCAGGCAAAAGAAGCTGCTCTGCCCCTTTCTGTAGATGTAGTCTATATTCTTAGACCAATCCAACTTATTATCCAGATGTACACCTAACTAAGTATTTATATGATGTCACCACTTCGAGGTCCACTCCACAGGTGTTCACTGGCTGAAGAGGGGGTTTGGATCTACGGAAGTCTATGACCATCTCCTTTGTCTTTGAGGTGTTGAGGAGGAGGCAGTTTTTGTGACTCCAGTCACTGAAGGCTCTTATTAGATCTCTGTATTCAGCTTCTTGTCCATTTCTGATACATGCCACAATAGCGGTGTCATCTGAGTATTTCTGGATGTGGCAGGTCTCAGTGCTGTATTTGAACTCTGACATGTACAGTGTGAACAGGAATGGCACCAGCACTGTCCCTTGGAGAGCCCCTGTACTTCCCATTAATGTTCCAGAAACACAGTTCCCCAGCCTGACAAACTGTGGCCTTCCTGTCAGGTAATCTGCGATCCAAGAAACACAGGAAAGATCCACTCCCATCTCTGTGAGCTTGTCTTTGAGTATGGTGGGTTGGATGGTGTTGAATGCACTCGAAAAGTCAAAGAACATGATCCTCACATTAACCCCAGGTTCCTCCAGATGAGACAGGGCATGGTGAAGCATGTAGAGGACAGCATCATCCTTTGACCTCAGACCTCAGAAGGCGTAGAATCAGCCACTCCATGGTTTTCATGATGTGTGAAGTGAGGGCCACTGGTCTGTAGTCATTGAGTTCAGCAGGACATTTTGTTTTTGGTACTGGCACAATGCAGGATGTTTTCCACAGAGTAGGTATCCGCCCCAGCTGTAGACTCAGGTTGAAGATCCTGTGGAGAGGTTGACACAGTTCTGCAGCACAGTCTCTAAGCAGCCTTGGACACACACCATCTGGACCAGCTGCTTCACAGGACAAAGTCTTCCAAGCTCCATCCTCACCCCTCATTCAGTGACAGACAAGGACTGGTGTTCTAGGAGGGAGGCAGTTGAAGTGGTTGAGACATTTGAATGAGATGGAGGAGGAAGGGGAGAAATTGTAGTGGAGACCTGTTGCGGGGAGGAAGGTGGAGTAGCAGTGAAAGTGGGAGTGACAGCAGTGTCAAATCTGTTGAAGAACAGGTTGAGTTCATCAGCTCTTTTCACATCAACCACCACTGGCTGTCTTTTCTTTTGACTGCTGTGTCCAGAGATGGTACTGATTCCTCTCCACACTTTACGGATGTTGCTGTGTTGTAGATTCTTCTCTATCTTCTTTTTGTACTCCAGCTTTGCCATCTTGAGTCTCCTCTTCAACTCTTGTTGCACTTGTTTGAGTCGTTCTTTGTCACCATCTTTAAAAGCTTTCTTTTTCTGGTTAAGGATTGCTTTTATGTCTCTTGTGATCCAGGGTTTGTTGTTGGGGAAACAGCGAACAGTCTTTGTGGGTATAACTGTGTCTCTACAGACGTTAACATAGTCATAGTAAAGCAGTCAACCTGTTTATCAATGTTCATACTATCCACATCTGTTTCCAGCAGCACATTCCAGTCTGTTGATTTAAAACAGTCCCTTAGAGCTCCACTGGCTTGAGGTGTCCATCTTCTTATTTTGACTTTGGTCACAGGCTGCCTCAGCACACAAGGTCTGTAACAGGTTTGCAGATAGACCAAGTTATGATCTGACTTGCCCAGTGGTGGTAAGGCAGTGGCTCTGTAGGCTTCTTTGATGTTGGCATACAGCAGATCCAGGGTCTTGTTTTCTCTGGTAGGACAGTTCACAAACTGTGTGAACCCAGTCAGGTGAGAGGACAGGGTGACATGGTTGAAGTTTCCCGATGTTATTATTAGTGCCTCAGGCTGTTGAGTCTGTAGCCTGGCAACACTATTTTGCAAAACATCACAACATTCTTCAGTTGATTTGGGTGGAATGTAAACAACTACTGTTATGATACGACTAAATTCTCTTGGAACATAATATGACCAAAGAGCAACTGCCAACAGTTCAATATCTGGACAACACAACTTCTCCCTGATAGTTATGTGTGAAGGGTTACACCATCTCTGGTTGACATATAAAGCCAGACCTCCTCCTTTCTTCTTGCCACTAGCTTGAGCATCTCTGTCTGACCTTATAAGAGTGAAACCAGGTAGATCCACAATGGAGTCTGAGTTGTTTTGATTCAACCAGGTTTCAGTAAAACACAGGAAACTGCACTCACTTTCTCAGTCTTCACCAATATCTCCAGTTCATCGCTTTTGTTGGGCAGAGAGTTGATGTTTCCCATGATGATTGATGGAATAAAGGGTTTATATGGCCACCTCCTAGCATTCAGCTTTGCCTTCACCTTTGCACCAGCACGGCAACCATGATTACACCTCCTGATGTCCTCTGGAATTGTATGTTGTTGTCCAGATTTGCTTTTTCTCAATGAAAGGAGCTCTTCTCTTGAGTAAACTCTTCACCCAGCAGAAGTATCATGTCCACAGGTGTAATATTAATATATCCGTCCACAGGTGTAACCTTAATATGTCTGTCCACAAGTGTAACACTAATATATCTATCCATAGGTGTAACATTAATATATCTATTCATAGGTGTAACATTAATATATCTGCCTACAGGTGTAACATTAATATATCTATCCACAGGTGTTACATCAAAATAGCTGTCCACAGCTGTGAGTGTCATTTCCTTTGCCCTCCTGCAGGTCTCATCTCTGAAGGAGCTGGTGTCTTTCTCAGTGTGGTAAAATCAGACTAAGGCTGTTGGAGTGGATGAGGCTGTAGCTGCTCTGAATGATTTTCTTCCACACGATTATAAGTGTCCATGTGTTTACAACTAGTATGTTTGTGCATCTGTAGCTTTGTTCTAAACTTGCTGTCTCATCACGGACAGTCTGTTAATGCATTTGAAACCTTATTGAGTCTTTCCTCGTAAAATCAATTCAATAAAAATATTCAAACACCTGTCTGCAGGTGTTAAATTTGAGTAACAGTCTCTGACACATGAATACACTTGTCTTATGGCTTCAGGTGGACATACCTGTCTTTAAATGTCATGTCACAGTCAGGTCACTGACTGTATTTCATGTAAAACAAACAGAAGCATCATTTAATCTGCTTGACACCTAACTGAAAAAAGACTCCTGTCTTTAAACAGTGTTCCTAAGTTAATGAAGCCCCAGCTCTCTCTAGTGGAAGAAAGAAGTCATTACAAACTGAGAAAGGGGAGAAAAGTTTTATCTGTTAGAGCCAGTTCACTGTTTGATAATTTAGGACTTTATTCAGAAACACAAAACAATCAGGAAAAGCTAAAGAGACAGAAAATAACATAAGAATATAAACCAACAGAAATATCTGAATCACAACCTGAACAAGTTATACAGAAATGTGTGGATCATATACTGCTTAACGTCAGTGTTTATGTCTGCATTATTAGTCCAACTCATAATGTATAACAAGACCCTATTATAACATTGATACTGAATTTTAACTGCTCACTCATCTACTGTGAGATTAGACACATTATTATCTACTGTCTCGGTTAAGAAAGCAAAAAACAGGTAAACTCGTAAATTTCAGGTGAGTCCTCGGGTGGGGACAGTCAACAGAGATCAGACTGGTCCACATTCAGAGGAGAAGCTGGATGGAGAGGAGGAGTTTATCAAAGATGAGACACAGATTTATAACAGAATAAGACTCCAAGAGCAGCTCCCTCAAATGAAAAATATCATCATGAATAACAGCTCTAAAGACAGGTGTGTCTTTGTATGTCAGGACTGAAAACAATCATCTGACTGTTATAACCCTGATTATACTTATAGTCAAGTTTTAAAAAAGAAATCTCACTAAATATACATATATAATACCTTTAAGTCACAAAGAGGTTTAGCTGTTGTTCTTGTCATTGTAAGGATTATTCCTGACATCTCTGATAAACTCTGCAGAGCCATCTCCTCAGCTCTCAACGGACGGTGAAGATCTCATTCTAATTGCCCCAAAGTTTAGGACTGTAATGATTTTTGCAATTATGCTCATTGTTATATTAAGGGACTATCTGACCCTGAATCAGTCCATGGGGACTCATTTAAACTTCAGCACAGTGTGTCAGTCTGCTCCACTGTGCAGTCTGTGGTTGATTTAACCCTCGGTGTGTGCTCTAGATGCCGTCCTGGTTAAACAGGTGTTGAGGTCTCTGTCTCTCAAGCGTGTTACAGTTTGTAGAAACAAGTTAAAGAAATGCTCTCATCCTTTAGAGAAGGACTCAGACATTGACCCGTTGAATAGTTTTATGCATTATAAATAAAGGCTTTGAAAATCCCCTACTGTCATGGTTACTCATTATGAAGGCAAACTAATATGCAGACAGAGCATTACTTTAAAACGGACACAACAATAAAATACAAAAGTACTTATTTTAAAAACAACATGGAGAATAGTTTGATATTGTGACATTAAAAGCCAGAAATGCTCTTCAGCATTCAAGCCTTTAAAACTACGGCTTGATTTAAAGAGAGAGTCCCATTTCTGTGTGTTAGAAAGACAAAATAATCATATAGAGCTGTTCACTATGTGCTCAAATAGAATATACACAGCAAAGGAAAGATTAAAGAGTTTTTAATGAAAAAAAAAGAGTTTGAAGATTAAAATCACTAACATCCAGATTAGGATGGCTCAGCTTAGTTTGCGTTCACCTTTCAATATCAGCGTCTTCCTCCTGACATGAGCAAAGGGTGAGTATGTGGATGAGTAGGGCATCAGAGGAATGTGAAGGTGGTCACACTCTGGGGGTTCTTGGAGCCTTTTTCCTGGGCTGAGGAAGAGGAGGGGGCTGCTCTTCATCAGGTGGTTGTGGGGCCTGGCAGGAAAGGGACAGAAGTGTAACCATACCTGAGATGTACACTTTCTTAAAGAGGTGACTGAAAGAGCTCTCTGACATCACTGACAGACACTGTAAGAACACCACTGCGGTGTTCAGATTTAAACTTCTCAAATCTCGGAAAAAGCCCTGTGTTCAAACTCTGTCATATGGAAAGAGTTCAGGCTCTGAGTCTGCTGCCTCAAACTGGAGAGATTTTAACTCTCCAGGTCTGTGTGTCAAAGTACAGACATAAAAACAATTTTCACCTATTTTTTAACACTTGTTTGGCCTGTTTCCACTGACAGAGGTTTTTGTTTTAAAAACAAACATAAAACTGTTTGCATTTTTTGACATTTTAAAACCTGTTTCCACTAAACATATAGGGCCTGTTTCTATTAATAGGTTTTGTCCCAGTATTTCCTTTCTCTACAAAAACAATGCAAGTCAATGTTTTCTACACCCCATGCACCCTCACTGTCAGCTGATTTACTTAAAAGAGATCAGGCTATGAGTCTGCTGATGTAAACAAGAGGGATTTTAAAGATTTGTGCCCAGAGCACAGACAGAAAAACTGTTTCCACTTATTTTGAACACTTCACAGAGTTTCATACAGACACAAAATAGTTTCCATGAGTTTTTTGTAATTTTAGGACCTGCTATCCAGTGAAAGAGGTTTGTGCACAAAACTCCGAGTGAGCTTTTCGGAGCAGCTTTTCATAATAATAATAATAATAATAATAATCACATTCATTATTATTATTATTTTAGACAGGCCCACTAAGACTAGCATTTGATGTTCTGCTGCAGAGTGTTCTGCTTATAATAATAATAATAATAATGAGTTTTGAGACGCGATTTGAAGATGGAGAGTTTCATAAACAGTCACAGAAACAGTTTCCACTAATATTAAATATTTAGGGCCTGTTTCTACTATTATGTCCTTTCTCAGCACCTGAAAATACAAAACCAGTGTAGGCTAGCTGTAATAATTAAACTTTTGAAACACCTTTACACTTGTCAATGTCAGTTCTCCATGTCTGGCTAATCACAGTAAGGCAGGGACAGGACTTCTGACACCAGTTGATTACAAAAACATTGAGTGCATGAGATTAATCACTCTCATCTAGATTTGTTTGGGTCACAGATATTTACACATAGATGTTGCATTGGCTGTGCTAGCTCACTGCTGTGATGCGTGAGTGTGTCCACCATATTGTTCGGGTCAGGTCTGATATGTAACCAAATACTAGTAGGAAATTTGGACGGCTGTTTCATTGTATACAATAAGGTATCACATTTAAGAGAAGTTAACGTGAAGTGGGCTACTAATAAAAATATATTGTCTATATTTTGTCAGTCATGACTCAAAGCTCAGACTGACTGATGAAGTAAGTGGACTTCAGCTGTGCTGAACAGAGGACTGAGCCCCATGCACTCAAACAGTTTCTGTTCCAGGCTGTACGCATATTTATAATTCTGCTGTACAGTTTTAAGATGGAGACAGACTCACAGCAGGACACGGCGTCTAGTGGGTGCTCAGTGAACTGCAGTTTTTTGATTATATTTTTTTCTATGTTAAAAATACCTAAGGTTTCTCACCTGTGCAGGTCTGCGGGGGCTCGGCTGAGGGTGGGCGTTGGGCTTCTCCGGCTGGCGCTGACGCTGCTGTTTGTTGCGATGTGGGCGGGGCCCTGTGTGTCCAGCTGGCTGCTGGTGCTGGTGCTGGTGCTGGTGTTGGTGTTGGTGCTGCTGCCGCTGATGCTGTTGTTGTTGTTGTTGATTAGGATGATGATGATGGTGGTGGTGGTGATGCTGATGTTCTTGTTGCTGGTTAGGATTGGCCCAGCCCAAACGAAACTCCTCCTCATCTGTCGAGAGAAACAGTGGGCACAAGGAGTTTCTGATTCTGAATTTTGAAGTCTACAGAATAAATTACTAATCGCTTTACTTCCAAACAGGAGAGACAGCTGCTTCGCTTTAAAGTTATTTATGAATAAAGAAACAATCAAAACAAACAGGCTCACTCTTTAGGTGCATTTTTTTCCGCCGTCTGGTCCGTATACAGCAGATGATGACTGTGATGAACAACAACACAACAAGTCCTGCAGACCACAAATGATTATTAGAATAGAAAAAAAAAAGGCTTTAAAAAAAAAAAAACTTTCTGTCACCTGTAATTCAACAACTTCCTATTCTAGCTATGAGGACAAATTCAGATACATACAGTCAAATTCAGATTACTATAATTATAAAATTATAATACATCAATGGATAAAGAGGGGAGAAAACAGACCTCCTCCAGAGCCAACAAAGATCCAGGGGTTTAGTCCAAAAATCTCAGGTAAGATGCCTAAGGGGAAGGGGGGGAGCGTATTGAATAAATACATGAGTCAATTTGTGAGGTAAAGTGTCAACAGATGTGACTGGAGCTCACTTGGTTCATAGCAGGTCTGTGTGATGGCCTCGCTGCTTTTCGTGCTCACTTTGTTGGACAGCGTACAGTTGAACTTGTCCATCTGCACCTGTTTTGCGGTACGATTGATCGATGGAGTCGTTTCCTTCATCACTTTGTTATTTTGATGCCACTTTACGCTCACGCCCTTCACCTGCCCACCAAAATAAAGCACAGTCAAAGTATTTTAGGAAACTTAATCAAACTTAAAAATAAATAAATAGATATCTTCTAAAAAAATTCACCAACATTATTTTCCTCATGGGGAACTAAAATATCAGTCAATCAATCACTTTATTTATAAAGCACTTTTCATACATGGCTTGTATCACAAAGTGCTGTACACAGAGGATACAAAATAAAATGCAAAATAAAATACAAACTGCAAAAACCCCACCCATCCACCCTCCAATTTAACAGAGAACCCCCCACACACACACACACACGACCATTGGGACACCAAGTCAGGGCTCAACAGGAAGCCACAGAGGACCTAGGAAACGCTATCTTAAACTAAACTAAGGGAAACCCTGGAGCTGAAGCTAAACTGACAAAACCATGACAAGGTAGAAAATAATTAAAGGAAAAAAACAACAACAACAACAATCATCATAATAATAATAATAATAATAATAATAATGATAATGAAATATAATATAATAAAACTGTTTTAAAATCAAATAATAAAAGAAAATAAACAAATAGTGTTAAAATATACTAAAAAAAAAAAAAGGCTAGAAGAATAAAACAAAAATCAGCTAAAGGCCAGACTAAAAAGGAAGGTCTTGAGTTTGCGTTTAAAAATATGAACTGTAGGTGCTGCTCTCAGGTCTTCAGGCGGACTGTTCCACAGATGGGGGCCATAATAATAAAACAATGCCTCACCGTATGTTTTGGTTCTAACTTTGGGGACTTTTAAAAGACCACCTCCTGAAGACCTGAGGGCTCTACTGGGCTCATATCGTTAAAGCAAATCAGATAAATAAGAAGGACCTAGACCATTAAGACATTTATAAACTAATAAAAGAACCTTAAAATCTATTCTTAAAGACACAGGAAGCCAATGCAGAGACTTTAAAATTGGTGTAATGTGGGCTCTCCTCCTGATCTTTGTCAGCATGCATGCGGCCGAATTTTGCAGCAGCTGAAGCTGTGAAATGTTCTTTTTAGGAAGACCAGAGAGGAGAGCATTACAATAATCAATTCTGCAGGTAATAAAAGCATGGATATGAGTCTCTGCATTGGCTTGAGAGAGAAACTGGCGGACTCTGGAGATGTTCTTAAGGTGATAAAAAAGCCTTTTTGGTGATATCACGAATGTGTGATGCAAAGCTGAGATTAAAATTAAATATAACACCCAGATTTTTAACATGTTTTGAGGGATTAAAAGACAGTCCTCAGAGTTTGTTCTCCAGTTTCTTTCTCTCTGGACCTGTACCGATGACTAAAATCTGGGTTTTGTCCTGGTTGAGCTGCAAGAGGTTGTCTGCCATCCAGGACTGGACGTCTAAAATACAGTTAAAAAGGGCATCAATGGGCCGTGTGTCATAAGGGGACACGGCCAGGTAGAGCTGTGTATCATCCGCATAGCTGTGAAAGTTAATGTTGTGTCTCCTGATGACATCTCCTAATGGTAACATATATAGATTAAAAAATGTGGGGCCTAAAATTGAGCCCTGGGGAACACCACACTCCATTTTATAGGTTCTTGATGAGCGTTCCCCAGTGATAACGTAATATTTCATGCCAGTCAGATATGTTTTAAACCAGTTAAAAACAGTAACAGAGATGCCAATGTAGTTAATATAACACTGATGCCCACACAAGTCAAAACCAGAGAAAAAATATCTGGAGTTTTTAAAATCAGGATCCAGACTGTGTTTTAGTGAAGCTGGAGTCAGTCATACAAATTTATAAGAAAGGGTCAGCAATAGGGCAGGGCGATAGAATGATAACAATATATATCAAAAATTAATTTCCCTCAATATCAATATAAAACATGGTCAATATGCTTCTGCCATGTTTTGGTAGACTATACAAAAAGCCAATGAAAAGGGGAGTTGCGTCTGAATTAGAACCAAGTAGCAAAAAACTGCGTAGTACTAGGCTGCAGCTACACGCAACCATAGCACTTTAACAGGTAGTGGTGGGCAAAACCGGTCATTTCAGTGAACCGGATCATTCCGGGTCGTTCAGTAAAAAGACCCGTTCATTTCGTTCTTTTCGGTCATTTCGGTCAATCGGTCATTAGTCAGTCAGTCCGCTGCCCCTCCCCTGCCCCCCCCCCCCCACCTCGTGCAAATGCGTATTAATAGTTGTCTCTCTGCCTCTGGCTGCAGCAGCAGCTGTGTGCCTTTGTGTGTGTGTGTGTGACTGTCCCGCTCGCTCCGGCTCGGCTGTTGGGCCTCGTGCGGCAGCCAGTCAACTCGGTCTTTCAGTCAACTCGTTCATCTGTCTGGATCTTTCGTTCACTCGGTCTTTCAGTCAACTCGTTCACCGTCTGGATCTTTCGTTCACTCGGTCTCTCGTTCAACTCATTCATCCGCCTGGGTCTTTCGTTCAACCCGGTCTTTCGTTCAACTCGTTCATCGGTCTGGGTCTTTCGTTCACAAGGTCTTTCGTTTAACTCGTTCATCGGTCTGGGTCTTTCGTTCACTCGGTCTTTCGTTCAACTTGTTCATCGGTCTGGGTCTTTCGTTCACTCGGTCTTTCGTTCAACTCGTTCATCCGTCTGGATCTTTCATTCACTCGGTCTTTCGTTCAACTCATTCATCGGTCTGGGTCTTTCGTTCAACTCGGTCTTTCGTTCATTTGACCCATTCTTTCAGTCACCTCGGTCTTTCGTTCATTTGACCCGTTCTTTCAGTCAACTCGGTCATCCCGGTCTTTCAGTCAGCTCAGTAGTACTGCTGCTGCTTCTCTAAGCCCCACCCACACACAGAACGAGGCGCGACGATAGGATAAGACAGGCAAGCAGTCCCTATTCAGCCAATCAAAAGAACTGAACGGATTGAACGGGTCATTTAGGGGGGGGAGAACTAGTTCATTTCGTTCATCAAAAAGAACTAGTTCTTTTGATCCGTTCGTTCAAGACCGACACACCACTATTTACAGGTGAAGCTGACAGCACTGTTGGTGAGGAAAACAGAAAATCAGTGCTAACCCCTGCAGAAATGCAGATGAAGGCTCAACAGATGATGACATTGTCAACAACACTGGAACGAAAACATTGGTGGTGTGGAGGTATTTCGTTTTTTTGAGGTCGGACATGAAGCAGGGTATTGTGCACTGCAAATTATGTTGAGTACATGTTCTCACAAAGTCGGGGAATACCTTAAATCTTTTTCACCACCTGACGCAGTGCAGCAGAGCACGTGCAATGCAAAAGGTTACAAGCGGAGCAAGGAGCCCATGGTGCCTGTGCAGCCGAAACAGCTAACCATTCAGTCCATTTTCCCTAGCACAACACCTTACGACAAAATGTTGAAGAGACACAAAGACCTCACAGATGCAGTAGCTTATTGTATTGCAAAAGACATGCTACCAATAAGCACTGTTAAATTTCATGTAAGAGCAACAGGGAATATTTAAAATAGATAAGTGATTTTGTTATATCTTGATATATATCGATATCGACTGATATGAAAAAAATATATTGTGATAAACTTTTTACCATATCCCCCAGCCCTAGTGAGCAATAACACAAGTTAGCCTACAGCAGAGAAATAATGAGCGAATTTTAATCTAATCTCAATGATTAGAAGGCAACAAAACCAGATGTTTTTGAAATTCAGAGTCTTTTTTTGTTATGCAATTTAAAAATATTACATGAATCTGACCAAAACTCCAAGTCTGAATATTCACCATGGGTTAGGATAGTTGGGATCTAAGACATTATCAGGGATTTTATGACAGACATTATGAGAAAATGTATCAAGAACATTTTTAGGGATGTAATAATGATAACATTATTAGGGACACATAAGATACTCTCAAGAACATTATCATGAAAAATTTTAAAGGATCTCTAAGGAGTCTTATCTGGGACATTATTAAAATTCTATTATCATAACATTATAACATTATCAGACATTATCAAGGACAAAATTTATCAAGAGCATTATCAAGGACATAATGATAAAAACATTATTATTGATATTATCAAAACATTATTGGTGACATTGTGAGAAACACTATCAGAGACAATTTTAAGGGACAATTTTAGAAAATGTATCTGGTCCTGATCAAAGACATGGGGCTCTATTTTTGTGCCCGCCAGTGGCGCGGTGGACGGTGGTGCACCCTGCGCGGTGGTATTTTCGTCTGGCGGAGCCCGGCACAGAGTTGTCAACAGAATCAGCTGGCACAGTGACATTTTCGTGCCCGCCCATGGCATGGATAGTGCATTGAAAGCTCGCCGATTCAAACCTGGTCAGCTTTCAGCACAGGCAGAGTGCAGCTGGTCTAGTGGTATTTTGATAGACCAGCGGCGCATTGTGACTACGTCACCGATGCCTCACATCCATCTGTGCTTATTTGAGAAGTGTGCAGGACACCCTCTGCAGCGCTAACAGCAACACTTGTTGAGGGGTTGCCTTCTGTCACCATCATGTGGCATTGCTGTCTTCAAATATCTCTTGATCTCTTCGACAACTTCACCAAAATTGTAATACGCCTCACCGGTGGCGGATTTAAAGGTGAAGAGAGGAGCTGATCTGATTGGCGAAAAACAGGTCTCAGCTGTGTTAAATCCACGCCACGACTTATCCCCTCCTTCTCTACTACTTACGCTGCTGGGAGGAGCTGAGTTAGGGAGGGGGGATACTTACGCCGGGCTGTGCCACTCACCAAAATACCAAAGTGTGCTTGGGCACACCATATTGCTGCAGCGGACATGACTTTTGCCGTGCCTGCGCCATGCCAGCAGCGAGTCATGAAAATAGGGCCCATAATGTTTAAAAAATGTTCAGGGACTTTGTGAGACGTTATTAAGAATATTGTGTGAAAATTGTCAAAGGCATTTCCAGGTACCTAATCAGAAACATTATCAAAACACCATTTGAGACATAATAGGACACTCTATAATAGGACATTATCAAAGGAATCATCTGAAAATTCATCAAGAACATTACACAACAGACATGTTGGTCACAATATTTTCAGGGATTTTATAAGACAGCTCCAAGCACATGATCGGGGACACTTTCAAAGGTATTTTTAGGGCGGTTATCAAGGACATAATGAGGGGAACTTAAAGGGATATTTTCAGGGTCGTTATTAATATATTATCAGGGACTTCACATACACTGTCAAAGACAATTTCAGAGACATTTCACAAAATGTATCAAAAACATTATCAAGGCATATACATAAAAAGATTGTTAGGGACTTTATGAGTCAATATCAAGGACATGACAGTGGGTTTTTTCAACTTTTTAGAGACTGAGATATTTTTGTTGTTAGTCCCGATGACGAGAACCATGATAAAAACAACTTAACTCGAATGAAAAATGAAATACTGTGTTTTAGTCAATAAAAACACACTCTGCGCATACACAAAAAAAACTTCTCACCTGGGCACCAGAGCAGGTTAAGATGACAAATGATGATGCACACTCCATTGTCACAGTTGGTTTTTTGACAGGGTCTGAGAAGAGAAGAGTAAGAATCTTTCTGATAAACTGGAAAAAACAAAATGCAAACTGATGCAGAAATCTGTCAGGAACTTTCAGGAGTTTACACTGTAAAGATATGGCAATCATGATGTTACATACCCATCACACATAATTCGAACGTGAATGTTCCAAGTGATGTTCCACTTTTATCATAAATCTTGGCTTTGTAGTCTCCCTCAATTTTTTTTGTCACGTTCTTTAGGACCAGAGATCCATTCTCAGATACATCCCCTTCCTCTCCAGACAAAACTTTGTTATCTTTCTTGTCAAAAATTACAGCAGTGTCTCTCATCCACACCAGTCGGGAATCCAGTTTGGGCTCCAGAGGTAACGTGAAGTCACCCCCAGCTGGAGCAAAATGGCTGCATTCTTTAGCTGTAAAGACAGAATGAAATCAAGCATAGAGATATGATGGCACCAAAAAAAAAAACTTTAATACTAACATAATGCAAAGTTTAAAACCATTGTCAAGATTGGAATCTAAAAACCCTGCACAATGTGCAACTACAAAAACGTGCAACAATAACAAGGTAAAAGTCATGAACATGCGACATAAAACATGCAACAATCACAACATCTTACTATAAATACAAGCAAGCTCAAACTTTAACAACAGAAACATGCAATGAAAACATGCAATAGCAAAAATATAAAACAACAAAAGTATGGAACGATAAAAAAGTGCAACAACAGAAAAATGCAACAGTAGAAACATTCAACAAAAACATGAAACAATAAAAAAGGACTATAAACAATTAACAAAAAAATCCAATCCAATCCAATCCAGGTTTATTTATATAGCACATTTAAAAAACAACAAAGCGCTGACCAAAGTGCTGTACAGTAAAATCAAAAACAAAATAAATAATAAAAAGCAACAGCAAAAACAAACAAACAAAAAAATCCTCATACCATTACAGAAACATGCAACAACAAACGCATGCTACAACAACAACAAGGAAACAACAAAACAACAGAAACAAGCAAAAACAAACAAACAAACAAAAAAACAGTCTAAAAGTAAGATGTTACGCCACAAACATGCTGGATAAAATAATCATAATAACTAAGGCTTGTATTCAATTTATTATTTTCGAGACAGCTTTTTTTTTAAATAATAGTATAATAACTTCTTGATTGCTGACAGTCAAATGACTGTTCTTAAGTCTTTCTATCTGGTTTTCAACCTTTCAATATAACTGAAACTGCTCTGGCTAATGAGTATAATCACACAAGTCCTCACACTGTGGACAGCAGTGGAGTTTCAGTGCTGAATTTTACACTCACAAAGCAAAAATTACACACAGATTCCTTTAGGTTTACTTCACATGGTTAACAGATACAGAATAATCTGTACTTTCAGAAATTCAGATTTTTCTCTCTGAGTTCATGAAAAAAACATTAATCTATAATGTGTTGTCTATGATTTTGATTTATGATAAAAAATGACTAAGTAACTAAACTTTCCTTTTAGCAAACACAGGAAATCTGTTTGCAAAGTTTCCTTTAGCTTGAAAGGTGCTGACAGGAAGTGGCATGATGAGTCAGATTTTTCCTATGATGGTGTGAACATGTGGGGGTGTATTTAATTTTCTTTAGTCTAGATTATAGTCTAAACTTTAGTGAAGTCAACAGACAAACAAACAGCCTAAATTAGACTTCATTAAGTCTGTATCATCCTGTATAAGTATGTATCAATCTGAATTAACCTGTAACAGTCTGTATCAGCTTGTAACAGTCTGTAACAGCCCCTATCAGCCAAACTGTATCAGTCTGTATCATCAGTATTTATCAGTAGGTATCAACCTGTAACAGTCTGTATTAGCCTGTAACAGTCTGTATCACCCCTGACCAGTCTGTATTGGTCTACATCAGCCCGTATTAGCTTGTATCAGCGTTTATCAGTCTGTAAGAGCCTGTCACTGTCAGTATTGGTCTATTTCATCCTGTATCACTTTTTAACAGCCCGTAAATAAAAATAATAAATAATAATAATAATACATTTTATTTGTGAGCGCCTTTCAGGACGCTCAGGACACCTTGCAGTGCAATTAAAAGACACATCAGTAGAAAGTAAAATCAATAAAAAAGACATCAACACAACAAAGCCTTAAAACCGTATCAACCTGTTGCAGTCTGTATTAGTCTACATCAGTCTGTACCAGCCTGTATCGGTCTGTATCAATCTGTACCAGCCTGTATCATTCTGTAACAGCCTGTATCAGCCTGTCACTGTCAGTTTTAGCCTGTTACAGGCTGTATCACCTCTGACTAGTCTGTATTGGTCTATATCAGTCTGTATCAACCTTTATCAGTCTGTAACACCCAGTATCAGCCTGCCGTAGTCTGTTTCAGCCTGCATCGGTCTGTATCAATCTATACCAGCCAGCCTGTCACAGTCTGTATCAGTCTATATTATGAAAAAACTGATCAGTTTGTACAATAATAATTATAAATTCTTTTGACAAAGCACTTTTCAAAACAGAGCAACAAAATGTTTCCCAACATAAAAAGAAAATAGAAATGTGAAAGGAGGCTAAAATAGAGCTGATATGCTATCTCTGGGCTCTATTGCCCTGTCCGCCGTTGAGGCGGCAAAGGGTGGCAGACCCCGCGCAGTGAAATTTTCATCTAGCTGAGCCCGGCATACAGCCAGTTTGGTATTTTCTTGGACTGAAGCGCACCAAGGTCCGCCAAGCTGGGCGTGGTGGCGTAGCAGAGGAAGATGTCAACAGAATCAGCTGGCGCAGTGACATTTTCGTTCTTGCCACTGGCGTATAAATGCGCTGAAAGCTCGCCGATTAAAACCTGGTCAGCTTTCAGCGCAGGTGGAGCGCAGCTGGTCTAGTGGTTATGTGGTAGACGGGTGGCGTACCGGCATATACGTCACTGATGCATCACCGGCAGGTTTCTACAGTGTCAGGCACATTTCAGTGCAATAAATAATCATCAACAACTAAAAATCTGAGTCAGCACATACATTTAGATCTATATCGATACATTCTGATCTATATCTGATCTGATGAGTGCGTTTGGCACGCGCTTGGACACACAACCTGACCGAATCAACACAGTTGAAATCGCATTAAATTAAATTAAATATCTAGTAAATAGACACACATGATGAAGTGAACAAGATATGTAATTCGTCTCCCTACTCTTCTGTCTTCCTCTTCCTCTTATGTCTTGCGCAGCTCGACCTGGACATGTCTCTGTGTCCTCTCCCCGTCCTGCTGCAGCTGTGGTGGCTGAACAGATGATTTATTTCAGTGATCAGATGAGTTATTTACTTTAAGCCCACATACGAATATTATAATATTCAGTTTTGTGAGCCAAATTTATTTTATATGCCAACATCTATGAAAGAAAGAGCCAGGCCACGGCGCGTGATGCGTCATTTACGCACAGATGGTTCAGTGGGTCCAACATCACACACACCAAATCCATGTGTGCTTATATGATGGAGTGTGCAGGACGCCCTCTGCAGCACTTACAGTGACACTTGTTGAGGGGCTGCCTTCTGTCGCCATTGTATGGCATTGCTGTCTTCACACATCTCTTGATCTCTTTGACTACTTCACGAAAATTGTAATACGCCTCACCGGTGGCGGATTTAAAAGCAAGGAGAGGAGCTTATGTGATTGATGAAAACAGGTCTCAGCTGTGTTAAATCCACTCCACGCCCTCTTTCCTACCTTGCTACGACTTATGCTGCTGGGAGGAGCTGAGTTAGGGAGGGGGGATACTTACGCCGGGCTGCGCCGCTCACCAAAATACCAAATTGTGCTTGGGAACACCTTGTCAGCGCGGCGGACCTCACTTACACCGCGCATACGCCGTGTCGCAGGCGAGGCATGAAAATAGAGCCTTCTGTATTGTTTTGGTGAGGAGTCTGGCTGATGCATTTTGGATCCGCTATAGGTTTTTTAGGCTTTGCTGATAGAGAGGAACACAGGAAATAACAATAGTCCAGGTGGGAGGAAATTAAGGCATGTGTGACTGTTGAGATATCTATTGAGAGAGGCTCTAGGGGCTCTATTTTCATGCCTCCCCGGAGACGTGGCGCAGGCGCGGCGTAAGTCAGGTCCGCATCACGCGCCGTGGCCTGGCTCTTTCTTTCATAGATGTTGGCATATAAAATAAATTTGGCTCACAAAACTGAATATTATAATATTCGTATGTGGGCTTAAAGTAAATAACTCATCTGATCACTGAAATAAATCATCTGTTCAGCCACCACAGCTGCAGCAGGACGGGGAGAGGACATGGAGACATGTCCAGGTCCAGCTGCGCGAGAAATAGGAGAAGGAGGAAGAAAGAAAAGGAGGGAGACGAATTACATATCCTGTTCACTTCATCATGTGTGTCTATTTACTAGATATCTAATTTAATTTAATGCGGTTTCAGCTGTGTTGATTCGGTCAGGTTGTGTGTCCAAACGCATGCCAAACGCGCTCATCAGATCAGATATAGATTAGAATATATCAATATAGATCTTAATGTATGTTCTGACTCAGATTAGTATTTGTTGATGATTATTTATTGCACTGAAAAGTGCCTGACACTGTAGAAACCTGCCGATGAGGCATCGGTGACGTATATGCCGGTACACCACCGGTCTACCATAATACCACTAGACCAGCTGCGCTCCACCTGCGCTGAAATCTGTCTAGGTTTTAATCGGCGAGCTTTCAGCGCATTTCATATGCCACCGGCGAGCACGAAAATGTCACTGCGCCAGCTGATTCTGTCTACACCTCCCCCTGCCTCGCCACCACGCCCAGCTTGGCGGACCTTGGTACACCTCAGTCCACGAAAATACCAAATTGGTGTACGCCGGGTTCAGCCAGACGAAAATTTCACTACGCGGGGTCTGCCACACTCCGCCACCTCACCGGCGGACAGGAAAATAGAGCCCTAGATGTTTACTAATGAGGGTGTGTGCAGTTTCTGGGCCAATTATGATAACCTCTGTCTTGTTCATGTTTAGCTGTTGGAAGTTGTGGGCCATCCAGTTTGTAAGGTCAGTAATACAGTTGGAAAGAGAGGATCTGGGTTGTCATGGCTAAAAGAGAGGTGAAGCTGGGTGTCATCAGCATAAAAGTGAAAATCAGTATTGAGTCTACAGATCACATGTCTAAGGGGCAAAATATAAATTGAAAGGAGTGGTCCCAGAACTGATCCATGAGGCACCCCACAGAACAACTTGGATGACTGAGCTTTCAATAGCAACACCCAGTTAGATAAGAACAGAACCATTGAAAAGCTGATCAGAGACACCAACCCAGAGTGGTCAACAGTGTCAAACACAGCACTTCAGTCTAAAACAGCCTTAAAACACACACCTCTATTACATTCATACCACTGCTCTTCAAAAGCCACATGCACACAGACACGCACAAAGCAGGCATGTGGTTGTGTTTGCAGGAAGCAGCAGACAAATGCAAGCAGACTGATCTTCACACCTTGGGTCTGCAGCTGCACCAACCTTTCAGTTTACACCGCTATAGTGTTAATTCCCCCGTAAGTTTTATGATCAGAGTGTCTGACTGCTGCTTTTACTCACAGCCACATCCTTATGTTCTGAGAAATACTACTAATTACGGAGTTTAACATCCCATGAGGATCAACTCAGACTGTTTCACTCCACATTTAAGCGTGTTACTTTAAAATCCTGACACCTGTTCTCTTCACTGTCTCCCTCATTTAATTCCTCTTCTTTTCATGCAGAGTGTTGCTCTGCTGAACTGACACTTCCCTGGTTGTGTGTTTGCGCAGCTTCCTGTTTGTTAACCTGGATAAAGATCGAGGTTTCCGCTCTAGTCTCAGTCTGTGTGATCTGTTTTTTTTTTTTTTGGTCATGGTGTAAAAATATGATTCTGGTCTCTGCTGCAATCTCAGACTCTCCTTTCTTAAAAAAATACAATCAGGAAAAGACATTGAAACTCAAAAAGCCATTACTTGTATATTTAGTCACTGAATAGTTCTGCAGCTGACTGGCGCCATCAGTTTTTATTCATAACTCAGCTTTCATCTTCTAGGTGGGCCTGTATTTCTTTTCATTCTTGTTTGTCTTTATCTATTATGTTTTATTCATGATGTTTTCTTTTAGATTATTTTCTGTAAGAGACTGACTGTAAATGATTTGCCTGTATGAATAATGATAAATGCAAAAACATGCACTTCGGGTGTAATCAGAAAGTTCACTCATCTCACTTTGCACATGGTAATATGACTTGAATCTCAAGGATGTTCATTTTAAAACCACTTGAATAATACATGTTTAAAAAGACAGAACCTATGTTTTTTCTCTGTCTTCAGTTTGACAGACTTTAAGCTTAAGTAAATACTAACAGTTCACATTTATGTGTAGAAATATGCATTTTAAACATCACTGAGATTTGTGAATTTCAGGGTAAAACCCTACATGGGTATCAAAGTTAGTCCTGGTTATTGTTAATCCCTGTATTATAATCGTCACTGTTACAGTCTGACCTCAGTTTTTTGTCATTTTATTTTGATTTATCATTTGCTTAATCCGTACATGATGAAACCCAAACTAACTGTGTCAATACTACTTATAAAAGAAAGTAAGTTTGAAATACAGAACACAAAGTTTGTTCTCTAAATGTGACCTTAGAGATTTCTTCAGCTTCAAATATAATTTTAAATTATTTTAGTTCAGAACAAAATTCTTTTTGAAAAGTAAATAACTAATGCATTTCTGGGCTCATAATTTTGAAAATAAAGGGTGAAGAAACTCTCAGTCAAGGAATCACTTCAGCTTCAGCTTTGGCTACAGCCCTGACCAAAACAAACTTTTTAACTCTGTTTTTGAAAAGTTAAAGATCACAAACAGAAATTAAACTATGAAAATCATCAGAAGAGGAAAACATTTTTGAAAAAAGACTTTTGTTTAAATTTAAAATAGAGAAATAATCTTTGTGAGTACAAACCATCAGCCTCAATCACCTCAACTCTCTGATTTTACATTTAACTTCTATCATGTTTATCTGTAAGAGGTCAGGATGGACAGGTGTAAAGGTGTAAAGGTATACCTGGACCATTGCAGGAGACAACAAAGAAGCAGATCAGAAGTCCAATGAAGGCAGCAGAAATCTTCATCTTCCAAGTCATCCTCACATGCAAAGTCAGACAAAGAACAACTAAGATTTCCTGACTGCACAGCTCCTTTATATATCTGTGTGTGCACGCCTGTGTGTGTGTGCGTGCGTGTGTGCGTGCGGGTGGGTGTGCATGTGTGTAAAGGAAGTGATCCAATATACAAAAGCGAGAAACTTCTCGTCATATTTTTATACAGAGAAAGTCTTTAGAGGGAATTATTCTGCTTTAATCAGAAACAAAAACTAAGTATTAAACTGCAGTTGAGACTGAAGAAAAGAAAAATCCCATCATCATCTAAACCTGAGATTGAGCTACAAATAATCCTGTATAAACACATAAACTACACCTGAGACTAAACTATAAATAATCCTGTACAAACACATCATCTACATCTGAAACTGAACTACAAATAATCCTGTGGAAAAGATCATCTAAACCTAAAATGAAACTATAAATAATCCTATACAAACGCGTCATCTACACCTGAATCTAAGCTATATTATCTACACCTGAGACTAAACTACATATGATCCAGTAAAAAAAAATCTCCTGTACAAACAAATAAACTACACCTGAGACTAAACTATATCATCTACACCTGATACTAAACTACAAATAATCCTGTACAAACACATCATCTAAACCTGAGACTAAACTGTAAATAATCCTGTACAAACCCGTCATTTACACCTGAGACTAAACCATAAATACTCCTGTACAAGCCTGTCATATACAACTGAAATTTAGAAATAATTGACCAGTCAAGACCAGTAAACATGTCATCTACACTTAAAGCAAAACTTTATAACTATATCATCTACACCTGAGACTAAACTACAAATAATCCTGTACAAACATGTCATCTACACTTAAAGCAAAACTTTATAATCTTAACCTAAGACTAAACTACAAATAATCCTGTACAAGCATGTCATCTACACTTGAGATTGAACTACAAATAATCCTGTCCGTAACCACATTTACACCTGAGACTAAACTATATCATCTACACCTGAGACTAAACTCTAAATAATCCTGTACAAACACATACATTACACCTGAGACTAAACTATATTATCTACAGCTGAGACTAAACTTCATATAATCCTGTGGAAAAAAAACCCATCTAAACCAACTATGAATCATCCTGTAAAAAAATTATCTAAACCTGAGACTAAACTACAAATAATCCTGTACAAACACATCATCTAAACCTGAGACTAAACTGTAAATAATCCTGTACAAACCCGTCATTTACACCTGAGACTAAACCATAAATACTCCTGTACAAGCCTGTCATATACAACTGAAATTTAGAAATAATTGACCAGTCAAGACCAGTAATCTCATGGTCAGCAAATCAGTTCCTGGTAGACCAACAGCAGCAGATGAAATTGCACTCCAAGGGCTCTATTTTCGTGCCTTGCCACAGATGTGGCGCAAGCGCAGCGTAAGTCAGGTCCACCGCGCAGAACAAGGCGTTCCCAAGCACAATTTGTTATTTTGGTGAGCTGCGTAGCCCAGCGTATGTATCCCCCCTCCCTAACTTAGCTCCTCCCAGCGGCGTTAGTCTTAGGGAGAGAGGAGGGAGGGCATGGAGTGGGTTTAACACAGTTGAGACCTGTATTGACCAATAACATCAGCTTCTCCCCTCGCCTTTAAATCCGCCACCGGCGAGGCGTATTACAATTTTCGTGAAGTAGTCAAAGAGATCAAGAGATGTCTGAAGACAACAATGCCACACAATGGCGACAGAAGGCAGCCCCTCAACAAGTGTCACTGTAAACGCTGCAGAGGGCGTCCTGCACACTGTCTCATATAAGCACAGATGGATTTAGTGTGTGTAATGTTGGAGCCACTGGTAAGACAAACACCCTTTTCCACTCACATAAAGTTGCATTTAAATTTTCTATTTAAACCCCACATGACAAAAGTGGGTTGTGTGCATAGATCACAACATAAATTCCAATAATGGCATTAAAATCAGAACCATCTGTGCGTAGAGGACGCATTGCGCTCTGTGGCCTGGCTATTTCTTTCATAGATGTTGGCATATAAAATAAATTTGGCTTACAAAACTCAATATTATAATATTCAGCAAAGATCTTCTGTGGCTGACCCTCCTTCCAGAAGGGGTCAATGATGGTCTTCTGGACGACTGTGGAGTCCGTGGTCTGATACATTATTGTGGTTCTGTGCACTGAAGTAAACTGCAAGGCACATTGTAATTGCAATATTACTCAGGTAATATGCCCAGGTGCCAAAACCACTACCAGATATTTTAGTTGGCCATACCCTTTGGAGATCTGTTGGATCAGCAGTCTGCACTGTGACAGAGGTTGTGCTGAACTGAGCCAAACTGAGTGATGAATGGTTTTTATTAAGTTTGAAATTAAATAAGAATCTCAATACACTTTAAACATTAAATTCTATTTCATGTGATGAGTCCAGATTGTACCAAATTTCAACTTCTGTAAAATAACAAATGGAAAATCTTTTTCATTCTATTTCAAAGATTTGAGCTTGATCTATAATCTGGTTAACTTTCATATCATATATAAACAGTAAGTTTTTAATATTTGGTTCATCAAGAAAACACATGTGAAGGAAATATTAAATGGGTCTCCTCCTCATAAATAGGAAACATTTCTGAGTGTCTAAAATATTGGCAAAACTCCATGTGCTCCAGTAAAGCTCCTCTTAAAATGATAAAATAAAGTTCACTAGGAGGGTTATCAGATTAAAGACTGTGTTAAAGGAAAAGTTTTCTCCAGAGTTTGAAACCATGAATATCAAAATACTTGGTTATTTATCTGAACTGTGCATGTAAACTATCTGAGTATTAGAGCAACAATCTGACTGATAATCCTGAAACTAAACTACGCAACAATTTACTTTACATTTAACAACTTTCTGTGCAACAGCTGATTGGTGCATGCTGAATATAAATTGATACGGAAGCCTGCAGTGGACATGTGTGTGAGCATTTGATTTTCTCAGTTTTCTCAGTTGATAATAAGTCAAATTGAGTTTAAAATCTCCACTTATTTCTCTTCTTATCTTGACATAAATCATGTTTTCATGAAATCCAGCTATGATTTGTATTGATGTGCATTATGATGAGAGAATTCTTGACCAGAACTTCATAATTTGATGCACAACTGTTCAATTTAATACAGTAACAAAATGTTATCATTTCAGAGTTTATTTATTACAATTAATAAATATTTTTTGTCTTAAAATAGTTATATCAGCCCATAAATGATGAGTAAAGCACTCTTAACTGCAAATGAAAAAAACACTGTGGAGATAATAACATAGGACTCCTTTTTTGTATGATATTCATATAAATTAGATATGTTACATGTTTCTCACCTCTTTACATTTTTAGGTTCTCCTCTGGATCCTGTTTCTGTGCCGAAATTTCTTCTGATTCTGGAAACACTTTAATTTAATCGAAAAGAGACATAAGCATTTTCGTTGAATATGATTTATTGTGAATTGACCAGGCTCCAAACTTCAAAGAAATAACTCTGAAATAAATCAGGATGTAAGATGTTTAACAGAGACAGGAGTACAATTTATGCTTCCAAATTAAGCCAAACTTCCTCACAGTCTGAACCCTCCACATCACATTTATGATCCTGAAATTAAAGTTGCTAAACTGCAATTCTGATGAACTAAAAACTCCTCAGAGGTTGAACTTTGTCACACTTCATCATTTTTCAGTTTGACCTATTCAGCTGCAGCTTTAAGCTTTAACACGCTCTTAAGACAGGATGACTATTACACCTCCATCCTGTGTGTGTTTGTGAGTGCGCTGGTTTTCTCGCAGTTGTCCGAGTACAGAGGAAATGTGTGGTTAGCCAAGTAAGCCGTGTCTGTCCTCAAAAATAAAAGCTGTTTTTGACACAGAGTGGCAAACGCTAACCACCCTGTCATTAAACCCAGCTTAACTTCTTTATTCAGTAATAATAATAATAATAATAATAGTAATAGTAATAGTAATAATCCTGACAGAAATATCTGTCATTAATACAAACAAACAGGACAGGTGTGCTCTGTTCAAGACTACACCTGTACATGGAAATGTTAATATTTTAAATTTAAAACAACACAAACTGGTTTCAAATACACTCAAATGTTAATGGGCACAATCACAGTTTGTATGTTGATGGTAAATTTGTAAATTGCTCAACATCCAAACTCTGACAGGCTTTATTAGATCTAACTTTTCACTCTGAGTCAGTTAGTTGGCAGCTGTAAAGCTAACTAAATCACCCTTCAGAAATAAGGTTTCTATGTTCCATTAGCAGCTTTGAACTAAGCTAAAGCTAGATAAATGTACTTACAGAGATATTCTCCCAACTTTAATGGAAAGACACAAGCCATGCTAAAGCTAACCAGATCAGCTGTAAAGAAATGTGTTTGAAAAACTAGTTGGTGGCTATGAACAAGGCTGAAGGTATATGTGTGTGTGTGTGTGTGTGTGTGTGTGTGACTAAAGTGTGTGTTAGAGGTCACTTCTCTATTTCCAGCTCTGTTCCTGTTTCACTCTTGGTTTTTCTCCTGAACCTGTTCCTCCTTTTCCTGCTGATGGTGTGTGTGTGTGTGTGTGTGTGTGTGTGTGTGTGTGTGTGTGTGTGTGTGTGTGTTTACATTAAACAACACAAACATCAGGAGGAGATTGTCTTTGACGCTTGTCTGTCATTTTAGTTCTTAAATTTCTATTTTGTGTTTCTTTGTAATGCCCTGACCCCCTGATCATCAGACTCTGGGCTCTATTTTCGTGCCTTGCCGGAGACGTGCCGCAGGTCGGCTCCTAAGCTCAATTCGGTATTTGGTGAGCGGCGCACAAATTCCAAAAATGGCATTAAAATCGGAACCATTTATGTATGGGGTGCCGTTTGTAAAGCAGCCCATTATAAAAAACCGCAGCAAGATTTGGTCACATTTAGCTTCGAACAGCATTTAAAAAAGTGATGTGAATTTTCGGCAGTCATTTTTTTGCACATTTACAACAACATTTAAATACTAAAACTAAATGTTAAATGTTGTTGTATAAATGCTAAATATAAATGTTAAATGTATATGTTTAATCTAAATGTTAAATCTAAATATGAATGTTAAATATAAATCTAAATGTTAAATGTTAAATCTAAATGTGTTGGGCGAAACTAAATATTTAGCTAATATGCAAAT